CCTTTTGTCTGAATCACCCAAAGTTGTCATACCTGTGTAACCCTATCAAATGTAACTGTACCTGCACCCAGCACCACAGTCTTTGCACCTCTGCACCCCTCATCACTGTACCTAAATCCCTCCTGCCTTTCTGTGTAATTTGTTTGTGCAGTTTGTGACGTTACATACTGCCCCAAAACTTAAGGCATTGATTGTTAACCAAAGTGTCATGGCACCCTGAACAGTCAGGGGAGACACAGGGTCCTTTCATTAATTGCAGCCCATTATCTTCTTGCATCTCTCTCTTCCGCCACCCATTTGAATAAATAAATAAATAAATTACACATCTCTGCCATCAGTTGCATAGGCCTATAACAAATGTTAATTGTTGTTGTTTAGTAGAGAATCAGGAAATGTCCAGATTAATTTGCCCAAAATACAAAGGTATAGCTCATTTTATTTTTGATGCTATCTTTTTGGAATGGTTAATTGCTTCCATTTTTTCAAAAGGCCATAAATGACACCTGAAATAAAACAGCAGCAGAAGAAATGGGGAAATGTGTTCACACTACTGTTTATCTTCTTTAAATCTCTCCCCCCCCAAACAAAAATCCTTCCCAGCTTCAGTAACTAATAGTTCCTTCGTTTTGCACAAAGGGCTCGAGAAATGCAAGAAAATAGCAAAGCAGCTTGATCTTAATATTATTTTGCCCTTTCTGCTTCTGATCTTAATCTTGTTTTGCCTTTCCACCCCCATGTGCACACTAATTTTGGGAAAGGCAGGCTGGAGCTGCCGTGTAGTGTGTCAGCTTCGCCCTACAGAGCAATGGCATTCCTTGGGTCAGCACATGAGCTACTACTTACATGCATGCCAAAAATGGTGCCGAAAAGGAGCGGGGCGGAATGGAGCAGGGCAGAAGAACAGAGGAATCTCTCCTTAAGCACTATAATGGAACCCCAGTGTAAGCAGCTCCCTCAGGGGAGCCAGAGAAAGAATGTGGTTGGTCAAAGGAGCCATGGACTTGAAAAGGTTGGAAGCCACTGACCTAAAGCATCAAGGTTAAAATATCTCTTTGTCCTGGGTTCTTTTCTGCCTACCTGTAGGAACCCAGTTGCAACTGAATAAACAGGATGCTCAGACCTAACCTGTCCAGCAGCTACCTCCTGCCACACTCCCACCCACTTTTGACCCCATGCTGCCATGTGTGGCACTGCCAAAAAGTTGATCTGACCCAACTAAAGTTTGCTCAGGGTGGAGCAGGAAGGAGCTGCACCTGCAGCAATGAATACAGAGGGTGTGTGGGTGGGTGTAGTGAGATGAGGTGAGAATATTCTCTGATAGGAAATTCTCCAGAGAATATTCTCCACAAACTGTAAATTCTAATGTAAGAACCAGTTTTACAAGCCACATTAAAAAAATCTAGTAAATAATGAGTCAAGCTGTGATATTGCCAGTGTAAGTAATGAATAATGATTTTTTTGATCCAGTTACATTACCGGGCATTGTGTCATTCACTATTGGCAGTTCTGAAATGTGAGCTACAGAAAATTTTCTCTTTAAAGTTTTAAAAATGCTATTCATTTAATTTGATGAACATTTGAATTCGTATGTATTTCAACTACAGTGGTACCTCAGGCTAAGAACTTACCGGTAAGTCATTCTGGAGGTCCGTTCTTAACCTGAAACTGTTCTTAACCTAATGGCGCCTCCTGCTGCCGCCGCACCACCGCTGCACAATTTCTGTTCTCATCCTGAAGCAAAGTTCTTAATCCGAGGTACTATTTCTGGGTTAGAGAGTCTGTAACCTGAAGCGTCTGTAACCCGAGGTACCACTGTACAGTGGTACCTCGGGTTACATACGCTTCAGGTTACATACGCTTCAGGTTACAGTCTCCGTTAACCGAAAAATACCTCGGGTTAAGAACTTTGCTTCAGGATGAGAACAGAAATCGCGCGGTGGCAGCAGCGGGAGGCCCCATTAGCTAAAGTGGTGCTTCAGGTTAAGAACAGTTTCAGGTTAAGAACAGACCTCTGGAATGAATTAAGTACGTAACCAAAGGTACCACTGTATATGTAATAGCCTTTTTTTCTATTTTGGTGTGACCTTATTCTTAGCAATTCTATACCCTTGGCCATACAGTGTGATATTTTTAACATAAAGTAGCTTTAATGCATTATACACTTAAAGTACCTAGGCCTATACAATTATGTGAAACAGCATGTGAGGTGGCCTTGATTTAAACAGTTGACATTTCTATATTTTTTAGTGCCAGTACTGTAACATGGATTTTGCAGGGGTACAACGTGCCATTTACCAGAGATTGACATACTGAAATATATTATCATATAATGATAATATATTTAATATTTAGTGGCTTCTTTCTTATATGTATGCATATAGTTTTGTTTATCAAGCTGTGTTTTAGTCACCGAAACAGCAGGCTTAGTGATTAACTTGAGTCATCACGCTGAATTTTCAATTTCAAGTTTGGTGCAAAAAATCAAAGAATGCCCCATTGAATAAAAGTACCTGTATAGTTTTTGGTTGCCATCTGAACAAGTTTCCCCATGAATAAACATGTACTGTATATTACCTACCGTAATTATATCATTTTCAATGCATTAAAATTATATCATTTTCAGTGCATTAAATTGAATGATCTATTTTAAATGAAAATTCTCTAATATTCTCATTAATCGAGAATATTCTCCAAAACATTATTCTCGAGAATTTGACATCACTATGTGTGTGTCCATGCAGCCATGTGCCTGCGCCCACTCAGGCTCACTGTTGTCTTCTCTCTACCAGGCACCCTTTTTGCTCTTAACTCTTTAACACTACTCAATGGCATCCTTTTTTAAAGCATCCACAAGCATGGATACTTAGGATGCAAGGACTCTTGGGTTTCAAGTTAAGTTTGTTGCAGTGGATAAGAGTACTGGACTACGACCTGGGAGAACAGGGTTCAAATCCCCACTCGGCCATGAAACTCACTCAACGACCTTGGGCCAGTCACTTGGGCTCCTGGTCTGACCTACCTCACAGGGTTGTTGTGGGGATAAAATGAGGAAGGGGAGGACCATGTATGCTCCTTGGAGAAAAAGGTGGGATATAATTGCAGCAAATAAATTTAATATAATTTAACCACCTCACAGGGTTGTTCTGAAAGTAAAATGAAGGGAAAACTTCTGTATGTCACCTTAAGTTCCTGAAAGGAACGTTGGAATATAGTTATAAATGAGAAATATCTGTGCAGTTGTGAGTTGTTGTGGTGAATAGTAAATAGGGTAGAGGTTGTGACGAGGAACCTCTGGCCTCCAGATGTTACAGACCACGCACATTAGGTGGGTATCTCAACAGCTGGAGGACAAGTCTCCTGACTTAAAAGTAGAGTTCCTTACCAAATCCTTTGGAAATTTAAGATTAAATTTTGATAAAACAGGACTGGAGTCACACAGCAGTTCATAACAAAGGAAATGAACTACAAATTCATGTGCCAGCAATTCAGGTTCCAGTGACGATGTTTCAAGGAGCCGAGGAAGATCCTCCACAAGCAACCATCAACCAGAGGAGAGGAGACAATGCCAAGCGACCCAGATCAAGCAGTAAACATGGTTCCTCCAAATGTTGTGGACTATAAAATCAGCCTAGGACAGCATGGCCCATGGCCACAGCTGATGAGAGCTGCTGTTTAGATACTTGGTCCATCCCCAGGGTATATGGGCCTATAGGGCAACTCACTCTAAGGTTGCCTCATATGCATTATTTGCTTCCACAGGAAAGTACTTACCCTCCCTGTGGCAACAGATAAATTTGTTAATAGAAAAACCTAGTGGTGTAAATGGACAAGAGACATCACACCACAGCCTATGTCTCTCTTCCCATCAGGGTGGGTGGGTGGGTTTGCAGCTCAAGTGTCAAGTTTGCGTGTTAAATGTTTCAGTTGAGACCCCTTTACTAGCCATTAGGTTCAATGGACTATCCCTTCTCTTGGGTTTGGATGGTGAAATAGGAAACAGTCCATGAATCTCATTATTTTTCCTGAACATTTTCTTTTCCTTGGGAGTTTTGGTAAAAAAAAAAAAGGGGGGGGGAGGATACCCACCCCCCAACCTACTTCCCTCACCGCCCATGTAAAAAATCAGGCTTTTTGCACTGGAGATACTATTAAGCTTAAATTCTTCTAAGCATCTCTATATAAATTGCCTTGATATTGTCTTCTAAACCATGTATCTACTTAATATTGTCATGTCTTCACGTACTGTGGGCTTGCTGTAGTTCTCAAGGACCGAAAACCGATTGTCAATTTGAATATTTAATTCTCTCTCCTCCCTTTGCCTCATTCATGACTTCTTAGGTACTCATTAAATGTTATCCTTAAGCACTGTTACTGGTCTACCTAGACTTAGATCACATCCTTGTTGTTGTGCCTTTGGGGGCAATGTCAAACTGTTGGAAGGTTGAAGTGCCTGCTGTGGCTGTAGAGACATCCACACAGCAGTGAAAACACATGGCTTGCCTTAATATTGGGAACGGTAGTCTGTTAAGGGTGCTGGGAATTGTAGCTCCATGAAAGGGCAAAGTACAGTTCTGAGGATTTTTAGGGAAAGCCATGTGCTTTAAATGTATGGAGTAGATGTGACCTTATTTTTTGTCTGTCGGTCTCTGCAAGGTTTCAGGCAGACAGTGTTTCCCAGCCTCACCAAGAAAAGTTGGGGTTTGAGCCTGGGTCCTACTGAATGCAAAGCAGGTTCTCTGCTACTTTTGTGGAAATTCCACACAAGTTAGCTCTTATAACAGGACATGCCTTGGCTCATGAGAAAGGGAAGAAATAGCACTCTGATCATTTTCTGATGTAACTTCATATAGTGCAGGAAGCACAGCCCCCAAGTCTCATCCCTCCCCCCATCAAGATTTTCTACATAAATGGTATTATCATCAAAAGCATATCTTTGAAATCTGACCATCTTTCAAAAAACCCTCAGTTAGCCTCCCAGAGCTACAAGAAACCACGTCAACGAGATGCAACTACAGCCAAAACACTTTTAATAGGAAAATGGTGGCCAGAGGATCAGAATGCTACAGAGTTAGGGCTCATGCCTTCACAGCGTATTTCCGAGGCGGGTACAGGCGTTCTTTTCGCTGCTGCTTTTTGGTCTTCAGACCTTCTTCGTGTTTGTTTAGCCTGCGCCGCATGGCACGTGTTTTCTTAGGCCGCAAGTCTAGAGGCTTGTATTTCTTGCCCTGTTTGCAGAACAGAGAATCTAGGCTCAGAATGGACTTTTAGAAGAGATATGGGAGACCTCATGAACAAAAACAGAGGCAGCTGCAGTTTGAAATTCTGGGTACACAAAAATGTGACTACTTTTGTGTCAGTAAGGCTTGGTGAAGGCTACTTGCCTGGCTGCCTGTGGCAAATACAAACACTACAAAAGGACTAGCCATTGTAATGGCTACATGCTCCCTCCAGGATCAGAGGTACTACGCCTCTCAATACCAGTTGCTGTAGAACAGTGCATGTCTAATCCAGGGATGGAGAACCTTGGGTCCTCCAGATGTTGCTTAACTACAACCCTCATCATACCTGACCACGGGCTGTGCTCATTGGGAATGATGGGAGTTGTAGTTCAGCAGCAACTGGAGGGCCAAAAGTTCTTCATGCCTGGTCAACTCAAACTGGCACAGAGAGAGTTGCCTTATACTCAGTCAGTCCAATGATACCTCTAGCTCAGCACTGTTTACACTGAGTGGATGTCCAGGGTTTCAAATGCGAACATTGCCAGTCATACCTGGAGATGCAGGGGATTGAACCTGGGACCTTATGCAGGCAGAGTAGATGCTCTGCATGCAAAATCTGAAGAGCTATGGCATGAAAATCTTCAGATACTCATACACAGTAAAATTAATGACGCTTCTTGTCTAGTTTTTAAAATTTTGCTTACAAAAATCGTATCTCCGCACAACCCAAAATGTGTTTTGATTAAAGATTTCCAGAAGAGCTACATCACTGGCCATCAGCCCATAGAAAGGTTACCCAGAGGCCCAGACCATTGCTCAGAAGTACAACACCCTCAGAGCATTGTGTACCTACTAGACAACTGCTTAGACCACATGGCCCAGCCAAAGTTATCCAGCAGGAGGCTGCTTTAGCAAGTACAGATTCACACTGCATCCATAGAGTTTCGAGCAGTGCTGGGTGTTAGCCTTGCAATTTCTGGCACTTTGGCAAGACGCCCCCCCCCCCATATTGAGATTATCCAACTTGCCTTAATATTTAATCCACTTAAGGCTCCTCCCAGAGTTAATAGGTTGCATCCAACCAAGGTCATCTCATAACAGAACCACTGGAATTAATGGGCCTAACATAAGACATGTGCACTCATTTCAATGGGTTTGCTCTTTTGAGTATGACCAACATTTGATGCAACCTATTATGAACATGCTGCCAACACTTTCACTGGGAGTCCTCCCCCCCCCTTGATCCACCAAAAGCAACTGCAAGAAAAAGGGTGGGCCACAGAAAAATAAACTTTAAGTGAAACTCCAGACTCACTTTGTAGAACTTCCTGAGGTTTTCCTTCTGAGTCTGGTTAATGACTGTCAGCACTCTGGCAATGGATTTGCGAACCACCCGGCTGCAAGGGGCAGAAAGAGAGACTTACGGTTCAGTGCAAAGCGCAGCCAAAAGCCGGCACTTGAATTCATTAGTTTTTCCAACATACTGGACACTTAAAATTCATTACTGCTGAAGGATAACACACAGTCGGAAGAGTGTGTCTGCTTATTTTTCCTCTTTCCAAACTCATCCATTTTTCTTTTGTGTTGTGTCTTTTAGACTGTAAGCCTAGGGCAGAAACTTCTATAACCCCGTGTTAGCCTTGTCAGCTAAAAATGTAAGTGGGTAAAATGGCTTCAAGTGAACAAAGTAGTGCTGTACTAATGAGCTGTGGTGTCAGTTACTTGGGTGGCCCAACCCACCCTATTCAGCTTAAGAAATGAGTGAATCCAATGGTCCATTTAGCAGTCTCCTTTATTCAGCAGTGACCAACCCAACTCCATAGGGAGAAATCAAAGATGAGTGTTTGCCCTCAATGTCTGGTAATCAAAGGTGTACTGCCCCTGAATACAGAAGCTAAATTTAGCAGTCAGAGCTACTCACTAAGCAGAGGTCTGTCTCCATGGATGCAGATACATCATGCATATAATGCCACTTTAATGGTCGCTTCCCTTTCCCCAAATAATCCTGGGAACAGTAGTCTGTTATGGATTCTGAGAGTTGTTGGAAGAGCCTTAATGAACTGCAGTTCCCAGGATTCTTTGGAGCAGTGTAAGAGTGCTTTATATGTATTGTATGGATGTGACCCATCAATTTGTACCAGTCTGAAACAGACACTCTCCCTGCTGCTCTGAGAGGCTGCCAGTTATGCATAGAAACATTAAAAGCTTGGCAGTTTGGGTTGGGGGGAGGCAGCAAATTTAATCTCTGCGTGAAAACGACAAAGCTTCCAACAGTGAAAGGCTCTGCCTACAAATATCAGGCACTCAGGTCCCCAAAATGTCAGGGCTTGTAGCACAGCTGTGGTGGTGAACTCACATCTTTGAAAGTTTGGAGGCTGCTCCACCGGTCACCTTGGCGACCCGCAGCTGAGAGAGTTCCACCTTGAGGTCATCTAGCTGCTTCAGCAGCTCTTCCTTTTTCTTCCCTCGTAGGTCACGGGCTTTGATTTTGGCCTAGGAACAAGATTGAACATGGAATCAGAGCAAGACAAAGGAGTTCACTGGGTTGTACCCAGTTCTACTCAGAGCAGGATGTGATTAACTAAGGTCCATTCATTTCAATGGTTTACTGTAAGTAGAATGCAGCTGGATAAAACCCAATTAAGGCCGCTCTCTGTTCTGTCCTTGAAATACCACTGTATAAAATCTTCTTGAGGACCAAAGTTAACCTGCTTACCACAATAAAAAAAAAATTAAAAGCCCTTTCAAGTTTTTTTTTAAAAAAAACCTCAAGTTGTTGGGAATGATCTGAGATCAGTGGTGCTATTTCCATGGAGTTGTAAGAAAATGCCTATTCCCATCACAGAGCTAAAACTCTCACTGCTCCCCAGGGCAAGAGGGTCTGACTGTTAAACCACTTTGGGAATTGTAGCTCCAAGAGGAAAAAGGCCTAACAGCGCTAAGAACACTTAACATACTACAGCTTCCAGGGTTCTTTGGGGAAAGGCATGACTGTTTAAAGTGGCTTTAAAAGTATACTGCACATGGGGCCAAACGACACATTAGTATTACTGATCCCTGGCATCCAAATCAGTGAGGGGCTTTCAAGGCAGCTCTTTCTGCTGTCTCAGGCATACAGGACATGAATTCTGTGGTCACCCCTGTATATGGAGTGGGGAAATACATGCATTTCCAAAGGAAGCATTCTGTGCTCCCAGTTACACATTGTGGTGCCCTCCAGATGTTTCACTACCACCAACCCTAGCAAACATGCCCAATGACCTGGCATTACAGGAGTTGCCCCAGAATATCTTCAGGGCATCACAGTGCCTACATCTGCATTAGAAGGCCTAGCTTAGGATAACTGGCACAGCACCCACTTAGATACACCAGATAAGATTTGGAACAATATTCTCTTAACATGCATTAGTAACACTCAGTGAGGAACAAAGTTTGAATAAGAGATGTGCAAAAAACAGAAAGGCATTAACATTAAAAATAATAATAACTGCAGAACATGGATATAGGCTACCTATAACACAACATATCCTGCTCTTACATCTCAGCCAGACTGAAAATCAGCCCCCAGATGTGGCAGAACTTTGTAACATCCTTGGAAAGTGATGGAATCTCTTTTGTTAGGGGTCTATACAGACACCAGGTAGCCCCCAGAGACCTGGAAAAGCTGGAAAGGTTGGGTAACTGAACCTGAGACCACCTGCAAGCGGCACCTCTGTTCCACCACTCAGTTTTGGAACACACACGCTTTGAATTGATGCTGCAGACATCAGAAGGATCACGTGCACGTGCAAAGGCGGGTTAAGTTTATTGGGGAACCATTAACAAGGATGCTTGTCACAGCAAACCCAGATGTGCCACGATGTAACGTGAGAAAAGGCCTTCACGTACCCAACCAGGAGCCCTCCAGCTTCCAAAAATAAAATAAAAATCCACTGACATTTCACCCAGACAATCAAGAAAACAAGCTGCGCAGTCCGATACCCTGTAAACTATTATTTTCCTCCCCACATCGGGGCTCTTTCTTCCCTTAAGCCTGACTCGGCGCGCCTACTCAAACCGGACCTCCGTATCGCAATATCGCCCCCGACGTCGCTTCCCATTTCGTAGGATCACAAATTGGAAAGGCATCCCAAGGGTCATCTAGTCCAACCCCCTGCAATCCCAACAAAACCATCCAAGACAAACAGCCATTTTTCCCCCGCTTAAAAGCCACCCCAAACCGAGTTCTTCGTGCCGCCTAAATCTTCCAGCTTTCCCTCGTCCCGTCCCATCCAGCCCCGTTGCCCAAAACCTCATTCTAGGGACTGATGGAAGCGGATTAAAACGGCCCCCCCAGCCCCGCACTCACCATGGCGTCCACCAGGATCCAAGGCTACCAAAGCGAAAAGAAAGAACGGAAGCCTGCAAGGGACAAGAAGCCGGTAAGACGGACTCAACCAATGAACGCATAGTGCGCGGGGGGGGACTGGGAGGAGAATAAAAGGTCTTATTCTCGTCTCCCCCTCTCGTAATGGTTTAGCCTATGTAACCAGATGAGTGGCTCAGCTGCAATTTGTGAATTCTGTTCCCCCGCCCGCCTCTCCTGGGGCTTATGTTAAGCATTTATATTAAGAGCATTAAAGGGGTGATCAATATAGTAATCGAATTATTTAGCAATTAGAAAGCAGCGCAATTCAATCAACTAATTGCAAATGAAATGAAATGAAAACCTCCTGATAACGGAGGCATATTAATAAAAATTGTTGGTTTTGATGGTGGTGGTTGGTTTTCTTACATTTGCTATCTGGTAATATGGGCTTTTTTACATTTTTTATTATTATAAATTATTATTTAAAAAGAGAGCATACTGCTGTCTTTTACCAGATAAGAGTAATCTCCACAATTAATGGATGCAACAAAGGATTTATTGTTTTATTTACATTATGTATATACCAGCAATTCCACAAAAATGCTCAAGACCATTCACAAAAAGAGAAAGAGAAACTAGTGCAATCCTGGGGGTATTTACTTAGAAGTAAGTCCCAGTGAGACGCGGGTGGTGCTGTGGGTTACACCACAGAGCCTAGGACTTGCCGATCAGAAGGTTGGCGGTTCGAATCCCCGCGACGGGGTGAGCTCCTGTTGCTCGGTTCCAGCTCCTGCCAACCTAGCAGTTCGAAAGCACATCAAAGAGCAAGTAGATAAATAGGTACCGCTCCGGTGGGAAGGTAAACAGCGTTTCCGTGCACTGCTTTGGTTCGCCAGAAGCGGCTTAGTCATGCTGGCCACATGACCCGGAAACTGTATGCCGGCTCCCTCGGCTAATAAAGCAAGATGAGCGCTGCAACCCCAGAGTCGGCCACAACTGGACCTAATGGTCAGGGGTCCCTTTACCTTTACCTAAGTCCCAGTGAGATAAATGGAGTTTACTCCCAGGCAAGCAGGTACTTGGACTGCTACCAAATAGTGTTGTGGCACCTTAAAAAACTGGGCTTTGATATCATACTTTCCAGGGAGTAAGGCCCATTGAACTCAATGGAGCTTCTGAAAATATATGTGTATCCAGATGTATCCAGTATATGCTGCATCCAGATGTTTTGGACTACAACTCCAATCACGCTGATGGGAGTTGTAGTCCAACACCTCTGGAGGGCACCTGTATGGGGAATGCTGGCCACATGACCCAGAAGCTGTACGCCGGCTCCCTCGGCCAGTAAAGCGAGATGAGTGCCGCAACCTCAGAGTCGTCCGTGACTGGACCTAATGGTCAGAAGTCCCTTTACCTTTTACAGTACTGCTATTCTTCTGGAGATGGTCTCAAAAAAAAAACACCACACGATGACACAATGCAATCATGAACATTATCTTCAGAAATCAAGATTTAGCATTTTTCAACTAGCAACTGTTGACATGCATCTCGGGATCATTGTCTCCTTGGGAATTTGTCATGCATCGGTTATGATATACTTAGCAGGAACATCTAAAATGGCAATGTGCAGTCTGATGCTGTGTGTGTTGTTTCATTGGAATTGAGTTCTCCTGAACATTACTCTTTACATGGGTATGCGGGGGGACGGGACCTCAGGCATGGAGTGGGGAAATGTGGTCCTCTGGGCCTCTCTCTCTGCTCCTCAGGCCTCTCAGACCACACACCCTATTCAAAGCACAGCTCTCACCAGGCTGTACCTCTCACCAGCCTCATTATTTGGCCTGGCTTGAATGTGACCTTAAGAACATAAGAACAGCCTGCTACCCCCAAATCTGTAACATTATGTATTTTTGTGTTTTTATATTGTAAACTGCCCTGTGATCCTTGCATGGCGGGCTGTCTAGAAATTTAATAATAAATAAATCCCACCTCTGCTTAAGCAAATTTGCTTAGTGTTGAGGATTCTAACAGGAAGACTACATGAGCTTTCTCACAGCCCAGTCCTTGTGGATAACATCATAAGTCATTTATTTATCATTTTATTCGTTAGATTTATATTCCACACTTCATCAAAGGACCGCAGGGCTCTTTACAATATAGAAATGCAAGATCATGATGATCCAGACAACACTGTGGCATGGATGCACACAAGATGTTGCACTGAGGCTGCATCTCTAGACTGCATTAATGCAACACTGCTAGTGCTCACTGTCAATGGGTAACCAAGGTGTTGTAGGAAAATGGGGGGGGGGGGTGTTGGCTTTTGCTGCCCAACACCCCAAGGGACATACATCACAGGAGGCAGTCTGCAACAGAAATTTGAGTGCGGCTTCTCTCCTGGCTGCCAGGATACCTGATAATGTTTTGCTGATTGCATTACCTGGGCACATAGCTGTCAACTTTTCCGTTTTCTTGCGAGGAATCCTATTCGGAATAAGGGGATTTCCCTTAAAAAATGGGAAACTTTGACAGCTATGCCTGGGCAGCCTGGCCATTCTTTTGTGATTGTAAATACTTTAGTTCTTGAATCCAGGTCACAAGCCCACCGTGTTCATACACAAATATGCCTTTAAGACAGGATTTGAAGGATTCTTAAGTGAAAATAGCTACTGTACTGGGAAAGGTTTCTCCAATATATCTCCTTCTTCATAGGAAATATTCAGAGGAGCATAATTTGAAAAGCCAAGATGGCGTTTGGGATTGTTCTGTGTGCTAAAATAATGTGTAATTTTCCTCAATGAATTTTTCTTAAATTTGAAGGGTGAATGATTGGTTTTCTGTGGTGTGTCTGCTATGTGTGTGTACCCAAAATTTTTAAAACAAAGACCAATGCTGCTTTCCCTTCTTATGATCCTTTAAACTAGACTTGCACTGGACAGCCTGGAAAAATAGAGAACTGTTCCTTGCCAGTCTTTCAAATAGAGGACTACCCTCTGTACAGCAGGACAAACGGCTACTTTAGAGGAAGGGCTGCAGCTTGACTATACAGCATCAGCTTTGCATGTGGAAGATTCCAGGTTAAATTCTGGTGACTGATTTGTTTTCAACAGTTTTAATTCTTGTATTTTTCAATTGCTGTAACTTGCTCTGGGACCTTTTGGTGAAGCAAGGGTAAGAAATTGAATGAATCATCATCATGCCTGGCATCTGCAGTTAGGGTTAGGAGATAAACCTGTCTGAAACCCTGGACAGCTGCTGCCAGTCAGGGTAAGGGATATGTATTGTTTACTTATTTATTTATTTATAGCTCACCTTTCCTTCAAGAAGCTCCAGGTGTATACATGGCTCTCCCACTCTCTAAAATATGCTCACAACAACCCTGTGATGTGGGTTTGGCTAAGAGTTGATGACTGGCCAGTGGTTACCCAGGGAGCTTCATATTGACCAGGTGGGGATTTCGTCTCCAAGGTCCTAGTCTTTTAACCCAGGCTTTCTCAACCTTGGGTCCCTGTATGTTCTTGAATGACAACTCCCATCATCCCTGGCCATACTGGCTGGGAATGATGGGAGCTGTAGTTCAACAACATAGGAATCCAAGTTTGAGAATGGCTGTATCTAACCACTAAACTAGGGATGCGGGTGGCACTGTAGTCAAAACCACTGAGGTTCTTGGGCTTGCCAATCGGAATCCCTGCGACGGGGTGAGCTCCTGTTGCTCGGTCCCAGCTCCTGTCAACCTAGCAGTTCGAAAGCACATCAAAGTGAAGGTAAATGGCGTTTCTGGGCACTGCTCTGGTTTCGCCAGAAGTGGCTTAGTCGTGCAGGCCACATGACTCGGAAAAACTGTCTGCGGACAAATGTCATTTCCCTCAGCCAGTAAAGCAAGATGAGCGCCGCAACCCCAGAGTCGTCCGTGACTGGACTTAACTGTCAGGGGTCCTTTACCTTTTAACCACTAAACTAAGCTAAACGAACCAATGGCTTGACTGACTCAATATAAGGATTTTTTTCTACATTCCTTTGTTCCTAGTTTTTTTCTTTCTCTGTTTCCCTCTTTCTTAATGTTTGGAAGGGGACAATCTTCTGGACATGGAGATGCATTATGAATTTATTTATTTATAATAATGTTTATTAATTTTTCAAATTTTACATTTCAAATTAAACATATTTTATTATACCATGGGTTCATTGACTTCCCACACCTTCCAAGATTCATTTAACTTATCCACCATTCCTGCACATTTAAATATATCCTTCTAATTTAGTTTTCCTATCTTACATCAGTTCAAAATATTTATGCTGTTGAATTACTTTAATACTGCCAGCGTTTTTAACTGTGCACAATTATTTTCAATATACTCGACAAAATTTTTATACTCCTCTTTAAATACCTGTTCTTCTTGTTCTCTTGTTCTACTTGTTAGATCTGCTAATTCTGCATATTCTATTATCTTAAGTTGCCAATCTTCCTTACTAGGGACCTCTCTCACTTTCCAATTTTGGGCTAACAAATTCTGAGCTGCTGTTGTAGCATACATGAATTACCATAAGTTCTTCTGACTCCTGGGAACAGCTGTCTGAACAATTCCTAACAGAAATGCCTCTGGTTTGGGGGGGGGGTTAAACATTTTTTTCATCTCATTATATATCATTTCCCAATACACTTTAACTTTTTTGCATGTCCACCACATGTGGGAGAAAGTTCCTTCTACTTCTTTGCATTTCCAACATAAGTCCGATTCCACATAATACACCTTAGCCAATCTACTCAAAGTTAAATACCATCTATGGATAATTTTCATATAATTCTTTTTCAGTGTGTGGCATGCAGTAAATTTCAGATCATTCTTCCAAAGTTTCTCCCAGAGGTTTAAGTCTATATTATATCCTGTATCCACTGCCCAGTGGGTCTTCGACACTTTAACCACCTCATCTTTTATTTCCCATTACAATAATAGTTGTTAAAGCCATGGTTTTCCCAGTACTGATGTATGGAAGTGAGAGCTGGACCATAAAGAAGGCTGATCGCCGAAGAATCAATGCTTTTGATTTATGGTGCTGGAGGAGACTCTTGAGAGTCCCATGGACTGCAAGAAGATCAAACCTATCCATTCTTAAGGAAATCAGCCCTGAGTGCTCACTGGAAGGACAGATTCTGAAGCTGAGGCTCCAATACTTTGGCCACCTGATGAGAAGAGAAGACTCCCTGGAAAAGACCCTGATGTTGGGAAAGATTGAGGGCACAAGAAGCGGACGACAGAGGATGAGATGGTTGGAGAGTGTTCTCGAGGCTACCAACATGGGTTTGACCAAACTGTGGGAGGCGGTGGAAGACAGGAGTGTCTGGCGTGCTCTGGTCCATGGGGTCACGAAGAGTTGGACACGACTAAACAATATTAGTTTATACATTTTGGACAATAATTTTTCCATGTTTGTCAATAGCTCTTTTTCAGATTGAGGAGCTTTGGTCCAAAAAACAATTTTTCTTATCTAATTTAAACATATCATGTAATTGGTGATACTGTAGCCGGTCAGTAACTTGGCTCCTTACTTCTTCCAGTGGTTTTAATCTGGGTTGGCTAAGGGGTCCAGGATACTCCATTCAACTTCCCCTTGGTTTTCTTCCCCCCACCAACGTGTGCATGCCTCAGCATTATCTGCCACTGAGCATACTCACACCTCTTTGTGCTGTTTGGGGGTTCCTCTACCCCCCCAACCCCCAGATACTTTTTTATTCTTCTGCAAAATTTGAGGGTCCCCCCCCAAGCCTGTTCTTGTGCATGGTAGTTACGTTTCGGCTGCAAATGGACTCACACTTGGGATAACTGAGTTCACTATATTAGCATATCATGATTATAAAGATATCAGATTATACTGTATATGGAAAATCCCAAATCCATCCCACTCAGCCATTCCCCCCTGCTGTTCGCAGGAATCATCACCACCACCACCTCCATCATATACATTTATTACCCGCCCTTCACCAGCTTGCCCCAGGGCGGGTTACAACAACTTTTTAAAATATCAAAAGTTAGATATCAAAATTGAAAGGAAAAAAAAAACCACCCGTTAAAACAGATTAGAAGGGTACGTTAAATCTGCCTCTCCTTTCAGAGCAATGCCTCGCTTTGCCCTCAAGATGGCGCTCTGTGACACCCCTCACCCCCCATCCCCCCTCCCGCTTCTGCCTTCTGAGGGCGAGTGCCTGGAGACTCAGAGGCGAGAGCGGCGGCGAGCCCAGCCAATCGGACGCTTCCTCCTGGGCCGCGAGGCCAATGAGGGCGCCGGAGTGGCGCGGCGGGGGCGGGCCGAGCGAGGCCGTGCCCAGGTTAGGCTGAGGTGGAGGCATCGCTCCCTTCCAGCCGAGAGCGAGCGAGCGAGGGAGGGAGCGAGCAGCCTCCGCCGCCGCCGCCGCTGCTGCCGCCGCTGCCGCAGCTCCATCCTCGCTCGGGAGCGCGGATGGTGAGAGGGGCGGCTCGCCAGCCCCGCACCGGCCCGGCCTCCAGGTAAGCGACGCGTGGGAGGGGCCGAAGGTGGAGCGGGTGTGGGGTTGGTTGTGGGAAGCGTCCCTTCCAGCGAGGTTTTTTTTTGGCGTGTGTAAGATGGGGGCGATGGTGAGGGGCAGTGGGATTTCTGGTGCATTGGGGGCGTCTAGGTCGTGTGGACGTGGTGGGGCTGAGGAGGGGAAAGGGTGGTGCGGGGGGTTTTTTTGGGGAAAGGGCTTCCCGATGCCTTGAGGGTCTGCTGGGAGCTTGTGGGGCGCAGGGCGTGTGGAAGTTGGGGGGCTGAGAAAGGGAGATGGCGAGGGGTCCGAGGCATGAGAAGGGTGAGCATGGATGGACTGGGAGTCGTCTGGGCAGGGACTGGGGCGCCGGAGTTGGGCATGAGGAGGCTGGAGGAGAGAGTGGGCATGGGGAGGGGTATTGTGGGTATGGGGAGGGCTTTGGGGGTATGGGAGGGTCATCTGATTTGAGGGGTGTTGCCTAGTGGGAGGGGGTTAGATACGTGAGAGTAAGGAGTGGAACATTATCATGGGCTGTGGACTATGTTAGGGGATTGTATGCTAACATGGGGGGCATGGGGAGGGGTCCAGGGTTACCAAAAGGAAGCTTGGGGTCTATAGAGTGAATGGCAATTGAAGGCTGAGATGGGGGGGGTTGGGGCAAAAGGGGTATAGTGAGGAGTTTTGGGGTATAAGATGCGTGAGGGGCGAAGGGCTATTGGATGGATTAAGGGTTGTCTTGGGATGTGTGAATTAGGGGTTGAGTTGGTTTGCGAGCTGTGCTGAGGGTTTATATGCTGGAGGGGCTTGGTTTAGGCATGAACAGGGGTAAAGGAGTGAAGGATAGGGGCAATGAGAGAGGCCTTCACCTTGAGGGGCTGAGTTATGAGGTGTCTGGAAAAATGTGGGTTGAGGTGCATGACTTGGGGGAGCATGACTTGGGGGAGCATGACTTGGGGTGATGAGGTTCCTTTGAGGGGGGGTTGTGTGCGAGTTAGAAGTAAAAGAGTGTGGTAGGTTGATGATTGCATTCCACTTTTTCCTATGGCCCCAGGCATAACAGGAACATTGCCCCAAAAGGGTGGCTTATGAGAGAATATGGCCCTCACATTTGGAGTCTGTCTGCAGAATTAGGAAGGGTTTGGGGTATGAAGGGATGTTGGTAGAGAAGTGATGGGTTGGAGCCTAGGGAGAATTGGGGGTTGAGGAGCCAAGGGTAGGAAGTGGGAGAAGGCACCAGAAGGGTTAGAGTTGTTTTATGGGTTTGGGGTATAAAGGGTGAGTAGAGACCGAATTGAAAGGGAAGTACATTTTTAAGGGGTTGAGGCTGCCTTGGAGGTTTGTTTGGGTTGTGTAATATTGGGAATTAGAGAAGCATGAGGGTGCTGGGAAGAGTTAGGGAGTTGGGGTAGAAAGGTATGGGGGAGTGGGGCAATGTGGTTAGTTCAGAGATTTGTGGTATGAGAACTCTGGATATGGGGGAGTGGGGTTGGAAGTTGGGGGCAGAGGTGTTTGAGGTGTTGGAATAACTGTACAGTGAGGGATTTGGATTGAGAGTTTAATGTTTGGGGTGTTGCTTGTAGGTGCACTGTATGTGACAGGTGGAATTTATGCAATGAATTATCCTGAATTTGGGGTGCAGAGGATATAGACAGTTTGCTTTGTAGGATGTTGTGGGAACAGGAGGCTTGGGATGGGACCATTGAAGATACAGGCTTCATGTGGATGCTGGTGGTGTTGGTAAGGTGATGGTCAAGAGAAAGATTTGGGTCATAGGTATGGTTGGTGGGCTGTCGTTGACCTTGAATAGGTGTAGGATGGGTGCCAAGCTGTGGAGGATACTGCTTTAGGTGTCAGTCTCATTGGCCAAGGAACAGCTCATCTTTGGGTGAAAGGTGTGTGACATATATTGAGTGGAGGGATATTGTTGCACTGGGTGCAAGGTGAAGTGACCTATGAATAGGTGTGGGCACTGATGGGTAAAGAGCTTGGAGTCCTCAAGAGGGGGTGGCATGACTGTTACCCAGTGCCACCTGGAGCAAAGTCACTACAAAATAGGGGCAATGTTCTTGTGGGCTAGGAAAGGTGTAAGTGATCTGTTCTTTGCTTCTGTGTGTATAGGGAAGAAAAGACTCCAAATAAGGGTGACACCTGTCTCATGTGGGAGTCGTAAGATCTCCTAAGGAGAGAAGCCTTTTGCTTTGCACCCATTGATCCCCATTGCTCTCCAGTGCTTAAGATGTCTTTGAATGTAATGTTCTGACAAACGCAGGCAAGTATGTAAGCTGTGATTGTGGAGGTGGCTGTTGATGTGTGCTCGTCTTGGGTGGAGTGGGGTTGTCGTCCTGTCCTTGTTTGTCCCCGCAGCCCTCTGTCACTGCCTTCTCTCTCTCCCTGCCCCCGCTCCAGAACCACAGGCCTGGCAGAGAAGCCCCATCGCAGACGCAAAAGCAGGTAAGAGGATGGGCATCTCTTTCCTCCAGACCCTTCCCCAATTTAGTGCTGACAGATTCAGTAGCCTCTATTGATCTTGCTTTCCCTGTTACTGTAGTAGTGCCTTTGTGTGTGTCTGTGTGTGTGTGTGTGTGTGTGTGTGTGTGTGTGGTGGTGGTGGAGGGGCACAGAAAATATGTTTGGGATTGGTTTGAAAAATTTAACTGATAGGTGAACAGATTCTGTTTATTTTCCTGTTGCCGTTGCCCTGGAGAAGATAAAGATGGAACTGTACCCCTTGACTGGCTCTTAATTCTAAACGGGGTTGTAACTGCAGAGAGAGATTTTACTTAGTGCTAGTTACAGGAAGGTAATTAATTGCCTCACCCCTCAAATCTTGAGGAGGAATCTCTTAAGAGGGAACAATCCATCTTCTTGGATGTATGCTTCCCCCCCCCCCAAAAAAAAACACACTCAAGGGAGTGTGTTTCTCAGTGTTTATGTACACTCATTTCTGCATCTCTCTTTGACTTAGAAGAGCCTTGTCTGGAAATGTACACTGCAGTCATATTGGCTGCACTTCCTGTTGGCTTCCCATTCTTCAGTCTAGGGTTTTAATTTCTGTACCAAAGCATCACTCCCTGGTGTGTAGCATTGGGCTTATTCCACAGGTTTTATCTGCCCCCCCCTTTAAAATACGTGTTGTAAACAGCCTCTGGCATGTAAGACTCTTGAGTGTTCTGGAGTCTCCTTCCCCCCCTCCCCTTACCTACTGCTGGAAAAACATACCTTCCACCCCAGTTACTGAAATGACATCAGCTCCTTGCATGCATGCATGTGAATCAACACTTCCTATGTGAGCTCTCTGCTGAGCGCTGGTCTGCTGGCTGGCTGCACTCACAGACTTGCCCTTTTTGTTGGTGTCTGGATTGCTTTGCAAAAGAAGAAGAAGAGAGGCAGCTGTGGGCAATGGCTGAAAAATATTACCTGAAAAAATTGTGTGTGATGCATGCTGTTGTGAACTGTGGTAGGAAAGTCTGTTGGGCAGTGTATGCTGTGGAAAGGCTTCAGAAGTTTGCAACCCCCCTCCCCCCTAGTCTCTGCTATTTGTCAGGAGACCTTGCCTTGCATTCCTGGAGTGCTCTGCTATAGCTGAAGAGCTTTAGGTAGCAGGTTTGTGTTCCCTCCCACCCCACCGCCATTTGAGCAGGATGCTCTCTCTCTGTATCCACAAAGGTGTAGAAAGCAAAGGGAATCCCGAAGGGTTTGCAGGTGTGTGTGTGTGTGTGAGAGAGAGAGAGAGAGAGAGAGAGAGCACACACACTGTGACTCCTCTGGAGGAGGCAGCAATGGGGTGGGGGGAAATGCAGTAGATGCTTTTTGAAGGTTTTATTATTAAGCAGATGTTTTGCATGGATTCCTAGCTGCCACTCTCCTTCTCTGGCTCCTTCACCCACCTCTGCTTGATGGCATTATTAATTCTACAAGTGGCTCGGGTTTCTGCATCTTATTTTCTTTCAAGTGTTTGCTGTGTAATGTTACTAGCAGTTTTCCAGTACTGTCAGGTTGAAAATTCTCTTTGGGCAAAATTGTTAAGATTATGACTATTGGGAGCTGTGCTGTGCTGGTGCTCCAAGAACTGAGATGAACTTCCTGTAGTTTTGCAGGTGCAATTTATAGTTTTGAGGTTTGGGCCTATTTACATGTGGCCCAAGCAGAACTCCAAGAGGCCATCTTGTGAATTCTGTTGTGAAAAAAACAGATTGCCCAGTGAATTACATGGGAATGCAGGTAGGTCTGTGTTCTGGAGTTTTCCTAAGACACTGGGATCTGTTTTTCTGTACCTGGTCAGGTTTCCCATTCTGAAATTTGTATATTGCCTGATGTGCAAACTAATTGAGCTTTTGTACAGCCTAAGATCATAATCCTGAACCTCTGGCCATGTAGCTCACCTGCAGTGCATTATAGGATGTTGGTGGTGTGGAAAATCTCAATGGTAGAGCAATAGTTATAGAATTGTAGAGTTGGAAGGGACCCGAAGGGTCATCTAGTCCAACCCCCTGCATTGCAGGAATCTCAACTAAAGCATCCCTGACAGATGGCCATACAACCTCTGTTTAAAAACCTCTAAGGAAGGAGAGTCCACCACCTCCCGAGGGAGTCTGTTCCATTGTCAGTCAGCTTTTACTGTCATAAAGTTCTTCCTGATGTTTAATCGGAATCTTTTTTCTTGTAACTTGTAACTTCTTGAAGCCATTGATTCATGTCCTACCCTTTGGAGCTGGATAAAACAAGCTTGTTCTCTCTTCCATGTGACAACCCTTAAGATATTTGAAGATGGTTATCATATCTCCCCTCAGTCTCCTTTTATTCAGGCTAAATTTACCAATTATTTCAACCATTCCTCCTAAGGCTTTCTTTCCAGACCCTTGATCATCTGGTTGGGCTGACCAAAGCAGAATAGAGTGGTACTATCACTTGATCTGGACACTATACTTCTGTTGATGCAGTCTAGAATAGCATTAGTATTTTTTGCTGCTGCATTACACTGTTGACTTAAGCTTGTGGTCCATTAAGACTCCTAGATCTGATTCACATGTAGTACTAGTAAGCCAGAAGTGTTAGAAACTGAGATAGAAAAGCTAGGAGCCAAATGGCTCCTGGAACCTGGGTTACAGGGGTAAAAGCACAATGGCTAGTCACCCCCCCCCCAATTGCAGCAGCACTTTCTATTTATTTTTTTGAAGCACATAAACCAATACACAATTCATATCAGTGACAGGTTGTTAATAAAACATTTTTAATAGCAGTTCTTAATTTGACACCACAAACATAAATGGGGCTCAGCCTCAGCAATAGTGGCTAACCGTAAGCATTTATAAATACGTGTGTGTGTGAGAGAGAGAGAGAGAGCGCTCAATATGTGTCGCAGCTTCAGCAAGTACTGCAGTCACAGTTAAATATGCCTGTTATAACCAAACTTCTTGGAAGAACAGGCCTAACAGCACAATCCTAACCATTTCTACACTGAAATAGATCTTCCTGAAATAGATCCAAGCAAATGAGATTGGGATTCATTATTTTTGAGCAGTAGTCTCCATTCACAAGATAACTTTTTTTTTTTACTTTTTTTTTGCAGGACTGCCTATATACCCGAGCCTTCAAAATTCTGTTACATGAAAGGTTCTGGGTACCTGGGATGCCACATTTACTGTGGCAAACTAACTGTGTAAACGTTAGTGCATTTTGCAGGCCTTCCTTTTAATATCCAGAATCTGAGAATCTCTTAAAACATTAAAAGATTAATGTAATCACCTTCCTCCCCCTCTCCCTTGATGGGTGCCCATGTCCTCTCAAGAGTGTTTTCTTGTCCCAGCCAATGGGACAACGAGATGTCAGACTTACTAAGTGGGTTTAAATGTGTTAAGTTTTAAAATGCCATAATATTTCTACTAAATATTGGGGGAAGAAAGGAGGTCCCAAACCTCTCCCAAGGAGCCTTCCAGCACCTCATTATGTAAACAAGAAAGAAATGTCCACAAACAAACAAAGTAAACTTATTGTCAAATAAAGTAAGCTGAAACCTGGTGCCTCATTAACAGTGGAACAAAAGCAAAAAGAGACAGAGGGAGCAGTGGGTGTGGGTGGGCTGTATGGCAGTTTGCTTTGTCTCCTGCTTAGGATTTAAATCTCCCCTCCTGCTCCCTACCCCCAAGAGAGCTTTGCAGGTTGTTTGTTTACTTGTGCAAACAGTCCACATTGGAGTCTCTTTAGCACATCAAAAGTCTTCAGGGGAGTAGCATGGAAAAGCTCAGTTGCTCTCCTGCAGGGGAGATTTATTTCACTGGCGAACAAGGTGACTGCAAATCTCAATTTGGTTGCTAGATGGCTCTCTCGAGTCGCAAAAATGACTGGCGACTAGTTAATTTCGAACAGTGTAAGCCAGGCGTCCCCCATTGTATATTTGTGCATCTGGTTCTTCCTGCCTAAGTATAGAACCTTACATTTGTCTCTAATGAAATTTATTTTGTTACTTTGGGCCTAGTTCTCCAATCTGTTAAAACCATTTTGAATCTTGATTCTGTCTTCTGGGGCACTACCCCTCCCAGCTTGTTGTCATTTGATGAGCACCACCTCAATTCCATCATTTATAAAGATGTTGAACAACAATGGCGCCTAAAGGCGTATAATGAAGGCGCCAGGCGAACTTTGCTTAGGAGACCATTCCACAGACGGGGAACCACTGCAGAGAAGGCACCTTGTCTACCTCCTCAAGCCTTACCAACTAAAACTAATCCAACACAACAGGACTAGATTGTGCTCCAGACAAAAGGCCCTGTACAACCTGGAAAAACTCTGCCGGATTACATAATGAGAGTGCAATGGAGGCAGCAATATATGCCTTCTTTGCTGCCTTCACTGCCACTAGGTAGGCTGCAACACCCCACTTTACACTTCTTTCCAGGATGACGAGGAACCATTAGGGAGCACTCATTGGGTTTGGTCAGACAGCCAGCTACAAATCCACCTAACAGTTACCTCGTCTAACCCTCATTTTACCAGCTTCCTTGGGACTCTGTCAAAAGCCTTAATAAAGTCAAGATACACTATGTCCACAGAATTCCCCTGATCCACCAAGCTTGTAACTCCCATCAAAAAAAGAAATGAGATTTGTGTGGTATGACTTGTTTTTGAGAAACCCATGCTGGGTTTTTGTAATCCTTTTCTAAGAGCTCACAGACCAACTCTTGAATTATCTGTTCTAGGACCTTTCCTGGTATCAATGTCAATCTCATGGTTGGTAGTTACCTGAGTCTTCTTTTCTCTCCTTTTTGAAGATGGGGACAATATTTGCTTGCCTCCAGTCCACAGGAACCTTCCCTGTTCTCCAAAAATTCTCAACGATTATAAACAGAGGCTCTGATATTACATCTGCAAGCCCCTTTAGTACCCTTGGGTGCAGATCATCAGGTCCTAGAGATTTGAATTCTTTGAAAGTAGCTGGGTGTTCCCTTACCACCTTTTTCTTGCTTGGGCTGCAGCTCCCTTTTTACATCATTTATTCTGTTATCACCAGGTTGGGCACTGCTTTCCTTTTGGGTGAAGACAGAGGTAAAGTAGGTATTGAGCAGTTCCACCTTCTTTCTGTCACCCAATAGCGTTTCTCCATCTTCCCACACAGAGGACCTACTACTTGCTTGCTCTTCCTCTTGCTTTGAATATAGCCAAAGAAACTTAGTTATTTTTAATCTGTCTTGCAAGCCTCAGTTCATTCTGAGTTTGGGCCTGCCTGACCTCCCTGCAGCTGTTGACTGCAGCTATATATTTTTACTTGTTCTGCTGAGTGTAGATTAGAATTCAGTCTAAGGTGTATACCAGGTGTGGGGAACCTTTGGCCCTCCAGATGTTGCTGATCTGTGGCTCAGGCAGGAGGGGTCCACCACTGGGTACTTTGCCTGGGCTCTCTCTACCCTAGAACTGTCCCAGATAGTTTTCACCCATGATAGTCTTCACCCATTGTGAGAAGGGTAGCCAGCTCGTTATATCTGGCCCTGTAGAACCAACTTATCTGACACATGACAACAAAGGAAGCTGCCTTTACAGTGGTACCTTGGGTTACATACGCTTCAGGTTACATACGCTTCAGGTTACAGACTCCTCTAACCCGTAAATAGTACCTCGGGTTAAGAACTTTGCTTCAGGATGAGAACAGAAATCGTGCTCCGGCGGCATGGCAGCAGCAAAAGGCCCTATTAGCTAAAGTGGTGCTTCAGGTTAAGAACAGTTTCAGGTTAAGAACAGACCTCCAGAACGAATAAAGTACTTAACCCGAGGTACCACTGTATAATGAGTCAAACCGTAAGTCCATATAGTTCAGTATTGTCTACACTTAACTGTCATTAGCTCTCCAGGGTGTCAGACGGGGTTCTCTCCTAGCCATACCCTAAGATACCAGGGATTGAATCTATGATCTTCTGTGTGCAAATCATGTGCTCTGTTGCTGCATTTCATTTAAAAATAAATCAAGATTCTACTTCTCAAGGTTCTGAATACAGAGGCTGAATTAAACAGGAACGCTGGAAGCTGCCTTACACAGAGTCAGATCTTTGGTCTATCTAGCTCAGCAGTCTACACTGACTGGCAGTGGCTCTCAAAATATTTAAAACTGGGATCTCTCCAAGCTCTAACTGGATATGTCAGGTTTGAACCTATTTCCTTTTGCATGCCAAAAACTAAGCTGCAAACTCTTCTTTAAACTGGCAGCCCTACAGCTTGTAAATCAACCTGTGGTTTTAAAAACAACAACAACCATTCCCCATGCTTTCACAGGGAGAGGGTTAGTGGTGGTGTATTTTTTCAAAACTTTTGAGAAATTCCACACTTCAGTGATACATCGCTTTTGGGGTGTGTGGTATGTAATGCCTCGACCAGACCTGAGTTTGTGTATTCTGAAACAGTGAAACCTTCCTTGCTATTTGGCACCCCCCTTTTTTTTAACAGAGCCCAAGTACTCACTCTGGGCTAACATTCAACGAGTGAAATATACTGTACTATTGTCCTGGAAAATAAAGTGGCATCCAATAATAGAGCAGCTCACCATCTTTGCCTTGGAGTCAGCAAGGAAAAGAATATTGTTGGTGTGAGGGGACTCAAATACATATGCACTTTGAGCTTCCACATTCTCAGGAAAATTGTATGTTTTGACTCCTGGAAGGAACAGCATTTGTTCTTCATTGGCATACTCGTAGCTTTCCATTCTCTAGACTGGGAAAGTTAACCTGCAAAGCCAAGAGAGAGAGAAAGAAAGGACAAACTCTCATATTCTCATTATTAATAGACAAACAGGAACATTATGGCAAGGGTATTTAGAGTTTCTCTAAAGAATGTGCAAGATTGAAACCTGTGGATCTTTTGATTTTTCTTCTTCACTGTCATCTTTTTGTACCTTTAGGACTTCTCATTTTGTTTCCCCAGCATATTACTATTGAGTGCTCTCCTCTTTCCTGCTTCCCTTTAGAAGAGGGGTGGGGAACCCTGTGCCCACCAGGGGTTCAAATATTGCCTGTAATTTCCTTCCCCAAAACACGCCTACTTGCCCCATATTTTATGTGACATCAGGTATGAGGCAGGTGGAGCAACAGATTCCTATGTTCAACTGGGAGCCTTAAAGTGCAAAGTGCAGATTGTGCATTGGCAAAAGAAAGCAGGTTTCTGCTGCTCAGTTCCTAGGTGCCTGACAGCTGGGCTTGGTCCCTAGTGAAGGTCAACCAAATGTCAGTGGCATATAGGGAACCACCCGAAGTTCTGCATAAGCGGATCTCAATGGTTGAGGTGGAGCATAAGGCACCAGACTATCCTTAAGCTGCACTTGGGATGAGACAGCTCAAGATACTGAAGGGGGCTGCATTTGACCCTGGGGCTTCCAGCTGCTGACTTCCAGTGCCATCTTACTGCTGATTTTAGCAGGCCAAATCCATGAGAGATGCTCTTAGCTCTTAGCTATCCTACAGGCAGAAACTGTCACTGTTGGAGACCTAGAGTGCATTTTGTGACCCAAGATAAACCTGATTGTGTAATGCTTGGATCTTCACATCTCTGACAGTGGCATGAATGATTGGAAATTCTCTATGTTGCATCTGCTTGCAGGGCAGAGTAGTGGCAAGAGAAAACTTTTTTTGGAAGTGAGATAACTCTTCCTCCTTTAACCCCCACTGTCCATCTGCTTGCCTTGGGTAAGTTGTTGCAAAGTAACTGACATTTGAACTGAAATATCAAGTTATTCTGGCATTTGGTTCCAGCTCCTTCTATCAGCTCTGCCAGAACTACAAAGGGTGGGATCTGCTCTTGGCAGCAGCCAAGCAAAAAGGAGCCTTGTTTTGGCAACGAGGAATTGAAGTGTGGTGTGTGTTTGTGTGTTCTTATTCCAATAAACTAAAATCTGGAAGGAGAAGAGGTGGAAGCATCCAGACGAGGAGCTAGTGGGCCAATCCTATCTGTGAGCACATTTTCTTCCTTATGAATTTCCAATTTTTTAAAATGTATGTGCTGCTTCCATCTCTTTCTGGAGTAAAACCTGCTGCGGCTTTTTTCAGCAGCAAGAGTGCAGCTTTGGAACCGTCTTATCAGGGTAATAGTGGTAGGGCAGCTGCTTTGCATCCAAAAGGTACCAGGTTCAATTACCAGCATCTCTCTGTACGACTGGGAAAGAACCCTCTCTGAAATCTTTGAGAGCCGCTACTAGTCAGTGCAGACAGTACTGAGTTGGATGGACCAAAGTCTTGACTCAGTGTAAGAGTGTAAGGCAGCATTCTGCAGAACTAGAGCAGTCTTGTTTTTTGAACCATTCACTGGTGATCAAAAGTGACCAGGAATTCCATGTAGGCAAGTGAAATCAGCTGCTGGTGGAGGGACAAATTGCTTCATTCCTCCTTTGCCAGCCTGCTTGAATCTCCTTTCTGGGGAGGAGAACAGCCAGCTTTGGGCCGTTGGTTTGGAGTAAGAAAAGCTGTAAGCAGGCTAAATCCTTTGATTCCTCCAAGTCCACCTGCTCTTGCAAGTAATTTCAATCTCATATGGCAGCAGCAGCAATGGGGGTGGGGGCAAACCCAAGCTTTGACATTATTTGCACTCCCAACAGCCTATCTCCGCCTGACTCTGCCTTCGGTGGAAAATGTGTTGGGTGGTCAATTTTATTCCTCCCTCCTGCCCCCATGTCCAATTCTTAACACCTTCTAATTGCTGGAACCCTTGACATCAGTACCATGCTGTGCTTTGGAATTCAAAGAATGGGGGGGAGTGTCAGTTCCCCTGTCTCTCAATCCAGTTATACATCAAAGGAATGCAATTGACATTATGCCTCTTCTCGAGATCCACATCATAGAGCCAGTTTCCTCAAAACAGAGAGGTCAGAGTTCCATTCCCCCACCCAGTGGTGTTAACTGCTCCAAAAAAGTAATAAAAGGGAAACATGCACAATTCTTTATCTCAAACCTGCCAACCATTCCTTCGCCTAACACAAATTCATAATGGAGACTTTAAAGTCAATTCTTGTATGTCTTAAGTTTTGGTGAGATATATAGATACCAATGGTCTCCCCACGTATCTTCATATTCCCATAAGCAGGAGACATTGGTGCTTCATGTATGAGACCTAACGGTTCCACTTCCAAGACTTAACCTTTGGCCTCTCTTCATCTCCAAGGAGATTTACCGAGGTTTATTGCAGGGGTCAGCAAACTTTTTCAGCAGGGGCTGGTCCACTGTCCCTCAGACCTTGGGGGGGGGGGGGCTGGACTATATTTTTTTTGGGGGGTGAACAAATTCCTATGCCCCATAAATAACCCATAGATGCATTTTAGATAAAAGCACACGTTCTACTCCTGTAAAAACACGCTGATTCCCAGACCATCTCCACGGGCCAGATTTAGAATGATTGGGTCAGATCCAGCCCTGGGCCTTAGTTTGCCTTCCCATGGTTTAGTGGCACCGGGGCAGGAACATACGTACATCCTTACCTAGATGATCTGCAACATCATGGTTTTCTTAAACCTAAAAAAGAGTTGCCTGGAACCTTTCAATATCTTTTCCACTTCCCAGAGATGCAAACTTTTATCAGGCTTCTAGCTGTTCCTAGTCTTGCCTTTAATCTCTGGCAGCTCCCCTTGGAATTAGGATTTCAACCATCAACACTATCTAATGAGTGAGGTCTCACTCCGGAGCTCCACCCACCGCAGGTTTTCACCTTTAGATGAGCAAGCAAAGGATCAATTGATCAAACCCTTACTAGCAAATCTGCCAGGAAAATCTGGTCTCCCATATTAAATACCTTCTGGAGGATAGGTCAAATGATATTACACTGACCATGGCAAAATTTCTTTCGGAGGTCGCAAGAATCAAAGACCATCATACTCTAGACATAACTAAATGACTACCTCGGTCTCTTTCGCCTGCTGGTTGGTTGTTTTAACTGTATCTTGTTTTGAAACTGTTTTGTGGGTCTATGGACCACAATAAATATATTTGATTTGACTTTAGATCATTAGCAGTCTGAATCAAGAGGTATTGGTGTCTTTGATCCAGCACTCACTGAAATGGTGAGTGTCTCCCATGCACCTGTCTAGAGGAAGTCCATTTGTAGAACCATAACAAACAATGACAACTGATGGCTCTTTGAGAGATTGAGGAGTTCATCTTGCAAGTCTTGGGGACTCTGGTCTCTGGCAGAAAGCTCTTGGCATCAACCTTTTGAAATTTCAAGTAGTGAAACTCTCCTTACGCCTCTCACATTCTGTCTACTAGTGTCACAGATGGATTGGATGCAAACGAATGGTGGGAGGAACCAGCTGGGGAACCCCAAGGGAAGAAGGCTAAGAGCTCAGGGATTGGTGGTGGGACAATGATGGTCAGAGGGAGAAGAGAGAGAAGACTTCTACTGGTCTCCCTGGCCTCTAAAGGGCTGGTGGCAAAGCTCTGCAGAACACTTCCCCTCCTCCCAAGTGAACAAGAGGGGAGGTGTTCTGCCACCTAGCTTTGCTGATGGGTGGGAGGAGAACTGTTCTCTTGCCCAGTGGTGTGGTGCAGCTTTGTAGCAACTTCTCTTGAAGGGAGGAGCCAATAGCAAAGCCCCACTGCTGGGGGGGGGGATCTGGCAGTGGGAAGTTTTGCCTCAGGTGCTGAAATGCCTAGGACCACCTTGCTATTTGGCCCTCTGGACTCTTTCTAAGCAACACCTGCTCCCTTCTCCCCAGTCCATACCCCTCCCCAGTCTTGCTTTGTTACCTACTTTGCATGACTAGAATGTGTCCCTGAACTCTGATAATGCTGCTTCCTTGCCTGGAGAACGTAGAGGGGTATGTGATATTGTTGGCATCTACAGTATATGTTTTGAGAGACAATGGAGTGTGCCTCTGGGGGTGGTCAAACCACTGGAGAATCACAGCGCCAGCTGTGACTGTAGAAACTGGTAACTTGTAGCAGTTGCCTCCTGCATTGTTTCTGCAGTGTTAGCAGCACCAACATTACCTTTCCAGAGCTTAAGCTTGGGCACTGTGTATGGAGGTTTTGGGCTGCCCAGAGGACAAGACCCACCTCTTGGCCTCACTGATGTGGTCCACAAGGAAGCAGAGCCATACACTGGGCAACTGCTGGGGGGTGTAGAAAGAAACCTACTGTACAAAGGTGAAATCAGTGTTCATGTGGGTTGAAAAGGGTTCCCTGTCTTAGAACTAGCGTCATTTATTGCTGCTTGTCTGGGAAACCAGAAACCGACCAGACCCCTCTGCCTTGCCTTGTTCTAAGGCAGGCATCCCCAAACTCGACCCTCCAGTTGTTTTGGGACTACAACTCCCATCACCCCTGACCACAGGTCCTGTTAGCTAGTGATGATGGGAGTTGTAGTCCCATAACAGCTGGAGGGCCGAGTTTGGGGATGCCTGTTCTAAGGATAGGAATGAGGAACCTGTGGCCCTCCTGATGTTGATGGACTGCAGCATACATAATCCCTGATCTTGATCTGTTAGCTGAAGACTGGTGGGATTTGGAGTTCAGCAGCACCTGCAAGATCACAGGCTTTCCCTCTCTGCCTTAAAACATTTCATTTCTCCTTAACCTGCATTCTGCCCCCTTTGTGTGAGCACCGTTCATTTGAACAGCCAGAGGCGACTATGCACGGGCAAAACCAAGCAAACAAGGTTGAGTGGACGTCTTTGTATCTAAAGTATGTGAACTTGCTGCCAAAATAAATGCTACCTTGAAGTTTATGCCTGGTGAGGGAGTCCATTTCGACTTCTACTGTAAGAGCAGACCACAGTACAGTTGTACCTCGGCTCCCAAACGCCTTGGGAGTCAAACATTCCGGCTCCCAAATGATCGAAAACTGGAAGTGAGTGTTTCAGTTTTTGAACGTTCTTTTGGAAGCTGAACATCTGGCAGGGCTTCTGCAGCTTCTGATTGACTGCAGGAGCTTCCTTCAGCCAATCAGAAGCCACAATTTGGAAGTCAAATGTTTCAGAAGTTGAACGGGCTTCCGGGACAAATTCTGTTCGACTTCCGAGGTATGACTGTATTCTGCTTTCCTGAGATGTAGAATAGGATAGGGCAACAAATACCTTGGTGGAACAGCAAGTATTGGATGTGTCCATAATTTGTGATGGGTGGTGGTGGTGTTCACTCCAAAAAGTCCCATGTTGCCCATGTTGTGCTTTCAGGATGGTGACCAAAAATAAAATAAAATAAAAAAATTAAAATGAAGAGCAGTCCTAGTGGATTAGACTAAAGTGGATCAGACTGCCAATGTTGCAGTCTGGAATCAACCATCCAGGTGACTTTACGAAGCTCATGAGCAGGGTGATAAGATTATAGTTTTCCCCTGGTCATATCTACCATCTGGTAGTCAAGGGAACACTGCCTCTAAGCACTTAATAATAATAATAATAATAAATAATAATAAATTTTATTTATATCCCGCCCTCCCCAGCCGAAGCCGGGCTCAGGGCGGCTAACAACAATAAAACAGTACAAAAGTACAGCATAAACAACAGTCTAAAATCATTCGTTATAAAATTAATTAATTCAAGCCACTGGCAACCATTGGGCCAGAGCTCCGTGAAGATTGCCGAGGGAGGGAGTCAGGCTGTGCCCTGGCCAAAGGCCTGGTGGAACAGCTCTGTCTTGCAGGCCCTGCGGAAAGATGTCAAGTCCCGCAGGGCCCTGGTCTCTTGTGACAGAGTGTTCCACCAGATCGGAGCCACAGCCGAAAAAGCCCTGGCTCTAGTTGAGGCCAGCCTAACTTCTCTGGGGCCTGGGACCTTCAAGATCTTTTTATTCGAAGACCGTAAGTTTCTCTGTGGGGCATACCAGGAGAGGCGGTCCCGTAGGTACGAGGGTCCTAGGCCGTATAGGGCTTTAAAGGTTAAAACCAGCACCGTAAACCTGATCCTGTACTCCACCGGGAGCCAGTGCAGCTGGTATAGCACCGGGTGAATGTGATCTCGCAGCGAAGACCTCGTAAGGAGTCTCGCTGCAGCATTCTGCACCCGCTGGAGTTTCTGGGTCAGTCTCAGGGCAGCCCCACGTAGAGCGAGTTACAATAATCCAGTCTGGAGGTGACCGTCGCATGGATCACAGTGGCTAGGTCAGGGCGAGAGAGGTAAGGAGCCAACTGCTTAGCTTGGCGGAGATGGAAAAATGCCGCCTTTGTTATAGCTGCAATCTGCGCCTCCATGGAAAGGGAGGTGTCGAAGATTACACCCAAACTCTTAACGGACGGTGCTGGCACTAATTGCGCCCCCGCAAGAGATGGGAGTTGCCCCTCCAATCCCATATCGCCCCGTCCCAGCCACAGGACCTCTGTCTTCGAAGGATTTAGCTTCAACCGGCTCCCACGAAACCATCCAGCCACAGCTTCCAAACATCTAGTCAGTGTGTCTGGGGCCGAGTCAGGATGGCCATCCATCAACAGATAGAGTTGGGTGTCATCGGCATACTGATGGCAACCCAGCCCAAAACTCCGAACAAGCTGGGCGAGGGAGCATAAAGATGTTGAAAAGCATCGGGAGAGTATCGCACCCTGAGGTACTCCACACACCAAGGAGTGGCGCGATGACAATTCCCCCCCAAGCGCCACCCTCTGTCCCCGACCAGAGAGAAACGAGCGCAGCCATTGAAGGACTGTGCCCTGGATCCCCACGTCGGCAAGGCGGTGGTCTAGAAGTTCGTGATCGACCATGTCGAAAGCTGCTGACAGATCTAGAAGAATCAGCAGCCCCGACCCGCCTCGATCCAGCTGTCTACGAAGATCATCTGTTAGGGCAACCAGAGCCGTCTCGGTCCCATGACCAGTGCGGAAGCCGGACTGGAATGGATCCAGAGCCGATGTTTCATCCAGAAAACCACCAAGCTGTTCAGCAACCGCTCTCTCAATCACCTTACCCAGGAACGGAAGATTCGAAACCGGGCGGTAATTGGATAGATCTAAAGGATCTAATGATGTTTTCTTTAAGAGCGGGCGCACCACTGCCTCCTTCAGTTCCCCTGGGAATGTCCCGTGCCAAGGGACAAATTGATGATATCCCCCAGGAGGGCCCGCACCTCGTCTGGACACGCTCTAATCAGCCAAGACGGGCACGGGTCGAGAGGACAGGTGGTGGGCTTTCCAGCTCGGAGGAGTCTGTCCACATCGGCTGGGGATATCCGGTCGAAGTGGTCCAATACTGGACCCGAGGACAGTCGAGGGGCCTCCAGTTCCTTTATTGTATCCAAATTGGCAGGGAGGTCATGGCGGAACAACAAGACCTTCTCCGCAAAAAAGCTCGCAAATGCCTCACAGCTGTGTGTCAAATTGTTATTTAAATTTGGCTGTCCCTCAAGGGACGTTAAAGACCTGATTATACTAAATAATTGCGCCGGGCGAGAGCTTGCGGATGCAATGGAGGCCGAGAAGTATGACTTCTTAGCAGCCTTCACCGCCATCTCGTAGGTTTTCATAAAAGCCCTATAAGATGTTCTTGAGGCTCCGTCACGGGCACCCCGCCATACTCGCTCTAGCCGTCTGAGGTCCCGCTTCATTTTCCGGAGCTCCTCGGTAAACCAGGGAGCCCGGTTTCTGCGGGGTCGCAGAGGGCGCTTAGGTGCGATCTCATCGATGGCTGCCAGGAGCTGGGTATTCCAGCCCTCAACAAGCTCAGTCAATGAGTCGCCAGAGGAGCAAGGTCCCGCAAGGCTTGGCGGAATCTATCAGGGTCCATCAGCCTCTGCGGGCGAGCCCAAATCGGCTCGCCACCTAAGCAGGGTGGGGGTGGAAAGTCAATCCTGGCTTTCAGAGCGTAGTGATCAGACCATGGCACCTTCATCGAAGGAGACATGATCACATCTATACCTACGCCAAAGATCAAATCCAGCGTGTGGCCTGCTTGATGTGTGGGGCCCGAAACAAACTGGGAGAGCCCTAGTGTCGCCATGGAAGACACCAGGTCCAGAGCCTGTGAGGAGGGAGTGGCATCAGCATGGATGTTAAAGTCCCCCAATACCAATAGGTTAGGGAACTCCAAGGCCCAGCCGGCCACCGCCTCCAATAGGCCTGACAGGGTGGCTGCTGGTGCGCTAGGTGGCCGGTACACCAGCCAGACAGCCAAGCTCTCCTCGGAGCCCCACACTAGGCCAACACATTCAATGCCGGGGATCGATGGCGATGGTAGAGCCCTGAAAGGACAATCTTCCCGGATTAATAATGCCACCCCTCCCCCCCGGCCCACAGTCCGCGACTGGTGGAGGACGGAGAAACCTGGGGCGCCATCTCTCGTAAGGTAACTGTTGCCCCTTCGCGCACCCAGGTCTCCGTCACACAAGCCAGGTCGACCCCCTGCGAGATAAACAAATCTCGCAGGGTGGCGGTTGTAGTGCCTATAGACCTGGCATTGCACAGCACCAGTGACGGAGGTGAGTAATCCTTGCTCACCCTACCCTCGTCCCTTGGGATGGGGCGCAGATTGGAAGGGGTACGAGCGTATCCATATCTCGATCCCCTTCGCCTATAACATCTGCCCCCACCGCCATACCTCCCTCGCCCCTCCACGGTAGCAATCCCAGGCCTCATGGTAGCCTCCATTGATGGCATTCTTTCGCAGCCTAAAACAATAAAACCTTAAAACAATAAAAACAAAAAACAAAACAACCCAGAAAACAATAAAACAATACAAATAAAAACTGCAAAAATTACAAATTCATCAAAATCTAACAAATTCCCAAGCCCACCCAAACATCCATCCCACCCCCATATATAAAAAATCTAAAGGGAAAGGAAAATATTTAATAATAATAATAATAAACATGTTAAAAGAACTCTGCACCCCTCCGGGTCCTCCTGGGCAGTAGCAGCATCAGTGGCAACAACCATACTTGTGAAGCCCCACCCTGGGCCAGATAGTAAGTGGCAGGAGCAGTCCTTGTGAGGCCTGCCAGGCCCCGCCCCAGGCCAGGTGGTAAGTGGCAAGAAGGAGCAGGGCCCTCAGGCACTCACCACAGGGAGTCTTCCTGGGCAGCAGAGCAGTCCTTGTGAGGCTTCAGGCCCCGCCCCAGGCCAGATGGGAAGTGGCAAGAAGGGCAGGGCCCTCAGGCACTCACCACAGGGGAGTCTTCCTGGGCAGCAGAGCAGTCCTTGTGAGGCTTCAGGCCCCGCCCCGGCCAGATGGGAAGTGGCAAGAAGGAGCAGGGCCCTCAGGCACTCACCACAGGGGAGTCTTCCTGGGCAGCAGAGCAGTCCTTGTGAGGCTTCAGGCCCCGCCCCAGGCCAGATGGGAAGTGGCAAGAAGGAGCAGGGCCCTCAGGCACTCACCACAGGGAGTCTTCCTGGGCAGCAGAGCAGTCCTTGTGAGGCTTCAGGCCCCGCCCCAGGCCAGATGGGAAGTGGCAAGAAGGAGCAGGGCCCTCAGGCACACACACACGGGACTCTACCTGGGCAGCAGAGCAGTCCTTGTGAGGCTTCAGGCCCCGCCCCAGGCCAGATGGGAAGTGGCAAGAAGGGGCAGGGCCCTCAGGCACTCACCACAGGGGAGTCTTCCTGGGCAGCAGAGCAGTCCTTGTGAGGCTTCAGGCCCCGCCCCAGGCCAGATGGGAAGTGGCAAGAAGGAGCAGGGCCCTCAGGCACTCACCACAGGGGAGTCTTCCTGGGCAGCAGAGCAGTCCTTGTGAGGCTTCAGGCCCCGCCCCAGGCCAGATGGGAAGTGGCAAGAAGGAGCAGGGCCCTCAGGCACTCACCACAGGGAGTTTTCCTGGGCAGCAGAGCAGTCCTTGTGAGGCTTCAGGCCCCGCCCCAGGCCAGATGGGAAGTGGCAAGAAGGGGCAGGGCCCTCAGGCACTCACCACAGGGGAGTCTTCCTGGGCAGCAGAGCAGTCCTTGTGAGGCTTCAGGCCCCGCCCCAGGCCAGATGGGAAGTGGCAAGAAGGAGCAGGGCCCTCAGGCACTCACCACATGGGAGTCTTAATGGGCAGCAGAGCAGTCCTTGTGAGGCTTCAGGCCCCGCCCCAGGCCAGATGGGAAGTGGCAAGAAGGAGCAGGGACCTCAGGCACTCACCACAGGGAGTCTTCCTGGGCAGCAGAGCAGTCCTTGTGAGGCTTCAGGCCCCGCCCCAGGCCAGATGGGAAGTGGCAAGAAGGAGCAGGGCCCTCAGGCACTCACCACAGGGGAGTCTTCCTGGGCAGCAGAGCAGTCCTTGTGAGGCTTCAGGCCCCGCCCCAGGCCAGATGGGAAGTGGCAAGAAGGAGCAGGGCCCTCAGGCACTCACCACAGGGGAGTCTTCCTGGGCAGCAGAGCAGTCCTTGTGAGGCTTCAGGCCCCGCCCCAGGCCAGATGGGAAGTGGCAAGAAGGAGCAGGGCCCTCAGGCACTCACCACAGGGGAGAGTCACTTAGCCATGAAAACATAAATGAGAGAAAACAGTTATCATAGATTTGCACAGAAGACATGGAATAGGTTGCAAGGGAAGTGTTATGTTTCAACTGCCTTAGCCACTATTGTGTGTTATAATAAGCCATGTAGCTTGGCTTAATAAACCAAGTGCCCAGTCACTCCTGACTGACTCTGCTTTTGTCAGAAGTGAGTAAATGCACTGATAATTTCATTGTGTCCGAACCTGGGGTTGTAGTTGGTTCCTCCTTAACTAGCCCCTGTCTATTAGCTATTGGTAAACCATAGTTTTCAGTCTTGCTAACAGTCGTAACCTACTAGAGAGAAAGTAACCACTGGTCTGGGTTTGGGTGCAGCACTAAGCTAACTCCTTTCCTCCAAGAGAAGAGTGAAACAGGATCAGTTGGACTGAGTACATTAGCACGGAGACCTGTGCACAGTATGGTTTATCACACCAATCTTCTTGGCTCACTGTTATGTGCAAATGCAGCCATTGACAGATTAGAGGTGGTGGTGTATTGCTTTGCAGCATGTGTGAGTGGGTGAGGGGGAATGCATGGATTTGCCAACATGACTACAAACCTCCTTGCATCTAGGTCAGATATTTGATCCCCAATATAGATTCTGAGATGTATAGCCATATGTATACAGCTTTCTTGTGCAAACCATGAAAGCTCATTTAATTTGCATAGTGGGAGGATTAGTTATATTGGTATCAAACCTGTATGTATTTGTATTATATCCTGCTTTTCCTCCATAGAACAGAGTAACTCTCTCACCTGTATGGAAGAGGTTTGGCAGAGAGGGATATACCCAAAACTATTTGGAGAGCTTTTTTAGCAGCGTAGATCTTGGAGCCTCTGAAATCATATTTGCATGGGCCTTGTTATTCTCTGGTCTGGTACAGATGAAACCCTGATTGATCTCTCTCTTAACCATGGTTGGACAGACTGTCCAGAGCTAGTTTTAATTGTGTGTCTAGCTTGAGTGAGTTTGTTCCTCCCAGAGGACTGCCTTCTGAAGAAGCAAGAATTAGACCTGTCACTCCAATGCTCTCCAGGAACTTGGCTCTTCCTAGGGATGCATTTCCTGACTGCTCAATGCAAGGGGGCAGGACTTGGCTCTGCTCTGAGTGAAACTGGCATCTTGCCACCTCATGTGCAGCAAAAGGAGTTGGCTGCCTTCCTCTATTCTGCAACTTGGAGACAATCTGGCACAGTGAGCCTCAACTGCTGGGGTTTCTACAGTCCTGGCCAGTCAGTCTTGAGTACAAGCATAATTATTGTTTTCCATTACTATTTATTTATACAAATATTTATATATTGCCATATCATAAAACATAAAAGCAGTGTGCACTGTTAAAACAATATTTTTTTTAAAAGTGCTGATAATCATAAAGGCAACTGACTGTTTCCAGGTGTTCTTGTGCCTAACTGGGGGTTACTGCTTGCTAGGGCTGGGCAATGTCTGGTTTTCAACATTGTGACATATCTCCAGCTAAATATTATGATATACTGATGTATCACGATGTCTGAAATAAGGATAGAGCTATGTGGAAGCATTGGCTGGCTTCAAAGTTTTTCTTGCATGGTGAGTTTTGCCTACACCTGCTCTTGTGATTCACTGCCCCCTGCAGGAAGCAGGGGAGAGTTGAGCTGGCTGAGTTAACAGGGGCTGCAGGAATTGAGAGATGCATTGGATGGCTTCACAGTGTTTTCCACATTGTGATTTTTGCATTGCACACACCCACCCCATGATTTGCGATATATTGCCAGGTCAAAAATTATGAAACTGATATCACAAATGGACTTCAAATCGACAATATATCAATATATGGCCCAGCTCTACTGCTTGCTATTTATTTTATTTCTTATTACCATGATTTTTGTCCTGAAATTTCACTTTAGGCAAAGTCCGGTGGCTTTACTACTCCCTGGGTCTCCCCCCCCCCCCCCACTTTTCCACCCTTCACACGTGCATTTGTGCATGTACACACAGAGCTCTACCTCTGGCCTCTGTTTTTTTTACTTGAAATAAACCCTTGGCACAGGACAGGAGAGATGTCCACCTCTCATTTCTTGTTATGGGAAGTTGAATTGACTTCCAGCTGCCTGTCTGGGTAATTGGGAAGTTGATCACTCAGTGACTGAATCAATGGCAACTTCAGTTTAAAAGAAAACAAAAGAAAGAAGAACTGATTAAGTTGGCGTCAAGACTGCCATAGTGATGTTGGTAGTCTTTGGCTTTTGTATGTGGACTGGACAAGAGGTCGTGAACTGTGCTGAAAGAGGAAGCACTGAGGGTGGTGGTTGGACAAATGCAGAATTAACTGATGGAGGCAGCAGCACCTCAAACATAAGTGGGAGAGGAGGTGGCATTGTCTTTCTCTGATTTGTTGCTGTTCTCCTTCAGCTAGTGGGTTGGGAGTTGAGTTGTGAGGTGGGCTTAAAAGTGAGCTGCAGCAGTTCTGTTGCCACTACCACTGCTGTCTCCTTTCCTTGGTTTAGGAGTGGAAGAGACTGAGGCTCCACCTGCACAATCCAATTTAAAGCACCATCATACGACTTTAAGCCTGGGAAGTGTAGTTTGTAAAGGATGCCAAGAGTTGTTAGGAGGCCCCTCTTCTCTTCACAGAGCTACAATTCCCAAAGTTTCTTTGGAAAAGGAATTGGTCATTTAACCTCTGAGAATTGTAACTCTGTGAGGGGAAGAGAGGTCTCCTAACAACTCTCCACATCCTTAACAAATTACACTTCCCAGGATTCTTTGGGGAAAACCATGTCTGTTTAAAGTGGTATGCTCTGCTACAGATTAATAGTGCAGAAGGGGCCAAAGGGAGTAACCAGATATCCAAGCAAAGCATGTGCATTACTGTAGAGCTGTGGTTCCTTGCTAGAGGTGGTTGTTTTCACATTGGTAGACTCCTTCCCTTTTAGTGTCATTGCAACCACATCATTACTGCACTGCATCATGAGTCTCAGCTGGTTCACAAAAATGCTTCTTCATGGACCTGAATGCATGCACTCCTGTTCAGGTTGGGCCTCTGAGGAGGGGGACCATCATCTCACTTCGGTCAAGCTACCAATGTGAGTCTGGAGCTGCCCTGAAACTCTGTTTGGATCTCAGAATGGAGTTCCTCTTTTAGTCTCTATGCTAGTCCCGCCCAACTTTGGTTGTTGTGAGAGAGTAGCTAATTTTAAAAATACATTCTCCTGTACACATACAATTTTCCATGTGGGTGATTAGAGGAAAATAATTATTAGGATGTTGGTTCTTTGTAATTATAACAACAGAGAGTCTCCATGACACTGTCGTGGTGGTAGCAACATCTTCGCTTCGCCAAGGAGTTAAGCAGGAAAAAGAAAAATGCTGTGCCAGTGTGGAGCTGTCTGTTGCTGTTCTATCAGTGGATTGAACTTGCTGCAGGATGGTGATGTGGTAAGAAGATGAAATGGGATGTATGTTTGTTCTTTGAGTGACCAAATTTGAGGCCTCTTACAGTTGCTAAATCAGAAGGAGCAGTTGAAACAGTTACAACAACATCAGTAACCTCTGAAGACAGTGGACTTCTTTTTTTCTTTTTACATCGCAGAGCATTCAACAGTTGCTCCTGCCACCAGGAACGGGCAAGAGCTGCAGACTATCCAGCTGCCCAAGTGTGGAGAGAGTGCATCTTCTAGGGAACAAATACACATGGTGTCATTTGGGCATAGTTTCTTAAGTTGTGCACTTCTGGTGTGAGTAGATAAGTATTTGCCACTGAGGATGCCATGGAATATTCAAAGAAAAGCATCTGAAATAGCTGCAGCAGCAGTAACATCTATGTTGGTGGCGGGAATTTCAAGTCCTAGGAGCTAAATGCAATGCCTCAGACTTTTCCGTATAGCCCTTGGAAGTCTCTGGAATGCCTCTTTAGGATTCCTCTTTTAACATCTGGCTGAAGCATTCTACACTTGATTTTCTACTTGATTGCCCTTCACCTCTTTCATCAATTGCTCTGTGGGTTACAAATGCAAACCAAATCCCAGGTAGACATGTCTGCACCTTTCACTGGTTCTTGCTCTGAAGGCAAGCTGCAATATAACTGTAAATCTCCCTTGACCTGTTCTCGTTCCCCCTTGCCATTTAAACACTGTGGGGGTCTTAAGAGCTCTGTCAAGGACCCTTGATAGGATTAGCCTCTCCTGTATAGTAATGTTGAGTCCAAATCATGTTGCTATATGCTGAAGCAATTTATGGGTGAGGGAGAGAGAAACCAGCTAGTGTAACATGCATATGGAATAAAAGGAATGGTGCCTGTAATTATATCCTTCCGCCCAACTGTCTTTCTCGGCATGTCAGGATTGAAATGCTGGCAGTTTCAGTAAATGCAGAGAGACCTTCCCTTTGGTCACTTTGTCGTAGGTGAAATGTATTGAGGTTCAGTTAGGTTTATGGGGGGCAGCTTCTTTCTTTAAAAAGACCCAATGAAGCTTCATATATTTCTTAGCTCATATCTGCACTGCAGTTTAATCCTGGTTGATCTCATTGCTTTGCCTGGTTTATTGATTTATTAACAAAACTTCATTGGTTTTTATACAGATATAAATACAGGAACCATTAAGCACCATCTAGCAGTACATCTAATGGTGTTTGTTTTATCCATTGACTCTAGACATAAATGTTGGCATTCAGCATTCAAACATATTACTTTTTTATTTTATATTTCAGTCTGGTTCTTCTAACGTTGATCTATTGTTGGTCATGCTGTGGTCAGTAAGAAGCCTACTAGTTCTCTGTGGTGCAGGGTGGAGTTGAATTCAGTGTCCAAAGATAGTAGGGCTAAGGCAGGATTTGGAGAAAGGGGTTGGCTTGTAATTTCAGATATAAGTGACAATACTCTATTCCAAAAGTTTTTTAACATGGGGGCATTCCCACCAACTAAGAAAAAATGTCCCAAGATTTCCACGGTCCTTCCAATATGAAAGGGAGGAATTAATTTGTGCCAGCCTGATTGGTGTCCAGTGCCAATGGAGGATGTCCTTGAGCAAGTCTTCCTGCAAGGAGCAGAGATTTGGGGGTGGGGGTCCAAATACCTTTCCATTTGTGATCTTCAACTGGATGGCCTAAATCTGATTTTCATACAGTTATAAGGCCTCTATCACCCCCTGCTTCATGATCTAATACAGGGGTCGACAAGATTTAGCTCACCTGGGCCGGTTCACTCCAGTGGAGATCCCTCCGTGGGCTGGATTGCACGCATGTGTGAGTGGGCGCGCCCACAATAACATCTGCATCCAGATGTAATTTCTGGCGTCTGCGTCTGCGCAGACGCGATTTCCGGTGCTGCAAAAGCGAGTCCGCACACCGTGCTGTGCCAGTTTAGCGCAGCATGCGGGGACTCACTGAGCGGGTGGCTTGGTTTGGGGGCGGCTCGTGGGCCAGTTAAACAACCCCCGTGGGCCACTTATGGCCCATGGGCCTTAGGTTGCCGACCCCTCATCTAATAGATTGCTGTATGTTAGGAAAGCAGCACCCTTCAGGTCATATGGTTGTTTGTGGTGCTTGAGATGGGAAGAGGCGCTGGGGAGGGTCATCTGCTGCTTGGAGCTAGAGCTCGTTGAGCACGTTGTCAGCTTGGTTGTTATTACTCACAACCCAGGTTCTGCCTTTCTGCTGGACTATCAACGTAAAAGGGAAGCCCCAGTGATAAGCTATGCCCACTTCTTTTAGTACCGATGTTTAAGGCCAGAGAGCACCCTACCATCTCTGTGTGGCTGGGCTGATGTCCTGGAATATTTCAATGGTGGCTTCACTGTACTTTATGTTTTTAACATTCTGTAGTGCTTTGTAAATTGAGTCTTTGAGCCTATAGTGTTCAAAGCAAATTACCACATTTCTCAGGGCTTCCCCAGTTCTGCTTCTGCCTCCTGGAACCCGATGAGCTCTTTCTGTGTCATTGGGGGACAGTGGTATGTTTATATTCAGAGATAGTATCCAATCAGTAATGAATTGAACCATGCCCCCCGCTTCCTGGTTCTCCAGTAGGTTTGTAGACTATTTCCCCCCTCAAATCCTTGTCCAATTGCTCTTCCAGCTTCATAGCTAAATCTTCAGTCATCATTTGTAAGAGCTGGATCTCAGACTGATTGGTTAGAGCAAGATTGTGTGCATCATTTGCTGTTTTAGAAATATCTGGTAGCTGGTTAGATAGCACATCAAATTTCTGCTCAAGCAGAGCTAGGGCTGCCCCCCAGTCTAAGGCTAGTGCCTTTTTTAAATTTATGTACTCATCTGAATCTCCGTCCTCCTCTATTGTGGCAGATACTCTCCTGCCTTTTGGAGTCCTCATATTGCCTTTGGTCATGTCAGTGTCTGAGGCCTCCTCTGAAGCCTCAGACAGAGCTCCATCTATTTCTTCCTGAAAATCTAACCTTGCAGATTTACTTTTAGGTCCCTGTATTCCTTGTATCGGACGCGGGTGGCGCTGTGGGTTAAACCACAGAGCCTAGGACTTGCCAATTAGAAGGTCAGCAGTTCAGTCCCTGCTCCTGCCAACCTAGCAGTTCGAAAGCATGTCAAAGTGCAAATAGATAAATAGGTACCGCTCCGGTGGGAAGGTAAACGGCGTTTCCATGCACTGCTCTGGTTTGCCAGAAGCGGCTTAGTCATGCTGGCCACATGACCCGGAAGCTGTACGCCGGCTCCCTCGGCCAATAAAGCCGATGTCAATAGGATCCACTCTGCTTAGATTTTGTCCTGGGGGGATTGGGGACACAGTCTTATGCCCTCATTTACCTTTCCAGCTAGCCATGCCCCCCCCCATTTATTTGTTTCTTTAAAATAATAGACACCCACCCACCTATTTCCACCAATGATTTCATTGCTGGGATTGTAGCAGTACCTGAATTGAACTGTGTGTCCTATGATCTGGAATCCTGCATGAGTTTGGGCAGGTGCACCTGACATGGAGAAATGATTATGGGAGGTGAAAACTATGTCTCTATCTTACCCCAGCTCCTCTGCAAAAATGCAACCTTACACACTTGTGCAACCCCTTGCAACGTGTCGTTTGCACCTCTGCACACCGGTGTATTGCTCTGAAAGGGTATGTGCCTTATTTGTGGTATAATGCTGCAGAGTGGTGAGCCAGTTATCCCCAACTTAAAGGAATATAAATGGCTAATTCTGTTGCTGCAGATCTGCCCTTTTCAAAATAAGTTGCATTTATTGTGTTTTAGTATTTAGAAATAGAAGTCTTGAAAGGGAGGAACTCACTGTATGAGGGGTTTTGTATATAAAATTGTAATGTCTCTACAGGTGTTGGGGTACACAGAAGAGAGGGGGAAGAGAAAGAAAAGAAAGAAAGAAAGAAAGAAAGAGACTGTCAAAGCAAATGACAAGTGGAAGGAATAGCCTTCTAAAATGAATAGAATTAATAGCTACTTATTTCTTGGAATATATGCGCAAAGGCTGACTGGGGCTCTGGTGAGGCCTAGTCTTGTTCTTGCTGTCTTAATTGGGCTCTGTTGTTTGCCTCTAACCACCAGCCATCAGCTGCTATTAAATGCTAAAAATAACAAGGCATTTCATTTACACCCCCTTATGGTTCTCTGATTTCTGATGCCTTGCATGTATCTTCTTTTCACAATCTGGCATTGTGCTGCTCTTTGGTTGAAGCTTTAGGATGGCCACACTTCATATTTTATTGATATTTGCTCATAGTGGTGGCATTCAGACTCTCTGGGTGGTATTCAGTGTAGCGTGAAGTAAGTAGATCTGTTAGCACAAAGAAACATGTTTGTGCAACAGAACTTCCCCCCCTCTCCTTCACCTATATTTCTCTCCCATATCTGTTTTGTGTCTGGACCTAACCCTTTGGAGCAGGTTCGAAAAGAGTGGGAGGCCCAGTGGGAGACATTCTGTTGCACAAGCACAAATCTTTAGAGGACTATTTTCACATCTGCTGTGGGGATCCTGTATTTTGGGGAGGATTCTGTAGTATCTCTACAGCAGGGGTGGAGCTTCTTTTTTGGCCTGAGGGTGGTACTGCCCAGCTCCTAAGGTGCACATGCACACATGCTTCTAGCATCTACGTAGCTGACATTAACTTTTCCAGTTTTGTGCCTGATGGAGCAGTGGAAACATAAGCCTCTCCCCCAGGCTTATGTCCCTCATCTGGTGGTGTTCACATGCAACCTGAGACTTCTCCTGCATGGAGGTCATCTCAGCACTTCCCTCTTCAAGCCCATTCTGGTTCTAGGAGACAGCAGGGAAGAGGGCAGTGGGGATTTGGCTGGCCTGCCCCTTACCTGAACAGCCTATTTCTGCATCCCTACCTCTGTCTCTGACTACTCAAACCCTTCCCCCTCCCTCCCCTTGCTGCCCATAAATCACTGGATCTCTCTCATGGGTCAGCTTCCTGCCCACTGCCTCCATCACAAACTTGTCAAGGCCTTGCCAGTTGCCCTCCCACCGTGATATAAGATCTGTCTAATTTGCATATTCCTGCCTGTTGAGTAACTGGGAGGGACAGCCCATCTGTGGATTCCCTCCATCCCCAATGAAGGTACCATGAAGGTCCATTGTCACATTTTCTCCAAGTTTTCTGCTATCACCACCACAGCTAAATTGGGCTATGGGCCTGTGGAAGGCCACTCTGGAAGGTTCGGTGGGCTAGATTAGGTCATTAGTAAGGGCTGGGGTTCCCTGCTTCTGGTTTAGGGCATACTTTCAGTTCGTGTAGGATACTTGCACTTCTTGGGAATTGCTCCTGCCCTGCATGAATGGAGTGCAATCTAGGGCATGCTTCATGCGCCCCAGCAGGTGAGGAAGATCTGTAGGGGCAGGCAAGCTGTCTTTAGGGAAGTTTGTTTGGCGTTACTGATCCTCTTACTGAGGAGCTGATAAGATTCCCTGGAACACAGTTTGAAAAACGGCTGGCTTATATAAACATTAAATGTGCATCCCCTGCAGATCTGCATTGCTTCGTGCCACAAAGGAACTTCAGAGCTCGGCAGAAAACTGTGAACCGCCTCATGCAGCAAAATGACTATAACCAAAAATATAAAGAAGTTGACACACTTTCCTTAAGCTCTCAGCTGACTTGCTGGCACCGAAGGTAGCTCACTGGGAGACAATCTGCCTTGCATGCAGAAGGTCCCAGGTTCAGGAAGAAAACAATATCTGAAATCCTGGAGGGCTGCTGCCATTCTGCATTGACAAAATGGAGCTAGATGGTCTGACTTGATATAAGGCAGCTCCCCATATTGCTATATTGGGCCTAGATATGGGAAGGCCTGGAAAAAAACCGGAAACATGGGGGTGGACACACAGGGTTTTCCCCATTTTTTCCCCGAAGCCGTTGGAAAAAAACCTGCCCGTTTTTTTTAAAACCAGTATTTTTACCAGCCCCCCCCCCCAGGCCTTCTCATCTCTAAAATTTTGGCCTGTAGCGGAGAGCCCCCATGAATTCAGAGCTGGATGGAGTGGCAGATATCGCTAGAGTAGCTCCTAGCCAAAGCAAGGGAGGTGGCACTCTTCAAGTGGGTGGCCAGAGGTAGATGTATAGCCAGGTGTCCAGTTAAACTCAGTAGTGGAAAGAGGTGTGTCCATGAGACTAACAGCTGAAACCACAGATAGGAAGTAGATAGGATCAGGTACTCCCAAGGAACAGCAGGTTGCTCTCTAGAAAGGCTAGAGACCTGTATACAAGGTAGTATGTTGCTTGAGGCAAAGGCCCGAGACTAGTACTGTTTATGTGATTAAGAGTTGTCAGCCCTCTCTTTCTCTGAGTCATAGAATCATAGAATTGCAGAGTTGGAAGGAACCCCAAGGTTCCTCATCTAGTCCAACCACCTGCAATGCAGGTACCTCAACTAGATCATACATGACAAATGGCCATCCAACCCAGAGTTGGCCCGTCAAGGGCGCAGGCCCAGCGTGTGTGTGTGCGTGCAAAAATCATGCCTCTCCACTCTGGCTCAGAGTGGCTAGAAGGTCTGTCCATGCATTCCTCTTGTGCTGCTCTTCCATAGCTGTGGGAAACTGGGTGAGGCATGCAGGCTCCTCTGAGTGCCTTGGCGGAGGAATCTGGTCACTGGCATGGGCTGTTGCAGCAACTCTGCAGGGTGCCCTCTCCAGTTAGAAGTGGGGAGAGTTGCAGGAGGAGGAAAAACAGGGGGGGGGAGGGAGGAAGGAGACCAAAGAGAAAGCAGTGAGTGGAGGGAGGGAGAGAGAGAGGCAGGAACAGAGAGATGGACTAATAGAGATGGAGGAGAGCAGACCCAACCTTGATGGCCACAGAGGAAATCACTGGGTAAATGGGAAAGGTGGCAAAAAACTTTTTTACAAAGGTTCTGGTACATTGTCTCTTACAGCTTCAAAGGTACATGCATCTCCTTTCCAAGGGTACAAGGGAGCCTAGGTACACCTCTGATCCAATCTCTGCTTAAAAACCTCAAAGGAAGGAGATTCCACCATCTCTTGTGGGTGTCTCCTTAGAATAGATTTTCCTGGGATGGAGGAACAAATTGTCTGGCTTCCCTATATTCTACTTGGAATTTCTTTTGAGTTGTGGTAGAGGCCTGGTTCTCCTAAGCCTAATGTACCATCCAGGTCCCTCTCTCTCCCCTTTCCATTCCTGCAGTTCTGCCTGACTGCCTAGCTAAACTGCTTCAATCTGCAGCATAATCTATCACTAGATTTCTCCCTCCTCCATCTCCGGTGCTAAACAATGTACGTGCAAAAAGCAGATCTGACTGCTAGATCACGTCTATGAGGAAGATGAGTAGCTGGCACCACAGCCACTTGAAAGACAGTGATGGTCCACAGCAGGAAATAAGTCCATTCATCTGTAGAACTTAGGCCCTTTGCTGTTACCTATCCTTTGTCCTACTGTCCCACTGGCTGAAGCTGATGGGAGTTCTAGTCCCAAACATCTGACAGGTACTACATTGGGGAAGGCTGATGAGGCCCAGTACTATCTACTCCCAAGTGGCAGTGATTTTCCCAAGCTCTCAGGCAGAGAAAGACTCTTTCCCAGCCCTACTGGCTGATGCCTTTTCCCAAACTAGATAAGAAGGGCTATTCTTGGAACTTTTTAAGCCAGCATGCACCTGCTCCATATGTTAATACTTTCCAGATGCAAATTTGCTTGCCCCACATATAACATCAGGTGTAGGGCAGGCTGCTGTGTTTTGGGGGTGGGGACAAATTAGGATATCTGCCATGACCAGAAATTGGAGGTTGCCTACCGCTCCCACCATTATGGTGTATAAAGCAAAACACAACCAACATTTGTGTATTCTTTATCATACACATTGTCCATCAGTATTACCAAACTCTTTGCTGTCCTTTCCCCCTCTGTTCTGTCTTGCAGAGATGCTGGCAGGTTATTAAGGGACAGAGCCGGAAGCAAAAGTAATTGAAACTGCTGGAGCCTGAAATAAAATAAAGGAACGCCCACCCCAATCTTTCCCCCCCTCTTTCTTCTAATTTTAGCTTAAGGAGCTTCACTGGGTCACATCGATCAGTTCCCTGGGTCATAAGAAGTTTATCGCTGTCCAGAGCTTGGCTGATAACTCGGGGGAAATAATTTGGCATCTAATTAAACTGGCATTTAAAATGCGCCAAGTCTAGTAAGTGGCATATCTCCTCCCTCCCCAAGCTGAATAGTTTTTTTAAAAAAAGAAAAAGGGAAGCTGCTTTGACATAACCATTCGCGCTAAAGAGAGAAGCAGCAAGACTTGGGTGGGCCAGAAATGTCCTACTGTAGTGTGCTGCACTCTGACTTTCTTTTTGACAGCTTTATAGCCTGTAGAGAGATAGGGAGAGAGAGAGAGCTTTTGCACACATGCATTGTTGAGTTTCTTTTTGCCTTGGGTGTAGAAGAGGGTTTGCCACCTGCCCCTAGAAAAACAGAATCCTTTTTTTGGAGGAAAATGTCCCCTGTCTGGTTTGGACTTCATCCCCCCTTTTTTGAGGTCCTCATCACCACCCTCAAAACTGTGTGGGTGGGTCTGACAGCTCTTGTCCTTCTCAAGGTGGCTCCAAGTTGACTGAAAACCCCCAAACCCTATACTCTACAGTGCCACTTCTCTTCCTCCCACCCTTGCAATGACTTCGACCTTCCAAGCATAATGGATGGCTCCCTCACTCCTTTGTAGGTGGGCCATCACGAGCCCCAAGGGAGGCAAAGAGGGAGAGGGAGAGAAATACAGGGCTAGCCAGCAGCAGTGCTCAGAGGAATGACCAATGGCTTCAGTATTCTCTACACGAACGCACAGAGTATGGGAAACAAACAAGAAGAACTTGAACTCTTAATACAGGTTGGCAAATATGACCCCAATAGGCCTAATTACTGAAACCTGGTGGGATGAGACTCACGACTGGAATGTAGAAATTGAGGGGTACAACCTGCTTATAAGAAATAGATCGAACAGGAAGGGAAGAATAGGGAAGATGTGTGCATTTGAGAAGAGATCCATGACTTGGAGCATGGAAAGCAAGTTGAGCGATTATGGGTAAAAATTGTAGGAGAGGGAGACAGCAGTCCTTAGTGTGGATGTTTGCTATAGGCCTCCAAGCCAGACCATCAGCCAGACTTGGATGATGCTTTCGTATAGCAGATTACTTAACGTTCAAAAAGAAGAGTAGTATGGCAGACTTCACTTCCCCCCCAATCTGTTGGAACTCAAACTCTGCCAGGAATGTAGAGTCCAACAAATTCTTCCACTGCCTCGCTAGCAATTTCATTACCCAGAAGGTGAAATAAGCAACAAGGGAGTCATCTTTCTTGGGCCTGGTCCTCACTAATGGGGAGAAACTGATCAACGAAGTGAAAGGATGGGGAAACTTGGGAGGAAGTTTTCAGTTGGCAGTGGTGCAGCAATAAAACTGCTAGCACATTCACAAAGCTAAGCAGGATCCAGTATGGTTTCAAATTGAATGGGAGACTGCATGTTGAGGTTCCTGCATTCCAAGGAGTTGGACTAGATGTCCTTAGGGTCCTTTCCAACTCTACAATTCTGTCATTCCGTGATTCTATGTCCTCATTGATTTCATTATACACCAAGGGAAAGTTGAGTGTAGTCAGACATGCACACTGGACTTTAAGAAGGCTGATTTCAAAAAGCTTAAGGAACTACTAGGTAAAGTCCAATGGTCAGAAATACTCAAAGAGAAGGGAATCCAAGATACATGGGAGTTTCTTAAAGGTGCAATACTGAAGGCATAAAGGCAGCCAATTCCAAAAAGAAATAAAAGTGGAAGGCACCTATAGAACCAGGTGTGGCTAAATAAGGAGCTGACGAATGAGTTGAGATGTAAGAAGGGCATGTATAAGAAATGGAAGGAAGAAGAAATCACAAAGGAAGAATATACAGAAGTAGTCAACAGCTGCAGGGAGGTCAGGCAGGCTCAAACTCAGAATGAACTGAGGCTTGCAAGACAGATTAAAAACTATGTTTCTTTGGCTATGTTCAAAGCAAGAGGAAGAGCAAGCAAGTAGTAGGTCCTCTGTGTGGGAAGATGGAGAAACGCTATTGGGTGACAGAGAGAGGGTGGAACTGCCCAATACTTACTTTACCTCTGTCTTCACCCAAAAGGAAGGCAGTGCCCAACCTAGTGATAACAGAATAAACAATACAAGAAAGAGCTGCAGCCCAAACAAGGAAAAGAGGTGGTAAGGGAACACCTAGCTAATTTAAATGAATTCAGATCTTCAGGGCCTTATGAGCTGCACCCAACAGCACTAAAGGAGCTTGTGTATGTAATCTCATAGCTTCTGTTATAATCTTAAAGAACCTCACCTGTTCTCCAAGAGTTCTCTAAGACTGGATGCGGGCAAATGATGTCCCCATCCCCATATTCAAAACAGGGAGGAAAGAAGTCCTAGGTAGCTACCAACTAGTCAGCTTGACATTGATACCAGCGGTGCTTTTTTTCTGGGAGTACTCAAGGGTATGCAGTACCGAAACTTTTTGCTTCTTCAAATGTTAAAAGTGTAACACTTACTGTAACAACTTCAAGGTGAGTACCAGCACCTTTTTTCTTTTCTTTTTTTTTAAGCACTGGATACCAGGAAAGGTCCTGGAACAGATCTTTATAAACAACTTGGATGAAGGTATTGAGGGGATGCTCCTCAGATTTCAAATGACATCAAACTGGGACAGGTAGCTAATGCTGCAGAAGACCTTAACTGGACCCAAATCAGAATTCAATATTACCTTAACTGGTCCCAAACTAACAGAATGAAATTCAGTAGAGACAAATGTAAGGTTCTGCTCTTCAGCAGGAAGAACCAGTTGCACAAATATAAGATGGGGAGGGGCACCTGGCTTGCCAGTAGTACATTTAGGGGTCTTAGGGGTCTTAGTAGACTGCAGGCTTAACATGAATCAACAATGTGATGGACATGCAAAAAAAAGCTGATGTTATTCTAGACTACATCATTCTGCCTTGGTCAGACCACACTTGGAATACAGTCGTACCTTGGTTCTCGAACAGAATGTGTACCAGGAGTCCATTTGATTCCCAGAACTGTTAAAAAACTAAGGTGCGGCTTCCAATTGGCTGCAGGAGTGCGCTGCAGCCAAGTGGAAGCTGTGGAAGCCATGCTGGATGTTCGGCTTCTGAAAATTGTTCAAAAACCGGAACACTCACTTCCAGGTTTCGATCATTCGGGAGCTAATTTGTTTGGGAGTCAAGGCATTTGAGATCCAAGGTACGACTGTACTGGACAGCACAGTTTAAGAAGGACATCAACAAGCTGGAAAATATGCAGAGGAGGGCAACCAAGATGATAAAGGGTCAAAAAACCAAGCCTTATGAGGAATGGTTGAAGGAACTGGGTATGTTTAGCCTGGTAAAAAGGAGACTGAGAGGAGATATGATAGCCCTCTTGAGATACCTAAAGGGCTGTCACATGAAGGAAGGAGCAAACTTGTTTTCTCCTGCTGCAGAGGCTAGGACCCAAACCAAGGGATTCAAGTTAGCAGAAAGGAGATTCTGACTAAATATCAGGAAATGCTTTCTGACAGTAAGAGCTGTGGAGAAGAACAGTGGAAAATTGTCTCCCTCGGGAGGTTGTGGACTCTTTTATTGGAGGTTTTTAAGCAGAGATTGGATGGCCATCTGTCATGGATACTTCATCTGAGATTCCTGCATTTCAGGGGGTTGGACTAGGTGATCATTGAGATATCATCTCATTCTATGAGAGAGGTCTCCCTGCAAATCTAGTTGTGCACTTCCCAGAGGCTTCATGAAATTAGGACGGGGGCTACATTGGGCTGGAATACTTGGACACTTTTGGTTTTAAATGTTCTATACCTCACCCATGTATTGGATTATGGCAGTGTGCTCTGTGTGGGGCTTCCCTTGCACTTGATCTGCAAACTGCAGTTAATGGAAAATGCTGCGGCATACAGTGGTGCCCCGCAAGACGAATGCCTCGCAAGACGAAAAACTCGCTAGACGAAAGGGTTTTGCGTTTTTTGAGCCGCTTCGAAAGACGAATTTCCCTATGGGCTTGCTTCGCAAGACGAAAACGTCTTGCAAGTTTGTTTCCTTTTTCTTAACACCGTTAATACAGTTGCGACTTGACTTCGAGGAGCAACTCATAGAACGCGGTGTGGTAGCCTTTTTTTGAGGTTTTTGAAGACTTTGGTGATTTTTGAAGCTTTTCCAAAATTTCTTTTGCAGCCATTTGGTAAGTTAAACTTTTAAAACTTTTTTGGGGGGTTTTGGATTTTGGGTTGGGGTGTTTGGAATTCAAGGACTTGGTGTTGGGGAGGGGTTTGCAAGAATCTGGAAGCTTGTGGGGGTTTTTTTCTGAATTTTTATGATTTTCTGTGACCATTGGGCCACTCTGCTGTTTTTTAAAAAAAATTCTGGATTTGAATTTCTGTGTGGTGGGTGGCTGGGGGAACAGTTGAGGGAGGGGGTTCTTCAGCAAGAAGCAAAGAGTGGAAGAGGAACCTTCTTTGAGTTGTCGCCCAGAGTCTTAGAAAATGTACTGTACACTTTGTTGATTTTTAAATGTTTTTCTGTCATGTTTAGAAACTTAATTTATTGTTCCTTCAATTTTTGAAATGCTCTTTACAGTATGTGTGACTTTAAAGAGCACTTAATAAACTCTTGTTGTACCAAATTTGGCTTTGTTTGGACTTTTTTTGACCATAGGAACGCATTAATTGAACTTCAATGCATTCCTATGGGATTTCGTGCTTCGCAAGACGAAAAATTTGCTAGACGAAAAAACTCGCAGAACGAATTAATTTCGTCTTGCGAGGCACCACTGTAATTACCAATGGGAATGATAACTTGTTAGCATGTAACACCTCTGCTCAGAGACCTGCACTGGTTGTTGATTTGCTTCAGAATCAGATTTGAGATCACCTTACCCTATATATGTCAATTCGATCACCATAATCTACGGAACTGGCACTATTACGGGTACAACATAATGCCCGTTTTGCATCTGTAATAAATGGATCTTTTAGTATGGCACTAAAAGGTTTAGAAATCCTTGCCTATTTGCATCACAGGCACCTTCACTATTAGTGTTTTTGGCACCTTCTGAAAACATTTTTGTCTAGGGAAACCTATCTGGATATATAGAATGTTGATGTGCTTTAACCTGTTTTTCGTTTATCTTTGATTTTAATTACTCCTTGAATGTTTAAATAGCTGGCTTTAATTGTTTTTAAAATAATTTTATTTTTTTATGCTCCTTGTTAACTGCTTTGCATTTTTTTTTTGTCAAGCAGTATGTAAATTTCATGTAATAAATAATTTGATGAAAATGTATTGGCACAATGAGCAGTATATTTTCCAAGAGCTCAGTTGGTATATATTCGCACTCATCACATAACCTGCCCAGCTTTCATCCCCCAGATTCCTCATCTGCAGTTTCTGCTTTTCTCCTGGCCACTTTTTGATGCTTTTTTTTGGAAATGTGGTGTTTTATGCACACCCCACTTCCCTTTAAATGGCTACCACCTCCTTTGCCAGCACTTGTTCTGAACTAAATTTGGTGGTTTGACGTGTTTTCCTTGTAATGCTGCTCGGTAGAGGTGGGCAGGAATGGGGAAGAATATGGCTTTGTTCTCTCTCTCTCTCTCTCTCTCCCTCTCTCCCTTCCCTCCCCCCCCCCCACATTTCCTTGCATCTCCAGGGTTTCTTTTGATACTGTCACTGCTGGGTTTTTTTGATAATTTTTATTTTTTTGAGCGTCCAGCCACATGCTTCCTGTCATCATTTGTCTGACTAGGGTCTTTGTAGCCTCTGCCTGCCAAGCTCTCTGGGCTGAACGTTAATGGTTCCATGCCATTTGCCATGTGCTTTCAGCATGGACCGTTCCTCAGTAGTAAACTGCATGGATCTGTAAGCCACGCCCAGCTTTTCAAATGGGACAAAGCCTTTGTAAGCTCACCTGTCTCTTGAGGTAATATTGAGTGTCCTGCTCAGTGTTCCTTTAACACATGAAGCTGTTTACCTGTCCCTCCCAAGGAGGAGAGCTTTCCGTAGTGGCCCCTTGAGATTGTGGAACAACTTACCCCGCTGTGTGATTTTTGTGCACCTCCCTTGGGATTGGTTTTGAGGATGAGAGAGATGTAGCTCTTGGTGGGAGTCTTAGACTGTTAGAAGGAACAGCAAGGAAAAGAACTGGAAAGGCAGGATGCAAATTTGAGAAAGAAATCATATGAAACTTAAGAGAAGAGGAGACGAGTTGGTTGGTAGGTAAGAACCAAGGTCACAGGTAGGGAATGTGGCAGATGAAGCTGAATTATTGGCACCAACTCCTAGGGTCCCAGGTCCCTTCGGTCCCGCCAACAAAATGTTTTGAGAACCCTGCCAATAAAATGTTTGATGGGCATTACAGTACTGTGTTTCTTTCTTTTCCATGTTTGGACCCCATTTCCCAACAAGCCCTGTAAAGGAACTTGTACTAGGCTTGCTGGATGGCAAGAGACCTGGGATTGGGCAAAAACCTCTGACATCATTTATGATGGCCCTTGTGATTGGAGCAGAGAGAGACGAGTGGGGAGAGAATGCAAATTGCTTGCTCCATGGGGCAGGTTCACAGAGCTCTGCCAGGAGGAGAGAGGAAGCAGCTCCTGGTCATTCACCATTTTAAACAATTCAACTAGGAGTGCCTTATTCAGATGACTGGAGGATAACGCTCCCCACCTATTCTCATTATCATTCTTCTTATTAATCAGCCCTTTCCCCCATAGTCCCAGGGCGGGTTACAACAATTAAACACAATATTTAACCACAATTTAAAACAAAATATTTAAAAGCATTTTAAACACCTTACTGTCACAGTAATAAGGCAGGTCCTAAAAATATGCCGAAGCAGGCAGACGCATAATTTTGCAGCCCACCCTCAATGATTTGGGGCTGGTGGGGGGAGAGGCAACCAGATGCTAGAAACTTTGGTTTGGGGACAGTTGGGTTCAAGTCCCTTTTTAGCTGTAAGAATTCAGAGTATTATGTCCAGTAGGAGTGACTTAAGATAGGCAGGTGAACCACCTGAATCCCCATTTTAAATAAACTCTAGTCTAAAACATGCATTGCAAGTTCTATAGCACCACGTTTGATACACAGTGGTGGCAGCTGCGGCCCTTAGCTTGCCTTGGTGCCACACACCTTTCCCACTGCTCTCAGCGTGGTGTTGTCTGTTGGCAGGAGTGGTGGGTGGCCAGGCCTGTGGTTCAGGGGCTGAAGGAGGTGCTGGTGGAGAGGAAAGCCTGAACAGGATTCTGGTCCCAGTGCAAGGTGTGCGCACCACCCACCACCATGGAGCAGGTGAAGGCGCTGCAGGTGATTTAGGATGAGTGCAAAGACCAAGCCTAAAGTGGGCAGGGTTTATCTAGCCCCCTTCCATATTTTATTCAAGTTGGTGCCCATGAGCTGAATTATTGATCTCTTCAAGCATCATCTGGCAGTTGGTCTGGACTCTGTTGTGAGGATATTCTAGCACTAGATTTCCTGCATGAAGCCAGAAGCTGGGTGAGCCTACGAGGCCTTCTTTGCCTCTGATTCTTTGTTATGTTCATTTCCCCAAATTGTTAGTGGAGATTTTGACCGCTTCATCTGCCTCAGAAGCATTACCCCTCTGAGGTAAAGGGGAACCAACTGTGGCCTGCAAAAACACAATACTTGTTAGAACACAAAGTGCTTATTTAGCTATGATTAGGCAGGCAGGTAGCTGGGAAGGCAGCTGCTAATCTGTGAATAACCCGAGATCCCCAGAAGGAACGCGTTGCAGGTGGTAGAGAAATGAGGCATTGTATTAGGGTCTGTGGGGGGTAACCAGGAAGGTAATATCTGTGCCAAACTAATAGGGAGGTTTGTGAAAAGGATGCTGTTCCCCCCCTCTCAATTACTTTGTGCCTATGAGGTGGCCAGTATTTGTAAGTATGGCCCTTCCTTGTCCCTTATTACCCTATTGTATTGTGTTCTTCCCTGGTCCTTGGCATATCTCCTGATGACAGCAGGATCTGTAGTTGTTAAGTTGGAGTCTTCAACATAATGTCTTGGGAAAAGGTTGTTGGTTTTGGCCCAGTTTTCCAATTTGTTAAGATTGTGAATCATGATTCTATCTTCACTGCATTGTTTTCTGTTCTGGACATGGGGTGACTAAGTGAACACCAGCAGTTTTTACTTCTGTGTCTGCTAAAGTTATCCAGCATCCCTAGTGCTAGCCCCCTCCTCCAGCCACCGCTCTCTACAGCAGGCTTCACCCAACCTGGTGGCCTCTATGAACCTTACCCAGCATGGTCATACTGGATGAGGTTTATGGGAGCTGAGATCCAAAACACCCAGAAGGCACCAGGTTGGTTTCCCTACAAATGCTCTCTTGAGTTTGCATGGGGAACGCATTTGGCTCTCTGACCTCTCTCTCCTGCCACAAGCCTTCTATAGTGTCCTTGTTTTTGCTTAAGTTTGGAGGACTAATCTTCCTGAAACTTGCTAGATTTGAAAATCTGTCTCCACTTTCTTGCCCTTCCTTATCAGGAAAATGAAGAGTTTTCATACCAAGTGGGTTGCAAGAGTACTTCGACACAGAACCCGTAGGCTGCACACTGCCTTGTTGTGTGGGGATGGCGGAGCAAGGCCAAAATTTGACGCCCCGCCCTGCCCTCGCACTGCCTTTCCAAAGCTGGCTTAGTGAGGCTCCAAGCTTTGGCGATGAGCCACAAGGCTCTGGCTAACTAGGCTTTGTGAAAGACGTAGGCAAAATCTAGGAACCTGTCAGAGCACTCACACCTCCTTCCCAAACCCCAGCTTACCCAATGTAAGTGGGTGGTATCAGATGATTCCGAGGGCCACCCAAAAAGCACACTGGACTACTCTGATCCAGAACAAGCTTGCCTGAAGTGTTGTTAGACAGAATGATAGTAATGAAACTCTGTGTGTGTGTGTGTGTGTGTGTGTGTGTGTGTGTGTGTGTACTGATTGCAGAATTCAATTTTATACAAAATTTGTGCTAAGCATGTTTTTTAAGAGTCACACACATATGCAACCCTGGGTGTGTCACTTGTTAAAACGCCTTGAGAAACAACCTCTCTGCAGAATAGTTCCACTGTTCCGTTTGGGGTTTCATCCTCTTCCGTTCCCCCTCTGCTGCCTTTTCTTTCCAGTTGCCCCATTTTCGTTCTGCGTCTGGATATTTTTAGCCTGCTTTATATATCTGTTTCTCTGTCCTTCTCTCTCTCTCTCTCTCTCTCTCTCTCTCTCTCTCTCTCCTCCCTCTCTCCCCACCCTTCCCAGTTTGCTTTTCTGTCAGAGGCAGGGAAACTGGCATTTTCTCAGTTTTCTCATTCCCACCCCCCCTCTCTGTTGGGTCTGCCTTGCCATTTCTCCATCTGTTTCTGCTTCCATTGGCTTGTTCACACCATCTTGTTTACTTGCTTATTTAAGTAAATTCAATCTTGGTGTTTTCCACCTAGTCTTTTACTCTCTTTTTTTTGGTACACGTCATGTAAAGGTTCTGGGGATAGAACTACAGCAACATGTTCTGCTCTTTTTAATGCGAATACAGTGGTATTAACATTTTCCAGAGATAATTTCAAGGAAGGAAGGAAGGAAGGAAGGAAGGAACTTGTCTCCTCTCCCCCCTTCCCACCTCCACCCCCACTCCACCTAATGGGCTGATTTTCAGGCTCAAAAGTGAGGACTGTGTTTCTGGTGATGACTGAGCAGGTGAGCATCAGAAGAGCCCCCCTGGATCAATCCAGTGGCCCATCTAGGCCAGCATCCTGTTCTCACAGTGGGAAGCCAGATGCCCCAACAGGAAGCCTGAAAGCAGGACTTGACTGCAATAACACTCCCCCCTCCTTCCATTTCCAAGCACTAATAAACAGAAACATACTGCCTCCAGCAGCATTCTAGTCCTTATTGTTAAGAATTTAGGAAGCTGCCTCATACAGAGTTGGGCTGTTGGTTCATCTAGCTCAGTGTTGCCTACTCTGACTGGCAGCAGCTCTTGGGTTTCAGGCAGGAGATCTCTCCCAGCCCAGCAAAGATGTGCCATTGGGGATTGAGCCTGGTACCTTCTGGATGCAAAGCAGATGTTCTACCACTGTGATGTGACCTGATGACTTTTAGGCAATTTGCACTGCTGCTTTGAATAATACAGCAGCTGCTGACTTAAACATAGAAGATGTGATGTTGTATTCTGATGTTATCTCAAGTGAGAAGATCAGTGGCAGGTGTACTACAACCCTATGTAGAGACACACTGAGATTCAGTGGTTAGTTTGTCAGACTAGAACAGGGGTCAGCAAACTTTTTCAGCAGGGGGCCGGTCCACTGTCCCTCGGAGATTGTGGGGGGCTGTACTATATTTGGGGGGGGGGTGAACGAATTCCTATGCCTCACAAATAACCCAGAGATGCATTTTAAATAAAAGCACACATTCTACTCATGTAAAAGCACTAGGCAGGCCCCACAAATAACCCATTTTAAATAAAAGGGCACATTCTACTCATGTAAAAACACGCTTATTCCCGGACTGTCCGCGGGCCGGATTGAGAAGGCAATTGGGCTGGATCTGGTCCTTGGGCCTTAGTTTGCCTACCCATGGACTGGAACCTAGGACACAAGGGTTCAAAGCCCCACTTGGCCATGAAGCTGATTGAGTGGCCCTAGGCCATTCACAGCCTTTTAGCCTAACCTACTTCACAGGGTTGTTGTGCGGCTTAAATGAGGAGGATGATAACCACGTACATTGCTTTCAGCTCCCTGAAGGAAAAGGTGGGTGATAGATATATAGTAACAGTGACTACAGTTTGGGAAAGTGACATGGGAAACCTGTTTTCAAACCTGTTTTGTCTGTGATCCTCACTATGAGTGGCCAAGGCACTGTTTCCACATAACCTCCTCACAGGGTTAAAAAGCCTTCTCTTTTCATTTTGCTTTGCTCTTTAAAAAAATAGTACCTACCACCATTTCTTGCTCTCAACTATCATTGAGGCCCAAAAGACTTCCCTGTGTTTTTCACAGGTCACACCTATATCCCTTTGCTTATGCATACACATCCCATTCAAAATAAATGTTGCCCCACATTAAAATAATCAGCATTAACAGTGTCTCCCAGTCGCTCTTGCCAAGCCTCCCTTGGTCTCTATTCCCACCCCCTCAGAAACACGGAGTTATTTCCCATCTAAATCAGCACTTGGTAGACTGCATGGCCTGAAGAAGCCCATCACCACACATTAGAATATATTCAGTGTGACAGGGTAGGGGTTTTTTTGTGGGGATGGTCGAGCAGCGCCGTGTTTGTCAGTAAAGTGGGCATGGAACTCCAGATAGTAGTGTGAATTTGAATATTTTTCAAGACGTAAAATAATAAGGGTGGGAGATGAGTTGGAAAATATAAATGATTTGGTTTGGGGTTTTTTTAATTAACAAATCATTCTTCTGTTCATAACCTGTGTGTGTGTTAAGCACAGCTTTTGGCACGAAGAAATCAGCAATCACTTTTACGCTGAAACCAGAGCTTTTCAACACCTCATTAGCAAACCTCATTATTTCAAGCAGTAATTATTTGGGGGCTCCTGGAGCATAATTAAGCAAAAACCTGCAAGAGATGACTGGCCGGCACCCTTTCACGTCTGAAGCAAATCTTTGCAGCAGTTGCATTCGTGTAACCAGCACCCTTGATCCTTTAATTCGCCTGCTTTCCATTTTACCTGTTGGTGACTTGTCCTGCTGATTATTGGCACATGTTGAAAAGTATGGCTGGATCCAGACAGGGGTAAGGCTGGCAGAGGAGGTCTGCTGATGAGGAAAAACCTGTCAATCAAAGGCAGGGGTAGGGAACCTGTATGTAGCCTTCCAGGCACAGTCATACTGCAACTCTCATCATTCTGGACCAGGAGTCAGCAACCTTTTTCGGCCATGGACTGGTCCACCGTCCCTCAGACTATGTGGTGGGCCGGACTATATTTGGGGGTGGGGGGAAATGAACGAATTCCTATGCCCCACAAATAATCCAGAGATGCATTTTAAATAAAAGCACACATTCTACTCATGTAAAAACACCAGGCAGGCCCCACAAATAACGCAGAGATGCATTTTAAATAAAAGGACACATTCTACTCATGTAAAAACATGCTGATTCCCAGACCGTCTGCGGGCCGGATTGAGAAGGCAATTGGGCCGCATCCGGCCCACCGGCCTTAGGCTGCCTACCCCTGTAATCTGGACCGTTGGCTTTGGTGGCTTGGGCTGCTGGGAGTTTGAGTTCAACAACATCTGCAGGGCTGCAGGTTTAACAGCCCTAATTGAAGGTATCTTGTGGTCTTGACTTTTCTTAATTTCCCCTTTTAGTATTCATTAGCACTGTGTGACATACTGCAGGATGGGGCTATTGTAAAGAACAGTGATGCTAGCAATTGATTGCACAACTGAGAGGTGGAAGGTGATGTGTGCATGTTCTTGGGTGCCTTTTAATATTTTTTTGCCTCAGCTATCAAGTGTTTGGGAAGCCACTTGCAGTAGGGCAATCTGGTGTTTAGAAGCTGCATCAGGCAAATTCGATTTTTCCTCTCTCCTCCCCATTCTCCCCCTTGCTCATGTAACTTACCAGTTGCTGGATGGTGAAATGGAAATGCCCTCCATTCAAGGCTTTTGAGAAGAAGGAGAGGAGTAATAAATGCAGTGATGGAAAATTAACTGGATATGGCATTGATGGAGTTGGGGGGGGGGGGAGGCTTTGGGAAAACTTCAGTCCTGGCCTCTCTTCATTTCTAGCAAAATACTCTGCATATGATTTGGGATGAAATCAGAGAATGATACTATTAAATTCACAGTACTCTCTCAGAAAAAAGACTGGGGAAAACGAAAATGGGATGTCCTAGAGGAGGAGATTGGGATTCTATCATAAATACAACAGGAAACAACAGAATTTGAACATAAGGAAATGGGCTTGAATTAAAGTATATAGAATGAGGAAATACGGAATACTATTCCAATATGTACTCACTTATTGGAGGGATCACATAGTGGAGGGATTTTAACATGGACATGTAACCAGCAGACAAAAAAAAATCAGAAGCCCTTTTAATCTACAATCTGTCTCTAATATTTCTTTTTCTTTTGTCTCTTGTCTTTTTTTCCTCCCTCTTTCTTTCCTTTTTTTCTTCTGTTTCCTTTTTCCTTTTGGAGCCCTATGTTTGGGGCCTTTGTTAGGTTTCGGGGATTGTGGTAGATGATTGATGGAGGGCCCTGGGTGGGAGACAGGGTAATGTTGGTCTCCCAGTGTGAGAGGCTGGGAGGAGAAAAGAAGGATCCCAGGTGAGATCTGGGAGGGACTACTACCCTCTGTAGGTGGTGGGGGCTGAGAATTGCCTCTAGGAGAGGACTCCATATTCTACCTGTTCTTTTTCTAGTTTTTGTAGCTATTATCTTATTGTACCGTGGAATACTTTTATATTGGGGGGGGGGGTTTTACACCCACACATCTACACTTACTTATAAGTTGCTGGAAACTGCAGGAGGGGAGAGTACTGTTGTGCTCAAGTCCTGCTTAAAGGTTTCCTACAGGCTTCAGGTTGGCCACCTCAAGAACAGGATGCTGAACTAGATGGGTCATTGGCCTGATTTAGCAGGGCTGTTCTTAAATTCCTGCTGTGGGGTAAACCTACAGCTCTACCAGCGGACAAAGCTAGAGAGACTTAATTGAACAGGCACAGGGATCTTTTTTAAAAAAAAACAACAACCCACAACTTTAATAGGCCCCTTGATGTATGCAATTCAATAATGAATGGAGCAAAGAAACAGCAAATGACAGTCACTTGCTGAGACTCTCTCTCCTTGTGGATTTTAGTAGGCCTCTGTGGGGAGGGTGATGTGTGTTTGCATGTGTGTGTGTTTTCCCCTTTTCATTCTTATGACACTGTATGTGCCAGACTCTCATTCTGACCTTCCTGCCACCCATGGCTAATCTAGATCTTTGCCTGTATTCCCTTTCTAGGACTGAGTTTGCCCTGAAAGAAGCCATGTCGACAGGCGGCATGGAGGATGACATCCCTCAGGGAGAGAGGAAAACTGTCACGGACTTCTGTTATCTGCTGGATAAATCCAAACAGCTCTTCAATGGCTTAAGGTCAGTCAGTTGCAGGTGTTTTGTATAGGTAGGGTTTGAGCTGGGGGAGAAACCAACAACTCAAAAATTCTGGAACCTGGCAATCTAGATTCCTTACCGGGAAAAGTTTAAATCTACAAACTGTATTAATTATGCAGATTTTGCATTCCTCGCGTTTTGCACAATTCTAGTTTTGCTAATAACACAGAGCTCTGCAGTATGCTGAATCTCCACTCCAACTCCAGAAACCTTCCTGAATCCACCCCTCTGGCTTCTGAAGCTTTATCTAGAAGTTCTCAAGTGCTTGGCAGCTACCACAAGGATATAATACAGTATGTGATTCAAAATAAGAGATGACCCGAACACCCTCAGTTTCCTGAAGTGTGTACAGCTTACAGGATTCTTGGTGTGGAGCATTGGGTTGCCTTCATGCAGAATATAACGTTTTTCCTTGGGAAATGAGTACATAGCTGAAATAAATGAGCAGAAGGATTTGGGGAGATGAAACAGGAGACTGGGCAGTGACTGTGTCCATTGCAGGAAAAAGAGCAGGGATTACCAAATGAAGCCAGATGGGTTTGTGTGTGAAGAAACTCAACTTTAAAATGTGGAAGAAAACAATTGGTCTTCAGGCTTTTTCTTTTCTTTTTTCTTTAAATAGCTAGAAGTTATTTCTTTGGAACATCATTTTAGTCAGAGGCTGTGTGTTTGTGGCTTTAGAAACAGCGACCGCCCAAACTCGAGGATTCTGCCAGAGCTGTCAGATTGTCCTTTAGATATCGTGTCTGCTATACAATTGCAAAATCTTGGTGCCTCTGTGTTCTGCCTCCTTAGGGGGACACTTCTATTTTATTCACATTTTTATCCTTCCCTTAAGGATCTCAGAGTGGTATTCATGATTGTTTCTTCCAACCCCATTTTATCCACCCAACTCACTTTCGTTCCCTTTCAGCCTAACCTGTTTCAGAGACAGACATAGAGAATGGCCCTGTTGGCATGTAGGAAGGCATTGTTTTCCATTCTGCCCTGTAGTCATTGCATGACGCACTGTTTCTGTTCTGCTGCAGTTCATTTTCTATCAAAAATAGTTATTTGTCTCGCTGTCTGCTGTGGCAAAATTATGTAACTTGCTTAAATAGTTATGTAAATTATATTGTCATTATGTTATTCCAATCCGAGGTGGGAATGCAGTCAGTTACGTATCATTTGCAGACTGAAAGCAGCAACAACAGCAAATGCCAATCATGTTTCCTGGATTTATATCAATTCCTGAAATGGGATGAATAAGTGAACATTAACAATTTCTGCTGCTGTTTCTGTTTTCATCGGAATTCTCTGATCTCTATTACCCAGTGAGCTTTAGCCAATGATCTGAATCCAGGTCTTCCTACTGTGAGTCTCCCAAAACATCTGGAGGGCCACAGGTTTCCCACCCCTATGTTGTTTTGAGGAAGGACCACATCTGTCTTGCATGCATCTGTCTTGCATGCAGAAGGTCCCAGGTTCAGTCCCTGGCATCTCTAGAAAGAACAAGGACTAGGGCAGACCCCCATCCAAAACCCTGGATTGCCTATGGTCCTGTGTGTTAAAACTGATCCTTGGTTATAATTAGATGCAAGTGGAATTTGTAAAGTGCTGAAGATACCTCAAACTTTGGTGCATGTGGTATGCTCAAAATGGGCACACACAGCAAGAATTTGTCTCCCATAAACTGCCTCCGCAGCCTTGACCAGTTGCTTGCTCCAGTGTGATGATCCTGTGCCTTCCTGCTTTAGAGCTAATATTCACAAAGTGCTGTGCAAGTAAGGAGAGGGCTTCAAAGTGCTTCAAAGCCCACTACCTGTTGCTATAACTTCAATGGCAAGCTGAAAAAAACCAAATTAATGAAAAGCAAGATAGTGATCGGCCCTGTTGCTGCTTCATTGGCAGGCATCTAAGAGGTGTGCATCCAAGAATCCTCTCATTTAAACTCTTTTATGTCATACTGAATCTGCTTTTCCCCTTCCCTCTTTTAGTCAAGGTGACTCTGGCAATTGTTTTATTTTTTTGTGTGGCTCAAATGTTAAATCCCTCCCTTTGTGCCAGAGGCATCCCTTATGTGAAGCAGCCTCCTATAGGCAGCGATTGTTGTTTTTGACACTGTCAAGGTCCGCCGAGTGGAAGGTAGAAAGAAGGGTCTGTTCTGGGAGAAAGGAGCCAAGGCTCTTTAGCAAGCCCCCTTGGAAGCTGCCTGAGAGCTTGGTATAGTGAAATGGTGGAGGTGGTGAACTGCATCTTTTCACAGTTAAGCTTATACCCTACTTTTCCATATGCAGTTCCCTTCTGCTGAAGTGGTATGACCCAAAACTACCTTCTCTTCCTGCATAATCTGAATGAACACACGGTAGCAGAATGAGGTGGTGGAATCTTGAGCTGTTAAGTATTTATGTAAACATCAGTGATGACTGATGCCCATTGGGACTGATAGAGTGAAAGACTGGGAGCTCAACAGTAGATGGAGCCAGAGCCAATAACAGATGGAGCTAGGGCCAACCAATTGTAGTTCTGCTCCCAGCCTCCTGCCTGCTGAGTTCCACAAGGGCATCCCTGAGGCCAAGGAGGATGAATACGGCAGGGAGGTTCTCCACCTTGACTGGTTGTGAGCCAGAAGGTAGGTAGGTGGGGGCTAGCTGAGGGTGGACTGAGGTTAGTGGGGCAGTGCCCCCTATTAGCCCAAATGAATGAGGCTCCACTGGTAAGCATGTATTTAAGACTTTATACCACTTTTCAGAGAAGACTGACTCTCAGTATGGTTTATAATCACACTCACAGAAATGAAATATTGAAAACACATAAAATAACCAGTCACATCCCGAAATATATATAAGGCAAGATAGCCCATTTCAAACTGCAATCAAACTAACCCCCAAAGGCCACATCAAAGAAAAACATCTTTAAGACCCATTTGAAAGAGACTAGAAATGGGCTTTGCCTTGATACCACTTGGAACTGAGTTCCGTAACTGGGTCTCAGCTCCTGATGTCAGGCTTCAGAAGCAGGTTCACGTTGTTGAATGTTCCACTACATGATTTTCTTTGTAAATACATGTTATTGAAGTCCCACATCAGAGACAAAGGTTCTTGCCTTGCCTGCTTCAAGCTACTTCTCTACTCGAAGGAGTGAGGTTTTTTTTGTCTTGTTTTGCTTTGCTTTGCTTTGCTTTGCTTTTTGCTTTGTTGTAATGTGATCTCCTTTCCTCCCCTCACAGTGGTACAGTCCATGCTGCGGCCTCATTGCCACTTCATTCAGCTGTGCACACAAAACTGCTTCTTGTAGAAGAGCTCTTGAGTGCAGGCATTTATAGTCTTTGCTGCGTGTGTGTGTCCTCTAATCATGCATGCACGCTGTCTGGTAAAGCAACCTGCCTGCGAGTGAGAGGTGGAAAGGGGTGGGCGCGCTTCTGCAGAATTCCGGCTGTATCTTTTGTCTCAGAAAAACACGAGCCAATACATTTCTCCAGAAATGAAAACTGGAGCAAATGGTACTGTGTTTGACTGGCTCTACAGAGCGCCTGGGCTTGGTGCCTGCAGGCCTGTGGGGATCACTTGGTGTTTGCTGCTCTTGGCTCAGGTTCACTCGCTGGTGCCTGTGGGTAAGCAGCAGTTACCTGAGTTACCGTCTCCCAGGATAATAGGGAGTGTAAGAGCAGGAAGGGGAGGTACAGAGCACCAACCGACCACAACAGCAGTATCTGTTTACAGTGGCGAGTGGCGGGGATTGGATGGTGAATGTCAGTCAATATCCAGCCTACTCTGGACTGGCTGTTTGCTTTTAGTGTTAGACCAAAAATTTGGAGCGAAATAAATCTTGCCCATTGCTTTTTTCTTTTTAAACAATTTTTATTAAAAGATTTTCCTTGTTTACAAAAGCACATGCACTGTCTCTTTTTTCAGGTTGTGTTTTCTACCAGCTACATTTGTTGTGAGACATTGGTGTTATATGCAGTATAGGGTTGGGAAGAAAAGAGGGGTGGGCGGGGGAGAGGGGGTGGTGGTAAAGCTTTTGTTCTTTTACTTAGTGTATGTGTAGGGGTTTTGTGTCAGCGCCACTTGGGTAGGTTCTCTTTCTATTCTTGTTATTTTTCCTTGGTGGTGAGAGAGGTTGGGGTGGCCTAGGGTGTGGTTGATTGTCTTTGGTTGGCTTCAGTTGGATTTGTTTGTGCTTGTGGGGGGGTGGGGTGTTGTTGGATTAAGTTAGCCATATTGAATTGTATGCTGTTGGTGGGTTCGTGTTGTTGTCTTGTTGGGCTGTTCATGTGATAAAGGGGAGCCATACCAATCCAGCCCATTTCTGAGACTGCTTCATCTGGTCAGTGACCGAAATAAAACAATTCAATCATTCATTCTGACACTGCTTAAAGAACTAGGTTGTGGAACTGAAAGAGATGGTCATGGAGAAAGTGCTGGCAAACCCCCAGGGGTCTGGCTTACTCCTTTAATGCTGAAGAATTAAGTTCACCCAATCAGCTTTGAAATCAAGTTATATGAGCAAGGACCCACACATTTTAGAGTGGGGTGGGGGAGCTGGGTGTCCTGGAAAGCAAAAGAAGAAGAAATGTATGGTTTCTATTGACCCAGCCCTGGTGGGAGGATCTGATGTCTGATGCTGCACTGAGCTTTGGAGGCACTCAGGTTACCTTTGAAGCCCAGATGAGATCATGGATTAACCCCAAGACTTCTATGCTCAGAAGGAGGGGAAGCTCTCCTCTGGGTTGCACTTGGCCTATTTCTAAGCTCAGGGGAGGAGGAAAAGGATGCCCTCGTACGTGCTGCATGGAGTGTTTTAGCAGTGGTGTTCACCGTAGTCATTTACCTATGTTCCTAAGCAAAAGGTCACAGCTTCAGTCCCAGGCATCTCTAGTTATCTCCTAATCTTTTGTAGGGAAAATGGCTAATGCATATAGATGCTGATTTTTTTAAAAGGGTCAGGTAATAGGTAACGGGAAAGGCCTCTGTCCATGATCCTAAATTGCTGCTGATAGTGAAAGGAGACGGTACTATGCTAGCAGGATAGACAGATGGGAAGCTGCCTATGTTATGCTTTTAGGACAATGGCTTTTTGAATCCTTGGCCAAGAAATCTTAGGTTTACATGTACAATGTGAATTAGCGCATTTTCAAACCAGTCAAGTGTGATCTGATATCTGGTGCCGAATGTGTAGGGTTGTAGAAAAAGTAACCCCTACTCAGAGAAGACCCATGGTAAACTTAGGCCCATGAATTTCAGTGGGTCTTCTCTGAGTAGGACTTAGTTCTCAGTAACCCGTAATCATTAATGGTGGGTTCTTCCTTGTTGTTCTGCCTTCACAACTTGTATTGCAAGCATAATGTTATCCCCACAAGTTGAATTCTGTTAGCATCACCCTTGGAAATAAGCCCACAAAATGTGCTAGTCTGCAATTTCATTTTTCCTTTAACAGACTAGCCTGAAAGGAACTGACTGGCAAAAGAGGGGCAGGTTGCTGAGTGGCCTTTGGCCAACAGCATTTTCTGGGCAAAGGAAAGGAAAGGGGGCCTTCATGCCTTGATTTCTGTGCTAGGCCCAGAGAAGGGGTAAATTACTCTCGCCCTACTCTGCCAGCCTTCTCACTTGCCAGCATGCTGTTTCTTCTGTCCAGAGGCTACAAGGCAAGGGCTGAAATACAAGGCTGGTGTTACCCCTCGGCTGGCAGGTCATGTTGACTTTCCACTTTTTCTTCTTCAAGTGGCAAGTGTTAATAATATGTCCATCTTACGTAAATCACTTAGAGGGTTTCCATAATTGCTAAACAAATCCTGTTAAATAAAAAAAAAATCCATATTGCACCTTGTTTTCGCTCCTATCCTTCCCCAGGCAAAGTCACAAGCTTAATAATTGTCATTGTTAATATTATTAAAATTTATTACCTGCCCTTCATCCTAAGGTCCCAGGTGGGTTACAACATTAAAATACAAACAGTTACAACATTAAAATATTAAAACAGTTTAAAACAGAAATAAGGTGGATTCTAAAACTGTACACCTCAGATGTCGAAAGCTGCAGTAAGGAAGTGTGTCTTCAGCACTCCGACCAGAATCATTATAATGAAGGTGTCAGATGGCCCTCTATGGGGAGGGAATTCTACAACTTAGGAGCTGCCACATAAAACACCCTCTCCTGTGTCATTGTAAAACAACAACAACACCCCAAGCTCCTGAGAGCAGAGGAACCACTAAGAAGGCCAGCTCTGCCAATCTTAGCACCCAAGAGGATCTCTAGTGAAATAGTTGCAGAGCTGCTCACAATCTTTGTGTTGTCACGGATACTAGCCAGTAGACATCTTCCACAGCCAGTTTTCCCTGGTTCACTCTGAAATTTGCAGCTTGTGTTTAAGCTTATCTTGGGGAAGAAAGATCATTTTGTGCTGAATATGGCATGGATTCTTGCAAATTGTCCAAACTACTCATTAATGACCCTGTTGGTGAGCTGCATGTCTGAGACCCCAGTGCTGGTATAAAAGCAAGTGAGCAGCTCTGCGGGAAAGTGAAAGAGTCTATGGGAAGGTTATGAAAAGCAACCACTTTGTGATCCCATTCTCTATATGGACCCGGTTCCCTGCAGGGCCAAAACAAGCACTTGGGCCACATATGTTGTTTTCCCTGAAGAATAGCCAAGCCTAAGACGCATTGCAGATTCCTTCACCACCCACCCCATAATTGCCTGCATTCTGCAAAGGCTTTTTGTTGCGGCTGCATGCTGGGCTAATAGCTTCTTCCTATTATAAATCGTGAGGAAGCAGGAATTGTGTGTGTGAAAATCAGTGTGCTGAGGAAGAGGGTGTCCCCTCCTGCAGCCGAAGGATGTGGTGCATCCTCAGTAGGCTTTGTGCTGTCAGTGCTGGACATGCGCCTCCCTTTGTGGGTACCAGTGTTCTTCAAGGAATTTAGGTAGCGTTGGAGAAATTACTAAGGCATTGGAACCAGTAGGCTGCATTGATGCTGTGGGGCCACAGGAAAGGTCCAGAATGTGTTGGTGCAAGTAGAATCTAACACTGAATGTTTAAAGTTTTTTGTAACCCTTCTGGCTGTGAAAGATGTGTGTGGATGATACCTACTGAAAGCTCAGAAGCTAGAGAGCTGCTGCCCGTCAGATTTCTTTCTAGGCCTGTGTGTTAAAAGTGCAGGTGACTCCCCATTCATGTTGGAGGCTATGTTATGCGCTCCATGCGCAAAAGTGAAATGTGCATAAGCGGAGAGCACCCTGGAGAGTCCTCATGGGTCATGAGGAGACCTTCCCCAGAGCCCGGAGATGACTGTAATCTGTCTCCATAGTTGGAGCCAGTAAATGCTTCTGGATACCAGTTGCTGGAAACCATAGGGAGGGGAGAGTGCTTCTCTTGTGCCCAGGCCCTGCTTTCAGGTTTCCCACAGGCATCTAGTTGGCCACTGCAAGAATATGATGCTGGATAAGATGGGCCATTGGCCTGATCCAGCAGGCTTTTCTTATGTTCTTAAATTATATACCAGATAAGTGGATAGAGTATTTCATTCCCTTCCAAGAGGGGAGGCGATTGTTTCCTAAGCTTGAATGGTGCTGATTTTAAGAATGGGAGGGGACTTGCTGTGTCTTGTGAATAGGTTTGGAAGTACTCAAGGCTGTGCCTGTGAGTTTTGTCAGCGAGATTTGCATGCCAGAAATTTTAACCAGGGACCTGTTGTTGAACATGGTCACTCACATATTAAAGTGTGTTATTGATAAGCCTATGGCTCTGCGGGGTGGCGAATGCTTCCCTCTGTGAGGGAACATTCCCAGATCCGCTGAAAGAGGCAGTCATTAAACCGCTTCTTAAAAAACCATCTTTAGACCCGGCCAGTATGGCCAACTATCGCCCAGTCTCAAATCTTCCATTCTTGGGCAAGGTGATTGAGCGCATGGTTGCTGAACAACTCCAGGCACGCCTGGAGGATGCAGACCATTTGGATCCCTTCCAATCGGGATTCAGGCCTCACCATGGGACTGAAACTGCCTTGGTCGCGCTGGTTGATGATCTCCGGCGAGCCAGGGACAAAGGTGAGAGTTGTTTCCTGGTTCTGCTGGATCTCTCAGCGGCCTTTGATACAATCGACCATAACATCCTTCTGGACCGTCTAGAGGGGCTGGGAGCTGGGGGCACTGTTATACAGTGGTTTCGCTCCTTCCTCCTGGGCCGTGTTCAGAAAGTGGTGGTGGTGGATGAGTGTTCAGACCCCTGGGCCCTCACTTGTGGGGTGCCTCAGGGTTCTGTCCTCTCCCCCATGCTTTTTAACATCTATATGAAGCCGCTGGGAGAGATCATCAGGAGGTTTGGGCTGGGTGTTCATCAGTATGCGGATGATACCCACCTCTACCTCTCTTTCAAATCAGAACCAGTGAAGGCGGTGAAGGTCCTGTGTGAGTGCCTGGAGGCGGTTGGAGGATGGATGGCGGCTAATGGATTGAAGTTGAATCCTGACAAGACAGAAGTATTGTTTTGGGGGGACAGGGGGCGGGCTGGTGTGGAGGACTCCCTGGTCCTGAATAGGGTAACTGTGCCCCTGAAGGACCAGGTGCGCAGCCTGGGAGTCATTTTGGACTCACAGCTTTCCATGGAGGCGCAGGTCAATTCTGTATCCAGGGCAGCTGTCTACCAACTCCACCTGGTACGCAGGCTGAGACCCTGCCTGTCCGCGGACTGTCTCGCCAGAGTGGTGCATGCTCTGGTTATCTCCCGATTGGACTACTGCAATGCGCTCTACGTGGGGCTACCTTTGAAGGTGACTTGGAAACTACAACTAATCCAGAATGCGGCAGCTAGACTGGTGACTGGGGGCGGCCGCCGAGACCACATAACACCGGTCTTAAAAGACCTACATTGGCTCCCAGTACGTTTCTGAGCACAATTCAAAGTGCTGGTGTTGACCTTAAAGCCCTAAACGGCCTCGGCCCAGTATACCTGAAGGAGCGTCTCCACCCCCATCGTTCTGCCCGGACGCTGAGGTCCAGCGCCGAGGGCCTTCTGGCGGTTCCCTTATTGCGAGAAGCAAGGCTACAGGGAACCAGGCAGAGGGCCTTCTCGGTAGTGGCGCCCGCCCTGTGGAACGCCCTCCCATCAGATGTCAAAGCGATAAATAACTACCTGACATTTAGAAGACATCTTAAGGCAACCCTGTTCAGGCAAGTTTTTAATCTGTGATATTTTACTGTATTTTTGGTTTCTATGGAAGCCGCCCAGAGTGGCTGGGGAAACCCAGCCAGATGGGCGGGGTACAAATAATAAATTATTATTATTATTATTATGGGAAGGTATATATTGATACCTAGGGAACCAAAGCTGCTGCTGTTATAAGTTTTGGGGTCAGTTCTTTTTGGTGAAAGTAGTGGGACAAATGCCGTTTTATTCATTGATAAATAAAGCCTACTATTTATGGGGTATGAAGTATAGTATGTGACATCTTTAGAAGAATACAATACTAGTAAGGAGGATCTTAATCTGCCCCCTCACTCCAAAATCTATGTTTTTAATGACAAAATGACCCACAACCCCAACCTTGGATGGATATGTATATAGGAACATAGCAACTGCCTACCCTGTGTTGCTCAGGAATTCTTAAAACAACAAAAAACAATCCATGCCATGTTGAAATCAGTGGTTAAAATCAGTGCAGTTTTGAAAGGCTCCACCTATCATCTTGATTCAGAATGGTGCCCGATGCTCTTCAAGCATAGATGAAAACCTGCTGCTGCTTCTCAGGAACCATTGTGCCACATTTAATTGTGATACCTTAAGAGGTGTCCAAATGCAAAGCAAATGGACAGTTTTCCATAATGTAAACTGGATACATGAATGTTAGCGTTAGGATTATGAGGCAGGCATGATGAGATAAGTAGCACCAGGTTGTCTCTGGAGTGTCTCTTCCCACAGTGAATGCCCCTTCTCCTTTCTTCCTTGCTTGGTAACATGGACTCTTCCTATTGGCTCTCTTGCAGAGACTTGCCTCAGTATGGGCAGAAGCAGTGGCAATCGTATTTTGGGCGGACCTTTGATGTTTACACCAAGCTCTGGAAGTTCCAGCAGCAGCACCGGTAAGAGCCAACTCTGCATCGAGATGGCTGCCTACCTCTTCCAGGAACACGTGGGCCAGAGTGGTGTGTATGATGGTGCCAGTTGGCTAGGTTGCCCAGGCCACCCTCCTTTCCTGGGCAAGAGAGCCTTAAACAACCCTCAGAAAAATAGAGCATTAACTCAATGGAGAAAATACAATACATAGTGCAAGTTAACTGCTTTTCCAGTCATGGAATCATAGAATCGTAGAGTTGGAAGGGATCTTGAGGGTCATCTAGTCCAACTCCCTGCAATGCAGGAATCTAAACTAAAGTATCTGTGACAGATGGCCATCCAGCCTCTGCTTATTAACCTCCAAGGAAGGAGAGTCCATCACCTCCTGAGGGAGTCTGTTCCGCTGTAAAACGGCTCTTACCGTCAGAAAGTTCTTCCTGATATTTAACCAGAATCTCCTTTCTTGTAACTTGAATCCATTGGTTTAGGTCCTACAGTGCAGAGCAGGAAATAGCTTGCTCCATCTTCCATGTGACAGCCATTTTTAGCTATTGAAGATGTCTGTCCTATCTCCTCTCAGTCTCCTCTTAGCCAGGCTAAATATACCCAACTCCCGCAACTGTTCCTTATAAGACTTTGTTTCCAGACCTTTGATCATCTTGGTTGCCCTCCTCTGAACATGTTCCAGCTTGTCAATGACCTTCTTAAATTGCAGTACCCAGAATTGGACACAGTACTCCAGGTGTGGCTTGACCAAGGTAGAATAGAGCAGAAGTATGACTTTCCTTGTCGTTCATCTTCTCTCACAGAGTAGGTAGTTACTTGTTGGAAGCTAAGAATCAGTATGAAACACTCTCAGCACCTCTGCCAAACTACAATTCCCATAAATGTCTGTGGGGAGGAGGGGATATTATGCCAGTTAAATTGGTAGAAGCATGTAGTATAGAAATGCCCCTTGAGGTGGTGTGTGTGAGAGAGAGAGGGGGCGGGGAGAAATGTGGTTATCAGCAAATGAGCTTAATACTGCCTTCTGAGAGTCTGAGGATTTCTCAGGGAATTAATGCAACATTTCTTGACTGGTTCCAGAATTATTATTGACAATCTTGGGGGGGAAATGAGTACACTATCCATGAGAGAATGGATGACTAAAATCTGGGGCATAGTATGTATGGTAAAGCTCACACTTATAATCAGAACCAGAGAGGGAAGACAGCAAGATAATGGAGAAAGGAGTCTCATTATAATGTACTGGAGCAATAATTGTGTTGCTTGGAACCTTGTAATATTGATATGCTGTACTTGATTTTGGTACATGAATATATCCTGCTATGTTCAGTTCTAGGTATTCCTTTTATTTTGGGCACTCAGTATTATATTTTGTTATTTTTAATTAATATATATGTATGTGTATAAACATATAGAACGTGACACTCTCCCTTTCTTCTCCGCAAAAATAAAGGCAAGTTCTGGACAATCGGTACGGATTAAAGCGCTGGCAAATTGGCGAAATCGCTTCCAAGATTGGGCAGCTTTACTACCACTACTAGTAAGTGACAACCCTTCCTGGATGTAGTGTGTGTGTGTGTGTGTGTGTGTCTGTCTGTCTGTCTGTCTGTCTGTCTCAGTCTCTCTGTAATGAAAGTCTTGCTGGCCTTAGCAATTAAGAGTGGCAAAAAGTTCAGTGGAATGTCAGAAGTGCCAGGAGGACTGCTGTGAGACGGACAGCCCTCTCAGCCAAGGGCAGGAGGGGTACATGTTCATCTAGCAGAGCACTGAGCCCTTTGTGTTTCTTCCCACACAGCCTTCGCACGTCTGAAACCAGCTACCTGAATGAAGCCTTTTCCTTCTACTCTGCTATCCGCCAGAGGTCTTACTACTCGCAAGTCAACAAAGAAGACAGGTCAGGCCATGCCTCAGTCTTGTGAGTTTTTTGCAATTTAAAAGCGAGAAGTGCTGGATTGTCAAACTTGTGTGACTTGGAAGCTGGTGGGCAGCCACTTTCAGTTCAGTTGGCATCCCTTGGCTACCTGTGTGTCTCCTCCCTTGAGGTGCAGGTGTTGGCAGGAGCAGGGATGGGGGAACCTGTGGCTGCTCAGATGTCATTAGACCATAATGCCCATCAAGCCCAAGCTGGGGTCTGGGGTGAAGGAGTTGTAGTTCAGCAGAATCTGAAGGGCTACAAGTTCCCTATCCCTGATGAGTCATAGGCAGCTGTTGAATGAGGGCCCAGGAGTAGGAGCCAAGTGAGTCAATCAAGGAAGAAGCCAAGACTTTCATGTGAGCCAGATCCAGGAGAAACCTATTATTATCCAAAACTGTAGCACATGGGTACTCGTGGCTCTCCATTTGTTCTTAGACTCCAGATTATTATTTTTATTTCAACGTTTGTATCCTGCTTTTCACCATCTAGGTCTCAAAGCGGCTTACAACAATAAGCTATACCATATACATAATTTAAGAACTAAATTAAACCACCAAAAGTTAAAACCTAAAGAATCTAAAAAGAAAAAGAAAGTAATGCAAAACATCCAAGAAGTATTCAGGGTGCAGTGGCCTCCTGAAACATAATGGTCTTGACCAGGTGTCTGAAACTCAGTAGGGACAGTGTCTGTCTAACTTCTTGTGGGGAGTTCCATAGAGTTGGGCCTACAACACTGAGGGTGCAGATCCTTTTTGGCATTGAGTTGTTGTTTTGGTTTCTCATCACTGCTCATTCAGGAATCTTTTATAAGCCCTTCCTGTTGAGGAGAGCCAGTTACCACCCTGGCTTGGTGGAGCCACTTGGTTATTTAGGAGCCCATCACTGCCCAGGGTACTGCTTCCATCTGTAACACATCCCCCTTTCCAGCGGATGTAACATTCCAGCCTGTGAATGAACAGGGTTTCCAGAGTGTTCTTCAGAAGTATGCTTTATCTCTGCTCAATGTTCTAAAGCAATGTCCCCTCCAACACTTTGGCGAGCAAGTAGATAAAGAGAAAGAAAAGACATAAATACATGGAATAATGAGTAAGGCAACTCTGTACTTGGGAAAAGAACTTAGGGTAAAAGCAAGAACCCTAAGCCAAGTGCCACAGCAGATATCTTATGGATGATATGAGTGTCAAGCCGCCTTTACAAGCCCAATTTTCCAGAGTCATTTGGGAAATAAGATCCTATTAACTAATTATAGTATAGATAGGGTGAACCCACAGAATCAGCAACTTGCTGCAGTCAGCCCTTTGGAACTGTCTTCCCTGTTATGGCTGTTTACTTTTAAGGAAAGGGCTGGTGCTGTGATGTTTTTTATTTTAATGATCTTTTTTATGTGTGTGTGCGCGCGCACCAAAATAATACAATTTTTAACACACACACGCACACATATATATATATTCTACTAACGCTTAATTGTTTTTTGATGATTGCTTTTTAATATGTTTTTAGCTGTTTCTATTTTAGTTGTCAGCCGCCTTTAGTCCCATTAGGGGAAAAGGCAGGGTATAAATAAATACAGCAGCAGCAGCAGCAGTAATAATACCCCTGGTGGGCTTTAATGCAGGGGAAGCAGAATACAAAACTGTAGGTTCCCGACAGGAGCCCCAGTGGCTGCTGCAGAGAGGGTGAAGGGCTTGGGATCTTTGACCTGGAAGCCCCTTCCCAGCCAAACATGCCTTAACGCTAGCTGCTTTGGAGAATAGTGTTTTGGAAATGCCTGTCTGATATCGTCATTGGAGGTGTGAAACCAGTCCTGGGGTGCTCTTTGCTAGGGATCGTCTACATGAGACTCCAGGGTGCCAGGATGCCTGCCACTACCTTCTATGTCACCCACATAGAAGGTCTTAGGGAATATCTGTTCAAAAACCCACAATGCATGATGATAAACTGCGAGAAATGTCACAACAACACTGGGCACAAACTTGGGACTTCAAACATCTTGCAAGGTGCTGCCAAAAAGAAGGCCCTCCCTCCCGTTTTAGCAGGGGGTTCCCATGCAAGCCCTTTCCTGGTTCAGGAAGGGGCTTTCATGCAATCCTGCTAAGCTTGAGCAGGATTTAACGTCTCATCAGCTGAAGAGTGGGAGGTTATTTTATTTTATTTTATTTTATTTTATTTATTTTATTTTATTTTATTTTATTTTATTTTATTTTATTATTTTATTTATTTTGTATACTGCCCTTCACCTGAGGATTGCTGAGTGGTTTATGGTAGAAAAAATTGCAGGATTTAACCCTACCTCCCACCATATGTTGTCACTAGTGATGCCAGCTGATGGGGTGGCTGGGTAGGCATGGTTTGGGGAATACAGCCTTGGGGGCCAAGATTGCCCCACAGACTGAATCTTACCCGATTCTTTTCTTAAGGGATACAAGCTTTCTTCTTACATGCTCTAAATCCAGCCATTTTGTTCCTTTCTGTCAGAAGCTGGATTTAGTAACGGAGGAACCTGCCTTATTCCAAGCCTATTTGTCAATCTCACTGGCCATGACTTTCCAGGGTCTCAGGCAGGGAAAAGTATTTCCCCATCTGCAGCCACCTGAGTCGTTTGGCTAGAAGTGCCAGACACTGAATGTGGGACCTTCTGCATGCAAATCCTGTTCTCTAGAGCTATGATCCCTCCCATTGGCCAGATAGCTGTGCTGGCAGGTAGTAAAGAGGCACGTAGACCTCCAGAGTAAATTATCTCTGGTCCTCCAAGCACTTGTCCTCTCAAGCTCCAATAATTCTACGCGCACTGAAAGTGAAATATTTCTGCCTATACTACAGCTGTGATTAAAATCTAACATGGGCATCACTTGATATTCCTTCACAGGAGCCATGTTCCTCTTCATTTCTCTTCCATCTGCTAAATAATTTTCCCTTCTCCAATTTTCTTTCCTCTTTTTTTCTTCCCTCCCAGGCCTGAACTGGTAGTTAAGAAGCTGCGTTATTATGCACGATTCATTGTGGTTTGCCTTTTACTGAACAAAATGGATGTCGTCAAGGATCTTGTAAAGGTAAAACCAATAGTACCATTGTGATGTGTGTAGTTAAGACTTTGCACATGCTCCAAGGAGCTCGGAGCCTTGTATTAGCTTTGCCACGACCATGTGAGTGCATGTTAAGTTGAGGATGGCCAGAAAGCATTTGTGCCTGGCTTTTCCCCCACTGAAGCTCAGCGCTCTAATCACTATGCCACCTTGACTGTCCAATAGCAATTCCCAAATTCTGTGCAGTGAGAAATTAATGGAAGGGTCCTGGAATCTCAGGGTATCCATCCATGGAGGAGGCTGTTCGTTGTGTTGCTGTATGAATCATTGCCCTATTCTTGCTTGCTTCCAGTCAGCCCCTGCCTTGGTGCAGATAGTACTTTGGGTATAAAGTGCAGTTGGATTACTCCCGCCCGGAAACTAATGTCCCCACTGTGGAAGGACATATGGATCCAGAATTGGCCTCCACAGTCACTTATAGTTAAAGCTATGGTCGTATAGTTAAAGCTATGGTTTTCCCAGTAGTGATGTATGGAAGTGAGAGCTGGACCATAAAGAAGGCTGATCGCCGAAGAATTGATGCTTTTGAATTGTGGTGCTGGAGGAGACTCTTGAGAGTCCCATGGACTGCAAGAAGATCAAACCTATCCATTCTTAAGGAAATCAGCCCTGAGTGCTCACTGGAAGGACAGATTCTGAAGCTGAGGCTCCAATACTTTGGCCACCTCATGAGAAGAGAAGACTCCTTGGAAAAGACCCTGATGCTGGGAAAGATGGAGGGCACAAGGAGAAGGGGACGACAGAGGACGAGATGGTTGGAGAGTGTTCTCGAGGCTACCAACATGAGTTTGACCAAACTGGGGGAGGCAGTAGAAGACAGGAGTGCCTGGCGTGCTCTGGTCCATGGGGTCACGAAGAGTCGGACACGACTAAACGACTAAACAACAACGTCACTTACGGACTCATTGTTAAAACTATGTTTATGGAAGACAATCTTACTTGGCTGCAAGTGATCACCAAAGAAGAAAGAAGAAGCAGCCTCAGAACTTCCCACTCTTAGGATTAGATGGCTTTTCTGGGCTTTCTTCTTTTTCCAATTAGGTTTTTGGCCGCTCTCTCCCTCTCAGTTTTTCCTCTTTCAGGGTTGTTATGCAAGTTATGCAAGTACAATAGTGCATGTAGAAACATCAGAGACTGGAGTAATGATTCTGGAATACTGTAAAGGCATAAACCTCTCCAAGTGTAAGAGGAAACAGCAGCGCTTCCATTATTAATTTGAAGTGGTGGTGAAGTTTGTCTTGTGTGTATAAAAATAATAATATCAGTCACAGTATTCTATGACAGGGTCTGGTCTGCAAGCTTCATTCAGGTGGCCCACAGCATGTCTGCAGGAGCAGCAGTTGTGAATGGAGGGTGCAACTTACTGCTCTGTTGTTCTCAGAACTCAGCAGTTCACCTGGAAGCCGGGTGGTATGGACCTGAAGTGATGGAGGGGAAGAGGCACTTGAAAGGAGTGGAAAGCAGTGGATTTAATAGAAGGCTGGATTTAAGGAGTTCATTCATGATTAAATTAAAAATCATCTAGCATAGTGCATTATTATTATGGTTATTGTTACATTTATATCCCACAGTTCCTCCAAGGAGTTCAAGGTGGTGTACATAGTTCTTCCTCTCTCAATTTTATCCTCACAACAGCCCTGTAGGTTAGACTAAGAGACTATGACTGGTCCAAGGTCACCCAGTGAGCTTTGTGGTGGGGCCTAGAACTCTGGTCTCCCAGGTCTTAGTCTAGCACTCTAACTGCTACACCACACTGGCTCTGCATTACAATAGCTACACAGTAATCTGCCAACACCCATAGCACTTTCCAAGTAGTTGCAGGTTGGGGGAGTGGAAGTTTGGGAACCACTGCTCTGTGAGAACAGTTGCACATTTGAGAATATGATAGCTCAGAGCCGAGATGCATAATATGGTGAATGAAGACGAATCAGAGAAGCTCAGACCAAAGAATACACAGAGCCTTTGGGAAAAGTACCGATCGAGATCTGCCTGAATATGAGAGTAGAATGGTAAAGTGAGAGGCAGCAGATAATGAAATGGAAAGGACCTTCACACAGGTGGCTGGAGGAGTGGAACAAACAAATGATTAAGTTGTGATCCTGGAGGAGGGGAATGAAACCATTAACAGACATTAAGAAACATCTTGAGATGGCAGAGATAGAGCTGAGAGAGAAATGATCCTGTGTACAAGTTGGAATGAATTCAAAGGAAAAAGCTACCGAGCCTGTGCCAATTCTCTTGGGGGGGAAATGGAAGGAACTTTTTTCCAAATTAGGACGGAAAATCATGGCCAACAGGAAATGGGATTGGAAGATATGGAACTGGATGCGAATTAATTAATATACAACAAATGGGTAACTATGGATTATTATCCTTATAGTGGATGTTGGGTTTTTATTTTTGTTTTTGAGATAAGGTCAACATACCAGATTGGAAGAAGACTATTCTAGGCATGCCAAAGATTAAGACATTCTGGGAGATTATCTATAACGAAATGAAAAAGGTATTTAAATATACCTTTCTGAAGAAACCAGAGGCCTTTCTCCTGGGCATGGTTGGCCAATTGGTGTCAAAGAAGGATAGAACTTTTTTTATGTATGCAACAACAGCAGCAAGAATACTCATCGCGAAGTATTGGAAGACACAAGATTTACCCACCCGGGAAGAATGGCAGATGAAGTTGATGGACTATATGGAATTGGCGGAAATGACTGGCAGAATCCGAGACCAGGGAGAAGAGTCGGTGGAAGAAGACTGGAAAAAGTTTAAAGACTATTTACAGAAATACTGTAAAATTAATGAATGTTAGAAAAATGTTGGAATGAAGTTATATGGCTTTAGTAGAAATGTTACAAGGAATTAAGTATAAATAGATTAATAGAGTATTAAAGGGAAAAATAATGTTAGAATCTGTTAAGATAATTAAAGGATAGAAAGCAGAGGAAGATGGAAAGGAATTGCTGAAACAATTAACAGAAGTGGAATACAAAAAGGGAGGTGTGAGGAGGTCATTGAAATAAGTGAATGAAAGATAAGATATTGAAATTGTTTGATGTGTTTTAAATTGTTTTTGTTTTGTTTTGTTTTGTTAGTTTAATGTGTTTAATGTGTTAGTGTTATGTAGTGCTTTTGTACTGTATTGTATTGTTTTTGTAGTGTTTAAATTGTTGGAAAAGTAATAAATATTATTTTCCAAAAAAAAAAGAAGAAGACTATTCTAGGCATGTACTGATAATAACAACTGGGGAGCCCCTTTCGCACTTTTTTGTGGAAATGAGCATGAACTTGTGTCTGGGGTTGAAGATTAGGAAAACATCATCTAGCTGAATGCAAAACAGCTGGATATTATAATGGAATACAGCTAGATACCATCCTGCAGTGAACGCTTTGAATCAGAAGTTCTCACCACTCTTTTTATGTTTTATTATCTTTTTCTTCATCTAGTTTTCCTTTTCCTTTTTCCTTTTATCCGCTATGCTTTTGCTTATTTTTCGTTTTGTTCATTATGTCCTCTACTCTGGCTTAATGAGGTTAGAAGGTGATGCTTGGCAGGTGAAAGACCCTGCGTGAGGTGCAGGGAAGGGAAGATCTCCCAGGGTTGGAGGCTGGGAGAAGAAAGGGAAGCTCCCAGGTGAGATAGGAAGGGTGACAAGGGTTAAGGATCTACCTTTGGGAGAGGGCTTTTTTCATCATCCACCTGCCCTGCTTTCTCTTTTTCTTTTCTTTCTCTCTTTTTTGTTTTTATTTTTATTTAGATTAGTTTGATTACTTTGTTTTTTATTATGGTGTATGTTGAAAAATTTCAATGATGATGATGATGATGTAGCACAGCTTACTAGGAAGCGGAAATGTGCCAACCAGCGTGGATGTGGCCGTGCACCATGGATCCTCGCTTCCTCACCTCTAGTTTACTGCTGTTACTGCTTCCCTGAACACTCTAAACAAATTTTTTTGAGCATTGCCACATGTTTGCTTACTTACTGCACATGCCTACTCACAAAATCTAATCAAGTTAGCCCCCCGCCCAAAGCAGCACTAAATCATCTCATTTGTTGCTCTCTGTGCTTTCTAGGAATTGTCAGATGAGATTGAAGACTACACCCACCGCTTCAACACAGAAGACCAAGTGGAGTGGAATCTGGTTCTCCAAGAGGTGGCTGCATTTGTCGAGGTGAGGACTTAAAAGTGAATCGCTGCATTTTCCTTTCTTTCTGAAAGAGCGCAGTGTCTTCCCAGATCTTGACTCATATTCTACATCTTCTGCGATAATCCTCAGGCAAAAGGGGCATTTAGCTCAGTGTTCTATCTTCTACAGTAGCTAGGCAAATCCCTTAAGAAATTGGCAAGCAAAGGATGATGGAGTGTTCCCATTTGTTCCCAACATTGGGTAGTTAAAGGCTGCTGCGGAATATGTAGACCCTTAATTCTTACAACTAATACCTCTTGTCTTCTCTGTTAATTGGTATTTTTAGCAAGCCATCTGAGCTAGTTACCATTATTGTAGTTTGCTATTCTGGGAAGCAGAGTTTTTGTTTAAAAGGCAAACCACACACCCATGCTTCTAGTTCTCATTATTTTAGTGAGAAGCTTTTAACCGCTGAAAGAAACGGGAGGGCATCGTCTTCCTTCTGTGCCTTCAAGTCATCTCCTACTACTCATTCCCCCTCCTAGTAACTCACCTCCTGCTTCTATATTGTCCTTTGCCTTTTCCAAATAGGAACAATTGCTTTCATAGTGTTAGAAAAAGTTAATTGAGCAACATTATACAAGGGAAGCAACATCACTCAGTGGTAGAAGATCTTCTTTGCATGCAAAACATCCCAGATTCAATCCCCAATATGGCATTTCCAGGGATGTCCCCTGTCTGAGACCATAGGGAGTCATGACCAAAGAGTGTTGGCAATACTGAGTTTGATGAGCCAATGGTCTGACTTGGTATAAGGTAGCTTCCAGTGTTCCTAAGATAATATAAATTTTGCCAGCATGTATGTGTATATATACAAAAAGCAGAATTATTTATTCCTAAGAGGGAAGGAATAGAATGCAAGAGCCGTACTCATAAGCCAAATCTTGTGAGGGAAATATGTATAATTAAGACTAGAATCTTGCAGGGAGCATTCCTTTGATCACAGCTGCTCTTATTACTCCTGGACTTTCCAAAGCTCGCAGTAATACATCAGAGGCTGATTTGCAGTTCACCTGGTGCTGGTCCATCCTCATGGTAAAGTGAGTCTTCTCCAAAAGAAACAAGCTTAGTACAGGATAATTGGCAAACAGAATCCCAAATCACAGTGGCAGTTAGCATTAGTGTTAACCTGCTCCATTGCCCCTTTCATCCAGCTTAATGTAGTTGGCTTTATGGGAAAGAGCTTCTGAATTTCTGCACACCCACACTCACACACTCCCAGCAGAATATTTGGGAAAATACGAGGCTTGCTAATTGCTTGTTCTTTTGTTGCTGTGTTTTTATTACTTCCAGCAAGGCTTAACCTGAGTCCAGATAATTCATGCCAGGGACCCTCATTCTCATGCCTGTCTCCCTTTCTTTCCAGGCAGACCCTGTGATGGTGTTGAATGATGACAACACCCTTGTGATCCTCTCCAACCGCCTCTCTGAAACGGGAGCCCCTCTGCTGGAGCAGGGGATGATCGTAGGGCAGCTGACTCTCGCAGATGCGCTTATTATTGGCAACTGCAACAATCAGGTGGGATCCTGTACACAAGCCTTTCGTCCCATGTCACAAGTGGGGTCATTTTATATCAAGCAATCCAACTTTTTTACCTCATGTCATCCAGTTTTCTTAATACTTTGTACTCTTGTTGAATGATCAAAACTAAATTTAAATCCAAAATTTTAGCTTTTTATTTCATCCCTTTTTTGAGTTATGAGGGTTTGAAATTAAAAAAATAAATGACAATTTTGGCTTTGTCGGACTACACAAAAACCTTAAAAGCTCAGTCCAGCATTGAGAAACTGAAAACACCAATCTCTTCAGAACTTCATATGAAAGGTCACAAGATGGACTTATTTTAAATTTAAGTTACAGAATTTAAAATTTTAAAAAGTGATTGAAAAAATTAATGTGCATCACACCTGGCACACACTCACCAGATCTTGTGGAGAACATGCACATAAGCTGTCTGTGAAGAGGGAGTTGTGCGTATTTCCCAGTCAGTATACATAATTTCCAGCAGGACTTGGGAAATGTATATATATCGCCTAACGTGTGTGTGTGTGTGTGTGTGTGTGTGTGTGTGTGTGTGTGTGTGCGCGCACACACACACACATGTGTGCGCATGCACACACATACACACTATAGGAGATTTATCAAACTGGAAAAGTTTGGCCACTGAGAGTGCTTCTACTCTTGCCAGCTTGGACATCATGCTGAATCGTGGTTCATTTTCCATAATCATGGCTCAGTGTTAGGTCTGAATTGAACCAATCTTTGTCCCCAGGGATGAACGTGGTCTTCCAGGCTACACAGAGTGTAGAGCACAGGTGCATAAAGCAGCCCTTGACACTTCCTACCACCCACATTTCTTTTAAACAAACTAGGAGGCAAATCTCTGCTCAAGGCCCTGGAGAGAGTCATCGCAGGTCAGAAACAGATGGCACCAGGCTGAAAGAACCATTGATCAGGCTCTGTAAAGAGATGCTGATTAATTTATAAAAGTCACACATCTCAAAATCACAACTTGAGCTTTAAAAAGCCTGTTGCCGTGTTGCAAGCTGCATTATCCATATGAACAGGCTTTAAAAAATAATGAGACAAAGGTTATATCTATTTGACAAACATAATTGGCTTTCTAATATAGCAGAGGTAGCCAACAAGGCACTCTCCATATGTTGCTGGACCCCAACTCCCATCATCCCCAACCAGCATGGCCAGTGGTAAGGGATGATGGGAGTTGAAGTCCAATGACATGCAGAGGGCACCATGTTGGCTACCCCTGTACTATAGCATAAAGTATCTATGGCTCCCCCAAAGAATTATGGGAATAGTAGTTTAATGAGGGTGCTGTGAAGTATATTGAAGATCCCTAACACACCCACACCCACACCCACACACACACACACACACACACCCCTGTAATTTTTAGAATTATCTATGAAGAGAGAGTGGTAATGATATAGGCCCTCAACAGTAATTTTAAGCATAATTTTTGAAAAGGGATCTGGGCTTCTCCCTGCATTACCTTTATGACTGTGTTCTGCCAGTTTTCTAGACTTTTTAGAGGGTGAATGTTTTGCTCCTTTATATGGCTTTATAATTTGACTTTTAAATACGTATATTCTGGTACTATTTTTAGTATTTTGCACTGCATTGTGCTTCTATTGTAATAATTGTAAAGTGGTATGCAAGGTTTCATTTTTTGTTTTTCTGTTTTTAAAAGCTGGTACAGACACATACTTACTTGGTAGCTCAAAAGACTTTCATTTCCAGCACTAATGGATGAAATTACACATAATTTGAGCTTTCAACAAGGACTAGAAGTTCCAGACCTTTTTTTATATACGACTTGACATTTCTTGATTACATATACAGCAGAGCCATCATTTTCAAGGCAGCCATTGTCGCAAGCCTGACCCATCTGGAACTATACTTGACAGTCAAATAATGCTTAATATTCTTTCTTTATGTGAGGACACATTTTATTCTTACTCCCCACCCCCACGCCAATGACCTGGACCTCATTACTTAAAAAACCTATATGTAACTGTACTTACTCTATGTGCTTATTTTATGGTTTGGCTTTTTATGTTTTAATTTCCATCTGTTATGTAATTATTCTTGCCTATTTATATACAATTAAAAAATCAAAAAAATCTTTACCCACCAGAAATGGCTTTCATTATCCTAAAAACCTTTAATTTGCAACTGTGTCTCTGGTAGGTGAAGTTCAGCGAGCTGACAATCGACATGTTCCGGATGCTGCAAGCTCTGGAGAGGGAACCTATGAACTTGGCATCACAAATGAGCAAGCCAGGGCTGCAGGCAAGTCCCCTCGTCTTTCAGCCCTGCACTCACCAGGCGAGGCAGTAGAAATTTATTTTAACTTTGGTTTGAGATCAGTTGGAATTCCATGTTAAGCTAATTGTATAGATCTGAGGAGCAGCTGTGCTGAGATGAAAAATCTATAACCTCCTTTCTTTTAGTGACATGCGCTGCTTGTTTCTTTCTTTCTTTTTTTATATAGGAGACAACCGAAAAGCCAGCAAGAAGGGAAAACCCTCACAAGTACTTGCTGTACAAGCCAACCTTCAGTCAGCTGTACACCTTCTTGGCTGCGTCATTTAAGGTTTGTGCCAAAGGAGGAGGTGCCTCTTTCTAGTGATAGAATATCCCAAATAGTGAAGGCTCATCCAATAGGTTGCCCCAACAACCTCAGTCTGCCATGAGTCAGCCAGCATCTTCCTGTCTTCTTACTCGCAACCACTCGGGGGGGGGGGGGGCTGTCAGCTCCTTCATCTGTCTCAGTGTAGTCACTTGTATAACTCAGCAGGGATGAGAATGGGAGCAAAACTAGGATTAGGAGGTTCTACCTATTGTTGGCTCTGGCACTATCTACTGTTGGCTTCCCTGCCTTCCGCCCCGCCAGCCACCACTGCTCCTAAAATACCATTTTGCCGAGTCAAAATGCAAGTGAGCAGGTGTGTCTCCTGAGAACAAAAGGTGTTTATGGAGCGCAATTGAAATGAATAATGACAAATTTAAAAAATACCATCATTGCTATGAATTGAATTTTATTCATCTGTTTAAACTGTTTTATACACCTTTGCTTTGGAGAGCTCAAGGCAGCAAGCAACAGCAATTTAATTTTCAAATTACCCTGCAGTGAACACTTAAAGCAGCAGTGGAAGACAATTGAATACAGCAGCAATAAAAAATTATTCACAAAACCAAAGGCAGTTTCAAATTGGGGTGGGGGGGGAGAGAGACAACCACTACCACCACCACCATTAGATAAGGGAGCAGTTTCCAGTCCAAAGATAGATATTTTTTTATACCAGCCTATTGAAGGCTGCTGCAAGAGGAGCTGAGGCAGGTTTCCCTCAGAGTTTGTACAGTTGGACACAAATTTAGAATTAGGAAGAGGAGAGAGAAAGAGAGGCTGTTTTGCCTCTTCCAGAGATGGGTGGGTTGGTTTATATACAGTCAATCCTGACTTGAACAGGTTCTTGTAATAATTTTAGAAAGACTGTCAAACCTATTTGAACAGAAGCAACAGCAAGACAAAAGAGGTTTCTTTGTGCGTTGCCTGGAGGTTGGCAATGATTTTTTTAAATAAAAAAGTTGAAAGTGGCATATGAGTGTGTCACTTCCGTGTTGCTCTGCCCCCTCCCAAGCATTCATTCATTCATTTAGCAGTATATGCCGCTTGGTTGTAACGAAACCTCTGTTTACAGGAACCATTAAAAAGATCAATAGGAAACCCAACTGTTTTGTGTTGATCATTTTAATGGAAAAACATCAAGACTTACTGCCCCTGGGGTTTGCCAACACTACTCCAGAGCCCCTCCTGGACAGCACGGATGGGGTGCTGCTGCGTAACAGGGTGGACGATAGACCACAGCATCCCCTGTCTGTCTCTCTGGCCCATCACCAGATGCTGATCTCCTAATCCCATTCCAAGATCAATAGGTTTTCTGGTAAAGGAGATAGTATTTTTACAGACAATAGCAACACCTGCCCTTTGTCCTCCTCCGCCTAAGTCTAGCCTAGCGCTGTAACAAGTACCCAGAGGGACACGGCTGAGTTAGGTCAGGCCCACCCAACTCACCCATCCAAGTCTTGGTAATGCATACCACATCTGCCCTTTTATCCACCACCAGTTTGTGGGTGAGCATGGTCTTATTGTGGACTGACCTGGCATTCAATAACAGCACCATTGGACCAGAGGGCTAAGAAGTAAGCTATCAGCAACTTCCAGATGGGTGAAAGGTGGACAAGAGCCTCTGCCCCAGTTGTGTGGAAACAGGAGAGGAGTCTCAATGGAGCTAGCAGTGGGAAGGACACTAGAACTCAAAGATATCCAGTGAAGCTGAATGTTGGAAGATTCAGGACAAATAAAAGGAAGTGTTTCTACACCACATAGTTAAACTATGGAACTCACTCCTGCAGGAGGCAACAATGGCCCACCAATTTGGATGGCTTTGAAAGAGTATTAGAGAAGTTCATGGAGGATAAGACCATTGATGTCTACTAGCCACGAAAGCTATGCTGTTTCTTGATGGTCAGAGGCAGTAAATGCTTCTGAATAAAAAGGTAAAGGACCCCTGGACAGTTAAGTCCAGCCAAAGGCGACTATGGGGTTGCGGCACTCACCTCGCTTTCAGGCCAAGGGAGCCGGCATTTGTCCACAGACAGCTTTCCGGGTCATGTGACCAGCACGACTAAACCGCTTCTGGTGCAACAGAACACCATGCTGGAAACCAGAGCGCATGGAAATGCCGTTTACCTTCCCACCGCAGTGGTATACCTATTTATCTACTCGCACTGGTGTGCTTTTGAACTGCTAGGTTGGCAGAAGCTGGGACAGAGCAACGGGAGCTCACCCCGTCGCAGGGATTTGAATTGCCAACCTTCTGATCAGCAACCTTCTGCATACTAGTTGCTGGAAGCCACATGAGGGGCGAGTACTTCTAGCAGGGCTCTTATTATCTTTTAAGGATGGAATATTCCTTCAATCCAGTGCAAGTCCTACTGCTACATTTATTTTAAAAAGCATTTTTAATATTCATATTGGGTTATCCTTGAAACAGACAGCTTAAAATAAATGATATGTATCTGTATTGTGCATTAATAAACAAATGCCTACCTCCCCCCTCTCCAATATTCCCTCACCAACTCCCCTCCCCCCCTTCTCCTGTCAAACTTTCAGGAGCTGCCTGCAAATAGTGTCCTGCTCATCTACCTGTCAGCCACTGGCGTGTTTCCTTCAGGTCGTTCGGATAGTGAAGGTACAAATAAAGGAATGCTCCCTGTCATGAGCAGGGCCTGAATTCTCTTTATGATCCACAATCTGACGAGGGAAGCCTCCAAATGCTTTTTCTCTTGGAGAATAAGCTATGGGCCGGCATTGCCTTTGCTGGGTATGGCTGCCCAACAGGAAGTGGCGTTTGGATTTTCTTCTCATGTCTACCTTTGTGCCACACCTTAAGATTTTTCAGGTGTTGGAAGCGTTAGCACCCGGTTCAGGTGCTTTACTGGGCTGGAAGATCTTCTTTGTGTGGTGAAGAAGTGGGGTGTACGGACCCTTATGCCATGCACACTGCGTGATGCTCAGCAGATGTGTATCCCATACGTCTCCATTAGTTTCTCTCTCACCTTTTTCTCCAAGGAGCTCAAGGTGGTTTACATGGTTCTCCCTCTCATCATTTTATCCTCACAACAACCCTGTGAGGTAGGTTAAGCTTAGTGGGGATTTGAGCCCTGGCCTCCCAGGTCCTAGTCTGACAAACTCTCTAGCCACTACACTACACTGGTTCTCCTTTCATGCCCCAGGGAGAAAAGACTGGACAACAAAGACATTTTTCAGCCTGAGGGCCACATTCCCTTCTTTGAAGGCTTCAAGGGGCCACATGCCATTGGTGGGTGGAACAATGATTGTGAATTTTTACCTTTGTGCAGTAGACTAGTTTCTATGTATAAATGATACACACAAACACCCAGCCTCCATCCACATAAGCAAGAGGCATTATCAGGGTTTAAGGACACATTCCAGCCAGCCAAAACCATTCACAGTGTGAAGTAGAACCAGTGAGGGTGAGGGTTATGGCCTGGAGAGAGGGAGAAAGTCATAAGGGCCAGATAAAGAGCCCTGGAGGGTTCCCCACCTCTGCTGTCCAACCAGGTCTTAAAAGTGTTAGGAGGCTCCATATGGAGCACATCACAGTACTGGGGAGTGGTGTGTGCCTGATTTTCACTACATGAAGATGATAACCAGCCTTGTAAGTGTTTGGTAAATGGTGCCTCCTGAATGCTTCTGGGGCTCATTGTCCCTTTTATTTAAAAAACAAAACAAAGCAGTATGAACACAAAGCCGTGTTGATAGTACTCAAGTGCAGCCAAAGGATGACTGCTGGGGGAGGGGGGGCGTGCTGTAGAGATGGTGGATATTTCCTCACAATTCAAGCCCTTGTCATGACTTTGGTAATTTCCCTCCACCCCACCTCCACCTCCACCCCACCTATCCGACCCGGAAGAATATTGGGATGCAGCTGCCATCTGTGCTTTGTTTGTTGTTTTGTTTTTTAAGACAACTCCCCACCCCCCTCAAAAAATACAATCATGAAGATGATCCATTCCAAAAATTGGCTGAAGCTGAATGAATGGATTATACAAAGTGAAAGAATTTGGTTCTCATGGTACCATGTTTGCATTCAACAACAACAAAAATTCCTCCTAGTAGATGTTGTATTAAATCTGCTCCATTCACTTAAAAGACTTGCATTCCTTTATAAAATGCATGCTTGTTTCATCTTTCCTTGCATGATTCATAAACCTTTCCAGATACTTATATTTTAAAAAACCCACAAAAACACCTGTAACAAAAAGTTTACAGGGTCTTTTTTGCTGTGTACTTTGGTGCCAAATCTTTGTCCTCTTGCTTGACTCTGGTTTTTGTGGGTGGGTGGGTCTTATGCCTGCTGCATGAGCTTTTGTTGTTCCCAACATACGGTAGGACAAATGTCCATCTCCACCCTTTGTAGAGCTTTCTAGATTTTCTGTTAACGCTTCTGGCTCAAAGTGGGAGGTGAGCCTTGGGGACCATCTGTGCAAAATGTCAACCTCCTCCATTCTGCCCCAGAGATGACATTAATGCAGCTGGGACTCTAGAAGGGAAAGAGAGCTGGCCTGATTAAGTCATTGACATGGGGAGGAAGCAGAAGGGGTAAAAATAATTAGGGATAATTTGAGGAAGGGGTAAATTGATAGTTGGTAAGAATAGGTTTGTCTTCTGTAATTGAACAGAGTTTGAGGAATGGGACCTGCCTCTTGAGGCACAACAAGGCAGATAATCTTAGAGCGCTTGAACCATGGGAGGATGGAGTATCAGACAAAGAAAGGGAGGATAGGTCTAAGGAAAAAGAGAAGGAGGATAGGCTCTGCCTCACCCATGAAACTGCCCTGTAATCTTCTGAGCTCAGTAAGGCAAAGTTGCAATGGCAGTATTCCTGATACTTGCTTTTGCACAACAAATTATTATTTTTTAATCGATGTTTCCTTTTGTTAGCTGCTTTGGTCTTTCCTTGGGAAGGTAAAACTGGTTATTAATCAGCAAGTGAAATTTGTGGAGTAAATGAAGAACCAGGATTGTTGTCTCAGCCCTTCCAATTGTACCCATGTACAAAAGTCAGCCGAAGATGATCCTTGTCAATCCATGTGGCCAACACAGACCAATGTGGCATTGCTGAATTCAGCCTTGTAATGATAATTTTAAAAATATTGGACTTGCACATAGCTACCTGCAGTCCACATGATTGGCTTTCTGAGCTGAACGTACAGGGAAGGGCAACAGTATCACTTGTTCCCTAGAATGTTACAGCTTCAGGAGCATGGGAAGCAGCATTTGAGGGAGGCACCATCTGCATTGTATCTTTAAAGCAGTACCATACCACTTTAATAACTCATGGCTTCCCCACCAAGCATCCTGGGAGCTGCAATTTATTAAAGGTGGTGAGACTTGCTAGGAGACCCCCCCCCCCATTCTTCGCACAGAACTTCCATTCCCAGAGTACCCCAGCTAGAGGGAACTGTTAAACCACTCTGGGAATGGTAGCTTTGTGAGGGGAATAGGGGGTCCCCTAACAAGTCTCACCACCTTAACAAACGGCAGTTCCCAGGATCCTTTGGGGGAGCCCTGAGTGTTTAAAGTGGTTTGATGCTGCTTTAAATGTATAGTGCAGATGGAGCCTGATTCTAAAGACCGCATTTGACACCTGTCGAGTTTGCTATGTGAAATGAGTAATTGCGTCTCCAGGAGAAGGAGTAAAATCTTAGGGCCAAACTAGACAAATTATACTGTCTCCACTGGGAAGAGATGGTTAAGCGCAAAGACCATTTGGAAAATCCCATTGTCTTGTTGTGGAAAATGCTTGAATTCCCACTAGGCAGTTGTGAAGCTGGTAGTGAAGCATGTTGTGTAAGTGGCTGTTGCCCAGAGTTGGGTCAAAAAACCAGCTTTTCCTTTTTTAAGCTTCCCTTGGCATTCTCCCATCAGCGTTCTCTCTCTCTCTCTCTCTATCACTATGCTGGTGGCTGGTATCCACAGCAAATCTGGAAAGGTTCTTCCTGACCTACTAAGGTGGAAGGATGGATTTCTAGTTCTTGGTTGTATTGATTTTGATTGTGGTGTGTGGGTTTAAACATGGCGTATATTGATCCTTCCTGTATATATGTGAAATAAACACGGTTTTAGTTAGAGAGGTCTCTAATGAAAAGGGCACAATACTTTTGGCCCTACAATCTAAAACAGGGATAGTCAGCTGGCAGCCCTCAATTCCACCTATGGCAGCTGTACCAAATTCTAATCAAGATCATAGTAAGTTATATTGGGACGAAGTGAGTCTGTGTTGTGTTTTGAATTCATAGGCTAAAATGAATCAAAAGCTAAAGGACATCTTGTATTGTCAAGATGGGGGACAGACATTGGCCAAGTGAACTTCCAAACCCATAATCCATTAGTAATCTGCAAGCTCTCCCAGATTCTCCTTTTTCTCCCAAATGGGGGCTGCTGTCCATATCCCGTGTTTGTTTCATTGCCAACACGTAGCTGTGTAGCTGCTGTTCATTCTGGCCTCCTGTTTGCATTTTCTGCAGGTCCCTATGATTTTGGGGGTGTCCTGACAAACAGCAACCGGGACATCATAAATGGGGATGGCATCCACAAGCGGAACCAGTCGTACAAAGAGATGCACTGGTGAGTACCATGTACCTGGAAGAGCAGGTGGCAGGAGCCCTCAGCCCTTGGAATTTAGTTACAGGACTTTTGCTGCCCCATGGTTTCAGTATTTGTACTGGCTTCTTCCAACTGGCATTTTGAGGCTGGTGCTTCTCCCACAACTCATACACATTTCCTATAAAGCCCTAACCTCAAGGGCAGGGTTGGGGGGTATTTTTCAACCTGCGCATCACATTCCTTCAATAGTAACATTTTTGGGTGGCTGCATGCTGGTGGTGAGTGGGCCCAAAGGCAGTAGGGGGAGCAGTGGAGATGACACCTTCGTGCTGTAGGCACAGACCTTCATCACTCCAGCCAGGCAAGCAAGAAGCATTATCTAGCAGCTCTTCTTATGTTCTTGTGACCATGAACTCAGGCCTCTCTGTTTAAACTGGTGGGTGGAGGGTCCTGTTTAGGTTTGCTTAGTTTCCCTTAAGCGCTTTTATAAATAAGTACAGTAAATGGAAGGTTGTGATGGGGGGTGGGGAGACCCCTGGAATGATGTTATACTACTAAGGAAGCAACAATCTCTTCCCAGGTTCCAAGCGTACTTTTGAACCATTTCTGTTCTCTCTTTTAGTCTACACCCTGGTGATCTGTATCCTTTCACGAGGAAGCCTCTGTTTATCATAGTGGACTCCTCTAACAGCGTTGCCTACAAGGTAACAACTTTTCTCCATCATTATCACCATCGTTATTTATTTATGTGCCTCCTTTCCATAGTTAAGGTGTGCTCTAGATGGCTTACAACCCCAGAAAATTGACATAATTTGCTCTAGTTGGTACAAAAATGCAACCAAATCTTAAATGATAAAAAATGAAAACCTCTCAGTAAGTATACAGCAAAATTTAACAATTGTTAGTAGATCATAAGATCTGAGAATAAAAACTAAGCAATGTAATCCCAATAACAGGTAAAAATAATGTATGTCAGAATTAAATCTTGACTCCAGCATTAACTCCTAAACAACACCCCCCCATGCCAATAGTTTCTAGACATACTGGACAGCAGGACTTACTGGCCTCACAGGTCAAATAATCTCTGGCCTCTCCAGCACCCGCTGGTTTTGCAGCTGGAATCAGGATGCTGCCCCCCAGCCCAGCCCAGCAAAGCAGGGAGGAGGCTCTTGCAGGACTCACAGATAAGATGATTTTTAAGATGTCTGTGTTTTGAGTGCTTCTAAAGTCAGCCCCTCTCCCTACACCAAAGTAATTTTTTTTAAATGCATTTTACGTGTGCCATTTGTTGTAAATAGAACATTCTTGTAATGTGTATACAGAAAATTTATTCAAGGGAACAAAGCAAAAAACCAAACAAAATTTTAAAAAACATAATGCCTCGGTAGTAGTAACTGACTTTTATAAAACACTAAAATGTCCTCTATGAAACAGTGAAATACCCAGCACATTTGGGATTTGGTACTGAGCTTACTTCTGAGATTTAAAGCACAATTGCAACTGGCCTTTTTAGAGTTCTCAAAGGTGGTGTGATGTGTTAGCCCATGGATAACTGCAGCCCCTTTGGAGAGACATAGCCATGTTCATGTGCCAGCAGCTGTACTGTAACTTCCTTCCTTCCTTGTTTTGACTATTTCAGTTGTATTTTGCTCTTGCTAATTCTAGTTACCTTATTGCACATAATATATATATGAGTGTCTGTATCGCATGCCCTGTGTAGAGTAGCACAGAGCTCTGTGCTTAATCATCACTTTGACATTGGGAGGGAGAGAAGGGGGGTGACTATTACTCTGATTAGACCCAGCTGCTCTTTAATATGTTAACAAGCTTAGTAGGAATTACCTTAATGAATTTTAGTGGAATTGACACATTTGGAAGAGCGCTTCTGTCTTAACAGGCTGAGTCCTGGATAGAAACTAGAAGGATGCTTTCCTTCCTTTCCCCTACTTAAATTTCCAACTTACAGAAAGTTAAATTTCATGTTGGGTTGTCCACATGACATCCCCTGGTGCACTGCATAGACTTCTGTTACTTATTTAGAACATTTGTAGTCCACTCTTCTGCCAAAAAGGCTCCCACAGTGGCTTACGGACAAAAACATGACACACAAGGAAAGTGAAGGGGAAGTGAAAGAAGTGGGTGGGGAATCAAACTCAGGCATTAATTCTTAATGTTGACATACTTCTGTCTCTTGAGACATTGGAGGAGTTTGCCTTTGAGGGTGAAGTCAAGCTGTTGGAAGGTTACAGTATCTGCTGTGGCTGTAGAGACTGAGATGGGAGAGACATGTTTTGTTGCATCTGGAGCAGATAAAGGCGTCCAGTTGTGCTGCTGCAGATGTGCCATGGCTCCTTTTTTATCTCTGTGCTTCTCCCAGTGGTCATTCCTCCTCTGGTCACTGCTAGGGATACACAAGTTGACTTTCTGCAGGCACTGCAGTCATCTGCAACTGATTCCCACTCCAAGGGGTTGATGTTGCCAGCCTTCATGTCTCATTTGCAGACATCTTTGAAATACAGATTTGGTCTGCCAGTAGGCCTAGTGCCTGAAACCAGGTCCCCACAGAGCACGTTCTTGGGGATCCTGCCATCTTCCATTCTGTGGACATGGCCAAAGCAGCATAGATGCCTGAGACAGGAGTGTGAACATGCTGGGAATGTGGATTTGGGAGAGCATGTCTTTGTTTGAAACTCTGTCCTCCCATGTGATAACCAAAATCTTTCTGACACAGCACATGTGGAAGGCATTGAAGTGTTGCTCCTGGTGGATGTAAGTTGCCCACATCTCAAAATTACGCAGCAATCCCTTCCACCCAATTCAGTTCTTGCCTTGTCAAGTTTAAATAATAACTTTAAATACGGAGACTTCGTATTTTTTCTGTTATCAGCAGCCCGATTAACAGTAGCTGACAATACTGGAAACCTATTGAAATCCCATTGAAATCTCGGTAAATAATATTTGGAATGTGGCTCTGTCGGGACACCTTACTCGTCATAGAAGGGTAATTAAAGGCATTTCAAAGATAGACACTTTTGGCGAGACTTGGCTTCCATTCTTTTCCTTTATAAATGAGACAGAAGATACTTTTATTCCACACACAACACAAGAATCTCTGTGGAGAGGATACTTGAATGGACAGTGCATAAATAAACGTATTGCCTGTGTACTGTGTACTGTGTACTGTGTACTGTGTATGAAACTTAATAAGAAGATACCACTGGACAAAGTTACTGTATTTATATGCTGTTCTTGTATTTACGTGAAAACCAATAAAAATATTTGGATATTTTTAAAAAAGAGGGAAGTGTTCACAAAGTTCAGGTATGGCTGTTCTGTTGGTGTTGATTCAAGGCCACTCTTTCTGCTTTGTACTGTGGGCCCTTTTTGACTAGAGATGGATCTTGCTTGCCACCAGGGAGTAATCCAGGTTGCAAGCAGCACTGTGGTAGTTCTGAGTGACACAAACACAATTTAGTGCTGATCGCCTGGTGACAGTCAAGTCCCTCTGGTGCCAGTGGCCTGACCTTGGATGTCTCCAGAACACCCTGTGTTTAGCCATGGCAGAGAAGAACATGTTTGTGATGCAGAGGTGTAGACATATTGCTAGGGAATTTTACTTTTATACTGAACATCCCACTCTTTTGAAAGAAAGGGGTTTGTATGGGGCTCCCAGTGGCCCTCCTCTTCAACCAACTGATCGGGTTTACCTTTCCATTAGCTTTCTATTGCTGTATGTGTATGTGTATGTGCTGTATGCTCAAACCAAACTGCTGAGATCTCTCTCTTTCTCTCACTCCTCTTCCAGAATTTCACAAACTTATTCGGACAACCACTGGTGTGCCTACTTTCACCAACAGCATATCCAAAAGCGTTGCAAGGTATGAAGGTGTTTTTCCTCTGTAACAGGAGTTGAGGTGTTGCATTGTGTTCCTGTATTTTACAGCAACAACAAAAGTCAGTGGAAAGGGGGTATTAGCTTCCCAGCTTAAAAAGTTGCAGTGACACCTCCCCATCTCCCGACCCTCATTTGATCCACTGAACCACAGTGAGAAGTTCTTTCTTTTTTTGCAAGAACAGGGCATTTGTCGTCTGGAAGTTTACAGTAAATATTTCACTAACATACTTGTTGAGCCTTGAAATTGGCTGTCCTGGATGCCTGGAGGAACTCTGGTGCTGAGTCCTGTTGTTGCTGTTGCATTGCTCATTCCACTGCTGGGTAAACAAAAAGCTCTTAGCCTGGTGCCTAGGGATTGATAAGAATAGCACCAGGCATGAGTCTGGGGAGAGCATTCCACAGGTGGTACTACTGAAAAGTGTTGCCAGCCTCCTCACTTCTCTCAGATGCTCAGGTGGGGCACATTGAAAAGGACTTCAAATGAAGACTGCAGGGACTGGGCTGGTTTGTATGAGGAGAGGCAGTCCCTGAATTATTGTGCTCCTGAGCCTTGTAGGGCTTTAAAGGTCAAGGTGCAATCAGGCTCTTTATTTTCTTGGGGGATAGGACCATAGTCCAGCGGGTTGAGCACTTTCTTTGCATGCACAAAGTTCCAGATTCAATCCCTGGCATCTCTAGGTACGGCTGGGAGAGACTCCAGCCTGACACCCTAGAGAGCTGCTGTCAGTCGATGTCTACAGTACCAATCTAGATGGACCAGTAAGGACCCCTCTGCACTATACATTTACAGCAGTAGTATATTGCTTCAAACAATCAGTTTCCCCCAGAGAATTCTGGGAACTGTGGTTTGTTACTGGTGCTGACAGTTGCTAGGAGATTCCTATTCATGTCACAAATCTACAATTCCTAGAGTTACTGTTTTTATTTATTATATTTATTAGTCACTTTTCGCAAAATAAATAAATAAAGTGAGTTCCCTGGGAAGAATAATTGATTGTTAAACCACACTGAGAATTGTATCTCTGTGAGGGGAATAAATCTAACGACTTTCAACACCCTAAGAAACTGCGGTTCCCAGGATGCTTTGGGGGAAGCCATGATTGTTTATAGTGGTATGATACCGATTGAAATATATAGTGCAAACAGAGCATACGACAGCTCCTTTTCTCCTTAACGTCTGCTGTCCTTTTGCTTCATGCAGATAAAATGTGGGGCAGGGGGGCGGTATTATCTCATCTTCCTTTGCAGCGGTAACTGTGGTGGGCACTCTCTCTTAGGGTTTCTTCCTTGCCTGGACTAACGTTAACGGAAGTCTTTTTGGAGTGCCTTGTAATCTAATTAGGGAGCGAAATATTTGATCAATTCGAAAGCTCTCTATTAACTTTCCAACCCATTTTTCCAGTCCCCATAACTGTAAGTGGTTCTCTGGTGTGTCGCTCTCTGAGAGAGCAGCCCCTTTACTGCTACTGGTTCCCAGCATGAAGTCCAGTCTGGTGACATAATTTGTGACACAGGAAGGTGGTGGTCAGCAGTGAATGCATGAAAGGAGCTGGAGACTTCACCCTTTGGCCTTATTGAGGTAAGTTCTATTATGTGCCAAGAGGTTTTGAGTAAAAATAAATAAATATTGTTCCTGTGAAAAGAACACTAAATGAGGCTGAGTACACATCATACATTTTTTAAAAAACAACAACAACATTAAATCTCCCCCCAAAAGAAACCTGGGAACTGTAGTTTGCTGTGGGTACTTGAAATTGTAGCTCCTGGATTCTTTTTCTTTCTTTTTTCCCAGAGAAGGGTGTGCTTTAAATGTATAATATGTACATAGCCTCAGTCAAAGGAATGATGAAAATAATAGAACTTACCCTTTTTCAAGCAGAAAACACCTACCAACTGGTGAATGTCTCCAGCGGGAGAGGGGAGGAAGATCGTATCTTGTTTAGTGTAATGTTCCTGCTGATCAGAACCTTAAATCTCTCCTTTTTCTCATTTTACTTAGTTGTACAAATTTGAAACAGAGCTAAGAGCTAGTCAAGTTTGAAGGATCAGCTTTCATTCTGGTGAATAATTGGGATGGTGATTGCTGGCAAATAATTCTTCATATGTGTGTTTTGGGGATTGGGTTGGGGATAGTTTTTTTCAAGGTATTGTGCTTCCTCTCCCCATTGGGGTAATAGTGCCTCTTTGTATTGGATGACGCTTTGGAGAAACGTTTTGCATTGGGTAATAGATAATCAAATAATATAGCTATCAGTGGGTACATCATAATTAGGAAACACTCCTTGATCGCCACTGCCAGGGTGTCTGCAGTGCTCAGTAGGATATAATAGAAATGGGGAACCTTTTTGCAGCCCAAGGACCACATTCCCTTCTGAGAAATCTTCTAGGGTCCATATGCCAGTGGTGGGCAGGGCAACAAATGTAAACTTTACCTTTGTACAGCAGAACATTTTCCTCACATGCTCATACACGCCCCTTCTTTTTCCTCTATCCATACAAGCAAAAGGTGGTCTCAGAAATCAAGGGCATATTCCAGCAAGGCATATTGAGATGCGAAGCAGGGTCACTGAGGGTTGTGAATTAGGGAGATTTCCCTAAGCCAGGTATATTTGGCTCCTGGGCCTAAGGTTCCATATCTTTGGATAGACAGATTTCTGCTGGTACCTTACAGAATGATAGTTCACATCATAGAATGGCTTTTGGTCCCCCACCCCCCTTCCATTTGTCAACAGTCGAAGCCTGAACACCTTTCGGCAGTGTAAAATCTACCTTGAAATAAATCTGAGGGTTGTAGCCAATCCTACTCAGATTAGGTAAATTGAAATTTATGAGCATTGTTAATTTAGGCATGTTCATTTCAGTGGGTCTGCTCTGAGTACAACTTCTTTTGATACAACCTTGGGTTTATAGGGAACCTGTTAGACCCTTGACATAAATTTGCTGCTGCTCACTGCTAAGCAAAGTTTGTGAGACTTGGATAGGAGGGCATCTTTGGTGCATTTATAATAGTGCCTCCCTATTTATGTGTCATGGTAGAGGGTTGTATGGCTGTTAACAGTGGGCAACCACCTCTCCTGTTTCGTATGCTAAGTGCATTTTGTGTTCATTTCCTTCCAGATCAGTCTCAGCGAGGCAGCCTCTTCACCTTCTTCCTGAACAATCCTTTAATGGCATTCCTATTTGTCTCTGGATTATCAAGCATGCGCAAAGGATTGTGGGACAAGTGTCATGATTACCTTCGCAAAATCAACCGGGATATTGCACAATTGCTGACTCATTCCCGTTCCATAGGTATGTACTGTAGGTATGCTTAGACCAAGGGAACCATGCAGCTGAAAATGAACAAAGAGGATGTGTTTGTTATTTTTACTATAAAGGGCCGCATCTGAGGTTGTATCCTCAGATGAGTAGACAGATTGATGTTACTGAGCCTGACTAGCATTAGATGCAACTCAGAGTCTCCTTTCCACTCCAGAAGTTTAAAAAATAACTTTCTGAATTCAGCTTTTCTTTAAGAGCTGCCTTCTTACTTTCTGCAGATCAGGCCTTTCTCCAGTTTTTTGGAGATGAATTCCTTCGCTTACTTCTAACAAGATTCATCTTTTGCTCAGCTACCATGAGGATGCACAAAATTTTCCGGGTATTTATCTATTATTTATTTTATTAAAAAAATCATACTGCTTGAAAATCTCAAAGCAGCATTGAACTCTTCCCTTCTTTTTATCGAAACAGCTCTTTGATAGATGCTGACTGTGGATTGTATCCAACCAAGCTCTACTTTGAGTAGACCCAGTGAAATCAAAGCAGCCGTCAAGTTTTTAGCAACATTAGGCCCAGTCCTGTAGGAATGCTCTCCCTAAGGAGGCTCAGCAGGCACCTTCTATTTTAACCTTTCAAAATTTGCCGTAAACTTTTCTATGCCACCAAGCACAGACAATTAAGAAAACATCTATGATAGTTATGCTGATTATTATATTAAATTTTTACACAGCTTTCTTCATACGTGTGTGTGTGTGTGTGTGTGTGTGTGTGTGTGTGTGTGTTTAAAAAAATAAGGTAAAATTTAAAATCACAGATCATCAGCATAAATATATCTTGTTTGTCCCTCTCTTCCTCCCAAAGGAGCTCAGGGGTAGCAAACAATAAAACAATAAAAATACCTTTAAAACAATTCCAGATACAAACTGGAAAAGAATCTCTACTTAAAAGGCTTCTTGGAAGAAGGAGGTCTTCAGTAGAAGCTGAAAAGAGGACCACTTAGATATTTTTATGAAATTGCAATGATTACTGTACTGGAAAATTGAAATTCTATTTTTTCTCTCCTCCTCTTCCCCACTTCCTATAGCAGGAAACTAGAAATTATCCAGAATCCTACCCCCAGTTGCCAAGGGACGAAACTGTGGAGAATCCACACCTCCAAAAGCATATTTTGGAGTTGGCTTCCATGCTGGATGTTCGAAATGTGTTCCTGGAAACCACGCTTGATGATTATTAAAATGGAAATACACATTCTGGCTTTCTTACTGCAATGGGGTGTTTCCCAGCCACAGATTTTTGAAATGGTGCAGTTTTCTAATGTGAAGATCCACAAAAGGAATTTACTTGATTTTTATTTTTAAACTTAATGATTATTTTTTTAAACAAATGGAATGGCTGTGGGCACGGCTGTTCCATTCTGTATGGGGTCAATTTTATAAACTAATCCCTCCTGCATCTTTTTAAAAAAATTAAAGACTTAAAGGAATCCCTTGGGTTTAAAATTTTGGTTTGTGATGGTTGAAAACCAGCGACACATCATAAATGAGCCTAAGTATTTAGGGGGAAAATGCTATTGGTCACTTTTCGCCCTTGTATGTGGAAATTCTTTATTTTTGTACGATTTTTAAAAATTTGGAAGCAAAAACAAGACACAAACAAACCAAGAAGAAGACCTCTTCTGTCCCCAAAGATTCTGGATTTGAAATGTGAAAAATGGGATCACTCATTGCAAAGCAGCAATAGCAATAATAAAAAGTCTTTCAAAACAAGATATGTATGGCCAACTCAAGAAGGAGCATCACTTTTGAAGGGATCGCAGAAAATGTAGTGTTCCCTACTCCCATAAATCCCCTTATCCAGATGTTAAAGCTATGTTGCATGTTGATTAAGAATGCAGGACTTTTATCCCATCTCAGCCTGTGAAGGAATCACCTCCTGACATAGGAATCACATCAAGAGACTGGCCCCCATCTCTTTATCGGACCACCCTCCGTGCCTCTTGCAGAGCCATGACGATCTTCCTGCCCTGGGAGGAAGGTCAGAACCAGTCAGTTTTTGGGTTCTGAAAGCTCAGAAGGAGACAATCTGCCTTCCTCCGCCACACAATGAAGTATCATTCCTCAGCTTCTGCCCAGAGACTTGTATCTAGGGATGGAAAATGCCAGCCTCTCTCTCTGCACATGAACACATGGCAAGGAACTGCTTCAAACTACCACTGCCACACTTGGACTGTGAATAAACCCTTAACCTGTTTGTGGTGTTCCCCAGATCCAAGAGAGCCACTTTTCTTACCCCCCACTCCTACCCAGTCTTTTGTGATTTGACAACACAAGTTGATGCTGTGTAGTGGGGGAAAGATCACTGCCTTGCCTCTGTGGCTGAGCTGCTCAAAATAAAACCTTGTTTATAGTTGTGGGAAAGGCACGTCCCTCCCCTCACTGCCTGTGTAAAACATGAATCTTCCCTGCCATAGCTGTGTTTAGATGAGAAGGTGTGAGGGAACATACTGACTTTTCATTTCAGCCCTTAAGTATTTATTCTGTCTACAGCAGGTGCAAGGGACTTTTAGCCCACCAGGTGTTGCTGGATACAACTCCCATCAGCCTTGGCAAGCATATGGCCTTTGGCCAAGGATGATGGAAGTTGTAGTCCAGCAGCAATCTAGAGGGCCAATCTACAGGAATCTGAAGGCTGCTGCCAGAGGGCTTTTGCTGGGGTGTCAAGGGGAGGGGAGCAATGCAAGGGAAGCTAAACTGCCTGAAGGCAGCCTATCTGTTTTCAACATATGTTAGGAAGACACTAGTATATAATTATAATTGAATAGGAATGCTGCAGCAGAAGGAAAGGGTTGCTGGGGAAGGGTGCTGCTCTCAAATTGTCCTCAGCACCCAGCTTTTTAAGGCAAGTTGTGGCTCAAGAGGTCTACCCCCACTCCTATACAACCATCTTGGAAAAGACCTCAGCGGGGGTTTTTTGCCCACCAAGGAATATGTTCATCTTTGAGTACAGCAACAGGCTTTGAAAGACTTAGAATGTAAAGAACACATTCCGTTTCATTTGAAAATGGATACGAAATCCTGGCAAAATTACACAGCATAGGTTTGTGTGTTAAGTGTCTTCCAGATGGTCCTGGAAGGGCTGCTGATAAAGACTCCTTTGGTGGTCATCTTTCAAATGGGGGCGTGTTGTGGGGAGTTGTTGGCCAGTACATTCAGGATTAACCCACCAAACACAGTGAGCACACATTTCAGGCTTTATTTTTTTAAGCTTATTGAGCGTTTTCTGTAATTCTGCAGTTGTGGGGTATCTTTGAGATGTCAAATAGGAAAAACAAGAGTTTTGTTGTTGCAGCTTGGGTTTCATGGAGGCCAAGGAGAGAACAATGGAGTAAGTGTTTCTTTTTCATCTTTTTCTTCCTGAATCTGTTTTGTCCGCATAAAATATTGCTTCCTTCGTATCTCTTCCAGCAGGCTGCCATGTACGCCATTGCCCAAAGTATGATGCAATAGCCAACAAGCTGGGCACAACAGCAGAACTGAGATGCATTCCAGACTCTGAGAAGGCAATGCTTGGGAGGTGTAGCGAGAGGTGCCTTAGGTCGGGCAAAAAAAGTGCAATGGGGCATGGGCAAGTAGATACAGAGTTTTTGCAGAGATGTTGTTCTCTTCCCTGCTCCCCAGTGAGCTTGCTTCTAAAATGCCTTCATTTTTGACAGGCAATTGGAAAGAACAGTTTAATTGCCAAGTTGTTTCCATCAAGTTAGGTTTGGTAACTGGCACTGCTGCATTTTTTCCCTGGGGTGCTCCCATTTTCCTGATTTTTTAAAAAGTAAAATAACAACAGTGTAGGTAAAAGGTGTTTGTTTTATGTATTATATGCACAGTCTGCTAGCTTGTGGAGGGTGCTTCTTGTAAATTGTGTGTGTGTGTGTGTGTGTGTGTGTGTGTGTGTGTGTGATAGCTTGAGAACCATGTGAATACAGATTTTTTTTAAAAAAATCTAAGCATAGGTGCTGAGCAGAATTTTTCTATTGCAAGAGAGCATAATTAAGAGTGCCGTTGCTCAAGACGGTGGTTTCATGGGTCCATAATTCAGAAGCATAGTTTCAGCAATGTGAATTTCTTATTGGAGGACTTCACTGTCCAAAAACAGATTAGGGACTTGTGTAGGCCTTAAACTTGGGACAAGTATTTCATCTAATTGTTACTGAACTGTGACCTTGTAATGTTTGCAAACCAAAGGTTTGTGATGATGGACACACACTGACGTCCCTGAAACATTCTGGTGCCAATACGTCTCCCTGTACCGCCGATGTACCTCTGAGTAGTCTTTAAATGGCAAATGGTTCTTAGGGGAAATTTACTAAGAATATGGAACACTTGTGTTCATTTTGGGAGCCAAGGTTTCCATCAAGGAGATTCTTCCTTTTCAAGGTCCAAAGGTTTCTCTGGTCACCTGTGGTGATCATACGTCAGTTTCCACAGTTGGCTCTGACTTACCTTACTCCATGTTGCCTCATTTTAGCTGAAATAGCTTGTGTCCACAAGCTTGGAAACAAGATTTCTGTTTTAGAGTTTGCATTTTGTATTCTGTTCAAGTTTTGCTTTAACTGTAGATTTAGGTTAAAACTGGATCCCAGCCATACATAGTCCAGCATAACAGATATGCAAAGTTCAAATAATTAAAGGACTATATTTTCAAAAGCAAATAAGGACAGATATTACAATTTTGTTTTAAGAATATCCAGTCTACCACATTGATGTAATCTTATCTTGATATTTTCTGCTGCAGCTTCTTTTCTGTAGCAAGCCTGGTGGTTTGCCTGCAAAGATCTGCAGGCTTGATATAGAATCAAACCAAATTAAGAGTTGAGGAAGGTATTTTCTGGCCCTGTTATGTATAGGACAATCAAATGAATAGTGAGGGACACCCTTCACTGTACCAACTACACAAATACAGGATATTCCTATCATTGTGGCCACAAGGATGTGGCAAGGAATGTTTGCTGAAATCGAAAGCAGGCAACCATTCTCCTTTTCCATACCACATATTGCTCAAGGAAATGCTCAAGTGATCATGTGATACTATTTGGGCTGATCTCCACATCAAGCAAAGGGAACAACTCTGCTGGATGAAGACATTATCCATTTTTGAAATTATGCTACTAGCTTTAAATTTAGAAAAATATGATGGAGAGATACTGAAAGACCTTACCAGATGAACTGGTCTTTGTATCCAGATCCCCCCCTTTCATATATTCTACAAAAGTACTACATTCTATTTGAACAGCTTCTTTTTTAAAAACAACAACCAACAACTTAGATTTAAGTGGACAAGTAAGTCTGGCATTGTAGTTTATGTTTCTAGCTGAAATTGGGTAAAGAAAAGTTGGCTTCTCTAATGCCTACATAGGCACAGGTTGTAAACAGGAACATTTTGTCTCAGTTTTGCTTGTACAATCGACTCAGCTTATGTAGAGATTATGTTGCGGGTATAGCACACAAAGCCAAAATCATGTATAGTAAAAACAAACAAAAAAAAACACACACACAACCCATTCCTCCTGTACCTCCAAATGCCATCCCAAGGCCACCTGTACTCTCCCAATGCCTCTGAAAACTCTCCCTGCCCCTCTGACCACTCTCTCAAGGTGAGTGCAATGGCAGGTGGGATTGCCAACATATTTTCCCCCAAACACCTGCCCCCTTTATGATTTATTTTTGGGTTTTTTTGGCCAAGTGCTTAAAACTCTGTGTGCGTAAGTTGTGAGTCAACTGTTTATTATGTTGGTGCAGTCAACTATAAAATCCAGAAAGACAAATTAAGGCAGTGAAAATGCTTTGTCAGAGATGGGGAAGGTGTGGGAATCCAGTTGTTGTTGTTGGGCTCCAACTTCCATCAGCCCCAGCCAACCTGGCCAGTGATCATCTGAAGGGCCAAATGATCACAGTCAATAGTTTCAAGGATTTAAAAGACTCTGGAGACTATCTGCTGATTTTCAATATGGGCCAATGCACTAGCTGTTTTTGAGCCAGCATTGTTGGGTTGAAGTTTCCAGCAACACCTTGTCTAGGAGGAGTATGTTCTCAGTACATGGCACAGCTCTTTATGAATATGAAGTATAGAATCAGTATTACATAAACCACCAATATCCCCCCCCCCGGTGGTGTGTTTGTAGATACACAGAAATACACCACAGAGCAAAAAATATAGGTAGTTCATGTAATACTAAACAAGTCCTGATACTGGAGAGGCGAAACAGTACTGTTGGCCAAAGCAGAGATGTAAGAATGAAGAGTCTAGTAATAAGTCTTCCTTATCCTGCAGCCTAAGTCTTGGCACTTCTTGATATCTCTCTGCCTCTCCTTGATGACATTGCTCTGCATGTGCAGAGCCCACCCTGCATAGGCGTAGCTAAGGGGGGCAGTGAGGGGCAGCTGCCCCCCAATCACTAACAAGAAAAATACATATCTGCCCCCCAAAGAAGGTCTGCCCCCCCCAAAAAAAATCCTGTTACGCCCATGCAACCCTACTTTCAAATATGCAAACCTGACTAGCACCTGTTACATAGATTTTTGCCTCCAGTGCGGTAGAAGCCTTTGGTCAAGTGAGCTTTTCCTTCAACATAGATTGATATTGTTGTAATACTTCACAGATTTGAACCCAGGAAAAAGGGAAGCTCTCTCACCTTCTTCCTTTAGCGGTTCTGATGGAAAGTGAGCAGTAGGTTTTAGAGTTTGTTGGGGCTTCAAGCACTTAACTGTATTGTTCTGAATATATTACAGCACTGCTATATGCTGGCATGGCAATAATAAATTAGCTCTGGTTGAGACCCTTAAAGCCATAACTTGCTTTTTGCAGTGTATTTTAGTAATGGTTTCCAAATAGAAAAACTGCTCTTTTGTGAGTGTGGAGAGAAATGATATTTTGATCTGAAATGGCTGCTTGGACACGTCTTGGAGACTAGAAAGGCAAAAGGAAAAGCTGAGAGTAGTCTTGAATTTAGGTGGATCTCCAAAAATAGAAATTGATGTTCATGTCCCCCTGTGAACTTGCTTTGAATCCAGGTTGTTGTCTTATGCTTAGTGGAAGGGGGGGAAATTAGGGATTGGACAAGACTTCCTGCTGTGTTAGGGTTTGATTCCCTTTTTCATTTAATGAGCTTCACATTTTTTAAAAAAAAATGTAGGCACTTCCAAAGCATACTCTCTTGTGCATACTGTTTCAAAGTCTGCTTTTTCCTCTTAGGTCTTTTCATCATATAATACTCAGTGGTCTTGCCACATAAATTTCTGCAGCTGGGTGAACCCTTGTATTGTAATTCAATCACCAGACATAGGCAGCCTTTCTGTGTTGCATCTCCTGCAGTGCCATCGTCCAGAGAGGAGTGGAGGGCATTCAGTTAATAGGATGGCTCCAAGGCATTTCAAGTCTTTTGCCTCCTCTTCCAGAGTGAAGGACCATCTCACACTCCATTCCTGCCCTGTCAGGTTCCTTTTCTTTTGGAGGAATTTATTGGGACTGGTAAAAGAGTTACTGTCTCTTTAAGAACTCAGTTGCAGAGGGAATTCTAGGAAATGGGGGAGGGTTGGACTACAACGGGGACCCACCATTTTTATTTGTTTTGTTGCTTCTGCCAATTGTGACAGAAATGAAATCCCTTAAAGGGCCCCTAAAGAGGGTGGCGCTGTGGTCTAAACCACAGAGCCTAGGACTTGCCGATCAGAAGGTCGGCAGCTCAAATCCTCATGACGGGGTGAGCTCCTGTTGCTCGGTCCCTGCTCCTGCCAACCTAGCAGTTCGAAAGCGCGTCAAAGTGCAAGTAGATAAATAGGTACCGCTCCGGCGGGAAGGTAAACGGCGTTTCTGTGCACTGCTCTGGTTCGCTAGAAGCAGCTTAGTCATGCTGGCCACGTGACCCAGAAGCTGTACGCCGGCTTCCTCTTCCAATAAAGCGAGATGAGGGCCTCAACCCCAGAGTCGTCCGCAACTCGAGCTAACAGTCAGGGGTCCCTTTACCTTTTAATGAGCTGCCCAAACCATCTCTTTATGGTGTTATACAGTGGTACCTCAGGTTAAGAACTTAATTCGTTCCGGAGGTCTGTTCTTAACCTAAAGCACCACTTTAGCTAATGGGGCCTCCTACTGCCGCCACGCCGCCGCGCAATTCTGTTCTCATCCTGAAGCAAAGTTCTTAACCCGAGGTACTGTTTCTGGGTTAGCAGAGTCTGTAACCTGAAGCGTCTGTAACCCGAGGTACCACTGTATAAGTCGTTTTGGTCTGGAGAAAAACTTCTGCAGGGCCTGTTGGGCTCCTCACACAGTAACAGAGGGGGAAAATCAGGCAAGTAAATGCTGGATATGCAGGCCCAGTACTTGCCAGTACATCCCCACTCCTCAGGACTTATGGCAAAGTGGCCCTTTCTCTCCACAGACTTCCTGGCTAGTCCAAAATACACACTCTCCCCTCCCCCACTTCCTACATGTCTTCCCAGAAATGGCTGCCTTCATGGTTGAATCTCTCTGGATTTTGGGCAGGGCTTGAGGTTTGTCTCCTCACACTTTTCTCGGACAGAAGGAGCCTGGGATGGGCTGTGTCTGGATCCACAGTGACATTTGCTGTCTGAAGATTTCTGAATTAACATATCTTCCTGAAGCACTTCCTGCTTTAGCATCTTCTCTCTCTCCCCTTTCCTCTCTAATCCCAGCTTATTACATTTGTATTAATAAAAGTATTGTTACTTTATTATTATTGCCAGTGTCCATCTAGCCCAAAGGCTACTGCAGCAAAATCTCTACAATGAAGGATGAGGCTAAGTGCTCTGGACACCAAACTGGACCGACTTGTGACCACAGCATGCAATCAACTTAAGTGGTTATTGCTGTTGGTGTTGCTGAATATGCTAGTGGTTCAGGAAACTTCAAGGTACAGATCATTTAACTCTAATCAGTTTTAAATCTTCCACTTGCTGATTGTCTTATCTATCAGACAAAGTTAATTTTCAGCCTTGGCTTGTGATCCTCTGGAATACAAATCTCTACACTTCCTATGTTAAAGAGAATCCTGAACAAATGCTTTGAGAATAAGGCTGACTTTCATTCACTCTTTCTGCTCTGCTGTGCTAGCACCCAATGATATGTAAATGTAATGCACTAAGGTACCCATTTAATCTTATTTGTTAGAATAGTTCTCGCATCTAAAGTGGGTCTTCTTCGTTTTCTTCCAAGGGTAACCTAGCCAGCACTTCACTCTGAAGTTTCAGAAACAAAGTTTGTCCTGGAATCTGTGTGGTTTCTCATTTAGAATCTATTTTGTATTTAGCCATGTCTAAAGTTTCAGTCTATGCTTCCTTGGAAGCAAATTCCAATGAAACAGTAGAGCATATGCAAGAAGTAAATGTGAGATATACACTAAGTAGAAAATATGCATCTGCTGCCAAGTGAGAAGCTCCCAGCATTCAGTGTGCAGGCTTCTTTAGCCCTTTTATCATTGTTGTTAAGCCATGCTTAAGCTGGGCAGCAGAAGCAGAACATGGACTAACCTTCTGTTGCTTCCTTAGAATTGCTCATATCTAGGCCAGGATCAGCTAAGCTGTGATCCTTCACACATTGCTGGACTCCCGTCTTCCATCACTCCTGACCATTGGCTATGCTGCCTGTGGCTGATGGGAGTTTGAGTCCAACAAGATCTGGAGGGCCAGAAGAAGTTAGCGCCCCCCCCCCCCACTATGCCGTAGCCTAAAGCACAACAACCAACTCTCCTTCCTCCACCTTCTTGTCCTGTTGGGCTACCAAATGAGGATGAGTAAAGGGATAAGGAGATAATTAAAAACAATAAACATTCTACTGCTTCCTCTAAGAATAGAGCACATTTTTGCATTTCTCTGGAAAAACTGAAAATTACTTAGGAGGAAGTGTGCCTTTTAGGTAAATGCATCTGTAATCAGCAGGCTGGTTTTAAGCTAGGAACTGCTTACTATTTCAGTTTTTTCTGGCTGAGCTGACAGTGATGAACAAGCAACAGTTGGACATCTTGTAATGATGCTACAAGCAACGATTCCTTGAACAATGCATTGAAATTAGATGTCAGATTCTATCTTTATTTTTTTTAACTGGTGGCTTTTGAATTTTAAATACCACTAAGGCCTGATTACTGATTCTATTGTGGATCTTTAAGCCTCCGATTTCTGTGTCATTTTTGCATGTTGATGCATCTTTTGTTTGCTTATGTGTGCCTTGTAAGCTTCTAGATCTGCAGATGCTCGGTTTGACTATAGAAAAATGGTAGTATGTTCTCTGCTATGGTGATTCTGCTCATCTTTTGCTCATGCAGGCATGTTTTGGATAATGCAGCAGGAAGCCTACGTACAATAGATTAAGAATAGCACTGAACCCTGCCGCACAATTGAAGGAAAGGATTAAACTAATATGCATCAGCAAGCTTTTTTAAAAATAAAATAAAATATTGGACAACACCAACAGCTTTTAAATTGGGAAGGGCTATGAATACACAGAAATCAAGTTTCAGACTCCAGTGCTAGTCTTAGTGAGATTGGATCCCTGCTGAAATTCTAGCAAACATTAAATTGAAGTCAAGCGATGTGGTGTAACATTTTACCTAGAATGGCACATTCCCCACATTGCTAACAAACTTGCAATTAAAAAACACACCAAATAAATAAGCTTGTATTAGAAAATAACATGCCTACTTTTTTCTTTTTTAAAAACAACAACACTTCATTTGGGAACTAATAACATGACTTCTTAGTGGTAAAAACAAGATAAATTTTTAATCTGTGGCAAATGCTTGTCTGTGGTTGAAATGTTTATTGAACTGTGATGCCAGTTGTAGGGAATATACAGCTGTATCTCTTAGAATCCCTTTCTCAAAGGGATTGAAGCACAAGCGTTTTACATGTACCTAACCTGTTCTCAGTGCTGCTAGTTCATAGTGCATGTGATGATGCTGTAGGGGAACCCCTGTAACGGTTCACAAAGCCACTGTTACATTTATTACATAACCACGTCTTTGGTGCCAGTTTATCTATGTTATGACTTGAGATTTTTACAACATTCCTGATCTGACCAGTGTGATGTGATGCTTTTGTTTTCTGATGCTGAGAAGATCAGGGGTCATTCTTGTTTACAAGGTTCTAAATGGCTCCCCTCCCCCTTTGCCAAGAGTTAACACACCATTGCACACACCCCATCAGTGTGGAAACCCAATCTTTTTCTTTCTCTTTCCTTTCTCTCTCTCTCCCTTTTCTCGTACAAAGCTTGTGTGTCTAATGCATCTGAATTACCAAGCCATACGCCCAACCATGGATGTTTTCCTTTCTTGTCCCATCTGACATTTCTCTGTTGCCTGATATTTATAATCCGCGCTGTGGTTTGTACAGATGTGTTTTCCCAAGGGTTCAATGAAAGCTATCTCCGCAAGATAGTAACAGCTGGGGATGTGGCAACCTTTTGTAAATTTGGCGTGTCTGCCACTCCCTTCTGTTTACTGCTTTTGGGAAGACAATTCCACTAAATAAAATTTGCAATCTAACACTGTGACTCTCTACAGACCTAACATAGCATCAAGGGAACAAAATACTGTAAAAAAATGCTTTTTATGTTGTGTTTAAGTAACAAGGATATGACATTTCTGGGGTTTTGCTGTCAGTGTATTTAAGGCTTTCACGTTGGTTAATGTTTGCTTGAAATGTGAGTACACTCATCGGTTGTGAATTATTGTACATGAATTTTGTATCTGAGACCCACTCAAATTATATGTACTACCAATATACAATAAACATATTTGCTTAAAAGTGTGCATTTCAGCCTTCAGGAATAGGTGGGCTACACATTTAAATGAATGAAACTCAAACATTACTGTTTATTATTATAATTCTCAACCACATTGATGAATAATAATGTTATTTTCAGTCATCTTTAAGAGCAGGAAGGCCCTCTTACACAGCCACTCTTCCAGGTTTCATGAAAATCTCATTACATTCTGACTTTAAAGAAAGAAAATATAAGAGCCCTGCTGGATCAAACTCAAAGCCTACATATAGTCTAGCATGCTGTTCTCACAGTGGCTAACAAGATGCCTATGGAACATCCAAAGCAGGACATATGAACTAAAACTCTCTCTTCCTGTTCCCCAGAAACTGCTTTTGGGGGGCATACTACCAATATATAGTAATTACGGCTATTTAAAATCAAGGCAGTTAATTCTTGTGAAAAATAGTTAGGAAATGCCAGGCTTGGTGGGTTTTTTTAAAGCCTTGGATTAGAGACCGAAGAACCCACCTGCATTAGCAGTACATTGTGCTATTTTTTCTTCCTGTGATGTCACACACCGGTTAATGCCAGCAGATATCTTAAATTTGGTTCTAGAAATGAAAATAGCCTGGAAATTTCTACCGAGAAGTAGGCTAAACATGAAACTATATGAGGGAAGCAATCCAAAAGGCTTTGGGGGGGGGGTGGTCAACACCTCCCCACCCTCTACCAGCAGAAATGCATTTTCTTCTTGCTTGGCCATCTTGGGACCAGAGTTACATTTCATTCCCGGCCCTGCCGGCTGCGGCTGATGGGCTTTGGAGTTGAGCAACACTTGGAGAGCCCAATGTTCCTGCCACCCAGGGGTAGACAACAGCTGACCCCCTCAAATGCCCCAATGTCCCGCGAATTAACAGATCCGGGAATGTCCCGCTTTCACTTAGCCGGCAAGGAAACGGGAGAGCTGCCGCCGCTTTCCAAAGTGCGCGGGCAAATGCCGCTGCCCTGCCCTTGCCTAGCGCGGCTGAAGAGCTTCAATGCTGCAGCTTCCTCGGGGGAGGGGGGCGGACCTTTCAACAAGGGGCCGGGCTCGAAGCTGCGCTCTTGGCAGGCAATGAGCAGCGCTCCGTTGCGGGCGGAGTCCGGCGCGCTCAGCTCCATGCCGTTCGTGTGTACCATTCTTCTGTTGGGAGGCAGGGGGCGGTGGGGTCTTGGAGGGACTGCCTTGGCTGGGGGCCGGGCGACGAGGAAGGAGGGCGGCCGAGGCAGAGACTGCTGCACTAGAGCAGAGGAGGGAGATGATGGTGGGGGGAGCGCGGGGGGGGGGAGCAGCGGGGCAGAAGTGCCATTGCAATCCGGCGGGGCGCCCTTGCCCGGCAGCAGGAGTGGAGGAAGGAGCTGAGCGGTGGGGGGCAGCTGCGTCCACGCCCCCTTCTTCACCTGCTGCTTCCCGGCGGCCGGATCTAGCCGTGGGATCCAGCCGAGGGTGGCAAGCGGCTTTGCGGGGAAGCGATGATCTGCAGGGGTGTCTCCTGCTCCCGGGTTGCGCGCGAGCTTTCTCTGCGGGCTTCAGCCTTGTGCTCGGCTTGCCTGCCCGCCTGCCTGCTTGGAAGTGAGCGCCTTTCAGCCTGGGGCAAATCGACATCAAGGCTGCATCTCCCACTTACTTAGGCGGGGTGGGGGAATAATAAAGGAGGGGCCTATTGTGACATAAGGCACCGTAATGATGCTACAGGGGACGTTTTTCCCCTACACGTGGAGACAGGCTCCCAGCACAATGGCAGCGCTGCCTAGCGGGGCTTTGAAGTGACAGTAAAACATCAAGATTCAATATTGTCTCCCGAAGCAGACGGATTCCAACACCAACTTTTGGAAGAATATTTAGCAGCTTTGCAGAGAGACTGGGTCTAAAAAGGTTAAGTATGGATTGGACCCTGGCAGGGGCCTTTAACCTGTGTAACTGCCCCTCAGCCCTTCGTTGGCGGGACCTCTGTCCCAGCCCTTCTTGACAGGCGGAAGAGCTTGAAACTTGGGGAATGATTTGGAAGGGATGCTAACTCATGAGAGAAAGAGGTAGTTACCCCTGTTACATCATATGTTAGACTTGGGTGGGGAGGGAGGTGGTTTTCTTTCTTTGTATAGATCAGCACTTTTTTAAAGTATTAACTGTGGATTACAAATTTTAAAAAAGCTAATGAGTTTGGCAAACTGTAATACTGTTTACGTTTCTCTTTTATTTAGTTAGTTGTACTGTAATTATATAGTAAATAGACATAAAATAATCAAAACATTAATAAAATCAGCAGTTAAAATATACATATTTAAGAAACATATACAGTATTGAATACATTGAGGCTTGCATTGCAGGGGGTTGGATTAGATGACACTCTGGGTCGCTTCCAACCAAAATGCAAAACTCCGTGTATCTGAAGAAAGAGCAAAGTGTGATGGCAGAACACCTGCTTTGCATGCAGAAAGTCCCACGTTTGATCCATGGCACCGTATTGGTCTCCTTTTTGTGCTGCTTTCATGTTTGCCGCAAACACTGCAGAACACTGCAACTTCCTATGCTCCTCCTTGAACTGCAAGGAACTCAGGGGGCCATCTATAGCTTCCTCCTGCCCCGAGCGGGAAATTGAGCCCTGCTCTCCCAGGTCCAAGCCCAGCACTCTAACCAGTTGGCCACATGGACTCTCCTGGAATCTTGGCATGCTGGCCGTGCGTTCCATGTCACCAAGTAACGGAGGCAGTGACTGTTTGAACTGAGGTTCTGGCATCCCCAGCGTGGAGAGGGTGGCAGAGGTTTGCTGTAGTGACCCTTGCTTATTTGGATTAGAATATGGCATCTCAGAGACTCCTGGAGGTAAGTGAAAGTTGGCATTTCCAGGGGACTTAGCTTTAGGACGTAGAATAATGGTATCATCAAGTTTGGCAAAGAGCTATCAATGGTCAAAAGAAGCTTCTGTTTGTGTTTGTTGGTTTGTTTATTTGAATGTAAGCCTGTGACTAGGGAGTGTCTTGTTTTTGATTTTGTATAAGCCTCTCTGGGAGCCTTTTTGGCTGAGAAGAGGAGTACAAATGCTCTGAATGAATGAGTACTTTCTCCCCGTGGCCATCTCTGACCTTCATCTCTTGTTTCAGGTCACCTTCCTTCCTGCGGAGCAGCTCTTGGAGGCCAAGTGCTTCCTGGCCAGTGACCTTGCTGTAGAGAGCATCTTCGAGCCTTGGACATCTCCTACTTGCTGCAAAGAGTTTAGCGGCAAAGCAGTGGAGGTAGGATGCTGCCAGGGTAGGAGAGAAGAATCTCCACCTTGAAGTAGGGGAGTCCACCCCATGCCATTGGGTGGCCATGACACATGTTTGTTGGGAGGGGCCTCACAATGTCAGAACAAGAACCTCAGCCCAAAGGTCCTGAGACAGCCCCACTTCCTGGTACTATATGAGTGACCCTCTCCTTCATGTCTGACAGGTGGAGGTGCTGCTGGAGGCCTTCCATAAGATCACTCCAAGGTCTACAATGGAGAGCAGAGAAGTGGCCATCTTACCTTAACATCACCTGGATAAAGTGGTTGAATACCGCCTCCAATTTTCTTTCATGTATGAGGCACTCAGGCTTCTACTGGCCTAAGAGAGATGTTGGGAATTTGCAGGGCTTGCTCAGAAAGTAACTCTCTCCCTGAGGGGGGAGGCCAGGCAGCTGGAGAACCCGCTCCCCACAGTGTCAGCAGCCAGTCTCCAAATCTCTTCCTCCCTCTGGATTCCCAGCTGATTTGGTGCCTCATGGCAAGAGACAGAGGATTTGGAGGGCTCCCGCTGTGGTACCATAGCCAGGATTAGGTCCTTTAACAGGAAGAGCAACAGAGCAGAAGCCGAGAAGGCAGGGACAGGTCTCTGTCCTCTAGGCGAGGCAGCAAGGGGTGAGATTGGTGCAGGTTCCCCCTCTCTTTTTGCCATCTGCAGAGATGCAGCAGCACAGAGGGGCTGATCCAGATCACTGAGGGATCCTTCTGGAGTGCAGGAGACCAGGGAAGACCAAGCCATTTCCTCTCTGTGACATGGCAGCAAGCAGTAGAGTTCCTGATGGAGCCGGACCACCTGTGGAGGGGTCAGGTTTAGAGGCAAAGCGTCTTTCTGGCCCCCGCACCACTGCCCAGAGAACCAAATGGTCCCCTCCGTGCAATAATGTGCCATCCCTGAGCCAAGAGATCTGACTGTTGCTGTGCCTGCAAGAGAATATGGCAGGAGGTTTTGGCTGACCAACAACAACTACTCCATCTGAAGGCTGAGCAGCTGCATCAGAGCCCCTTGGCAGAGTCTGCCACCGCTGTGGTAAGGACAAATCCCCTGCTTTCTGGCTTCTTCTCCCCAGAGTAATATCAAGGGGTTTCTGTATTCTGCAGAAAAGCAGGGAAAGTGACTTGCACCTCTCTCTCTTCCAGCAGCACCTGACCAGCCTGATGCACACCATCCGCAGGATGGATGAATACAAGGTACCTATGCGCCATCACTTTCCACAGCTGCTGATAGGTGCCTAGTTCCTGCCTGCCCAGGAATTCCTCAGCTCAGTAGCACATCACAAAGGGACAAATGGAGTCCCTTTTCCTTCAGCTTCTGGGGTTTTCTGGTCCAGCTTGATTTTCCAAGGGAGACTATCTTTCAGGTGGCTACTAGGGAGCAAGGATGCGGAAGGAATTTGATTCTGTTTGCATGTCAAGGCAGATCTGCATAATTCATAATTTCTGGAAATATCAACTTCTGGGGGAGCCTTGTAAATGTGGTTTTCCAGTTTGGTTCTTGGTGTTTTGGCCATTGTCAGACACGATAGTGTCTGGCAGGTCGTGTGTGGTGAACACCCACCACAGGGCCCGGATGACGACCCTGGAGGTCATTGTTGAGACTGGCATCACCTCGAGCCGCTTTGCGAAAGAGTCCACAATGATCAGGAACGTCTGACCTTGGAATGGGCCAGTGAAATCAATGTGGAGTCTTGACCACAGTGTGCGTGTCATCTCCCACTGTTGAATCGGGGCCTTGGGCATGGCCGGTTGGGACTCTGGCAGGTCTGGCAGTTCTGGACCCACTCTTCTACTGCTGCATCAATGCCTGGCCACCAGACGTGGCTCCTGGCCAAAGCTTTCATGCAGACAGTGCCTGGATGACTCACATGGAAAGCCTCCAGCACTCTGGTCCGCAGCTTAGCAGGGATCATGACCCAGTTTCCCCATAGCAGGCATCCATTGTAGACTGACAGTTCATGTTGCTGGGGATGAATGGGGAGAACTCTGCATCAAGGCAACTCGCTGGCCACCCCCTCCACACCCAGTTGAAGATGCGGGAGATGGTGCAATCCTTTGCCAAGTGCGTGGCGACATCTGTGGCATGGAGCGGTGGCTGGGGCAGAGCCTCCAGTAGCATCACACCATAGTTTGGGGATGGGTTGGTGTCAATGTCTGCCAATGACAGGTGGCTTAGGGCACCTGTGTGGCCCAGTTTCCTACCAGGATGGTGGTAAAGCACGTAGTCATATGTATTGAGAAAGATGGACCACCTTAGCATCCTCAGAGACTGGATCTGGGGCGTCTGCTGATCAGGAGCGAAAAGGCCCAGCAGAGGTGTGTAGTCAGTCACAATCGTGAAGTGGCGGCCGTAGATGTAGTCATGGAACCTCTTCACTCCTGCCACAATAGCCAGGGCCTCCTTGTCAAACTGGGCATGATTGCATTCCATAGATGACAAGGTCCTGGAGTAGAATGCAATGGGGGCCTCCCGCCCATCCAGCAACTGGTGGCTGAGGACCATGCCGATTCCATACGGGGAAGCATCACAGGCAAGCACAACGGGCTTGGTCTCATCAAAATGGGTAAGGATGCTGTCAGAGGAGAGCAGGTGTTTGACAGCATTGAAAGCAGAATCCTGAGCATGGTCCCAGTTCCAAGGGGCTTTCTTGTCCAATAGCCGGTGCAGGGGCTCCGCTATTGCTGCCTTATGGGGAAGAAAGGAGTGGTAGTAGTTCAGCAAACCCAGGAAGGACTGCAGCTCTTGTTTCAAGCATGGTGGTGCAGCACTTTGGATGGCTTGACCTTTGCCAGTGTGGGGTAGCTGCCGTCAGCATCAATCAGGAACCCAAGGAACACAACCTTGGGCACCCCTGGCATTTTTCTTTCATCACCTTAAGGCTGGCGTCTTGGAAACGGTGCAGGGCTTCTCAAAGACGGGCTGCAAGTTCTGCCTCGGACTCTGCTGTGATGAGGACGGCATCAAAATAAGGAATGACACCCAGGAGGTCTTTCAGGACTCTTCCATGAGGTTTTGGAAGAGGTCTGGGGCCACACTGACACCAAACTGTAGTCTCTTGATGTGGAAAGCCCCGCGGTGGGTCACGATTGTCTGTGCCTCAGAGGTAGCCTCAACGACCAGAAGTTGTTGGTATGCCTGGGCCAAGTCGAGCTTTGCAAAGACTTTTCCACTGGCCAGCGATGCAAGGAGATGACTCACAACTGGAACAGGATACACATGCTGCTGCAGGGCCTTGATGAGGATGCACTTGTAGTCAGTGCAGATTCTCACATCCCCATTTGCCTTAAGGGGAGTGACAATTGGGGTCTCCTATTGAACATGCAGGACTGGGTCAAGAGGTGATCTAGCTCTGCATCAAACTTGGGTTTCAGGGCGAATGGCAGTTGCTGAAGTTGCAGTGGCAGGTAGTCTGCCACAAAGCCATAACAAAGGCAGCAATGGATTCACCTGGTCTTATTTGTACAAGGCATGCTGGCAGGCAATCTCTGTTGCCTGGGGAGCGAAGAGGGTCCTTAGCTTCAGCATTATTGCATCGAACGTTGTATCACTCAATTTGGCTGGGGCCACTGGAGCCTAGGCAATCTCAAACGTAGCAGGCCCCCCCCCCCCCCACTGAACAGCGTAGACCACTTCAGTTTGGAGTCGGTCATGTTATTGGTTGCGAGGAAGAACTCAAGCCGGGTGGCATAGGAGTCTCATTTTCCTGGAACTGTGGTGTCAAATTCCTTGATGTGGCCCTGGGTGGCCATGACATCCGCTCTGTGTGATGTGCCTTGTGGCTGCAGTCAGTGATTTCAGCTCAGCTGAGGCGACAGTTTTCCAGCAGTGCTTTCAGCTTGTGGGAGCTAGCCAAGGCTGCATACCTAGCCTTACATCCCACCTTCGTCACCAGTGAAGTGCAGGTGAGTTCCCATGAGGCAAGACACAGTGATAACAGCAAGAACCTTTATTGAACTACATAACAGTGAAACAGGGGCAAAGCAACTGCTTATATACATTTCTGAAAGCGTGGGCCATTCCCACTCCCAACATGATTGGCTGTTTAAACTTCCAAACTATGTTCCTTCTCTATCATCCCATTTTCCTTTTCCATCTTGCAGGCAAACCATTTTGGATTGTTGGTCTAGCTCTGGCTCTCAGGCATGGCTCACTGAGCTTCTCGCAAGCATTTGCAATCCAAATTAATGGCTTAGTGGCTGTCAAACAGAGGTGAAACCAAAGAAAAAAGGAACAGGAGAAGAGGATAACGAGCAAACTCAGAGAGTTGCAGAAACAGGAAGGGGCTGATCACTTTCACCCTAGGGCTGCCACTGGAAGGTGAAATCTGTTGAAGAGCTCATTTCTGAGTTCTCCTTGACTTCTAACCCTCTTCTCTTCTCGAGGCCACAATGAGGGCTCTTTGCCATCTAGCCCCACAAGTCAAGTGGTGGGTACATCCCAAAAGCTTTGGCCTCCACTTTGTACTCCGCCCGGCAGCTAAGCATCTGGTAGGTCACTTTGCTTTCTTTGCAGCTTTGCACAGGGTTATCCCATTTCATCTTCCCACCAATCCAGTAGAGGTTAGTTATGTATGCCTAGCTGGGGCAGCAGGTGTCGCCAATGCTGCCTGCCTGCCCAGGGTCCTGGTCCTTGCAGGACTCTCTGCAATCTTCTTGAGTGGGGGGAGCAGGCAACCCCCCAGCAGCAGTTTGGTTCCATTTCTCTGTTATAAAAAGCCTCCTTCTTTTTTATAATTTATTCACCAACAGCGGTGATAATTTCTGGGGCAACAAGAGGGTCTAACATTACTGATACTCAGTACCCTTCTAACAAAACCTCCTTTCTGTCTTTCCTGCATGAAATGATGAATACACACTGGAAAATGGCGGTCTATCGACTGGAGCCTGGGAGGAGGCCTCTGGAAACAAGAAGACCCACACAAGAATGTCATCTGCCGGGAAGGAGGCTCAGCAAAGATGCTGTCTGCAACCTCGATCCATACCCTTATGGTGTCTTTGGGGATTAGAGACTTTTTGCTGAGTATTTAAAGAGTTACTACAGCAAAGTGAAAACGCAAGCAGGACTTGAAGTATGAGCAACAGCTTCCTCAACTGTGTTCTACAGAAGAACTTATATAGTTTAGGGAAGTTTTTAATGTCTGACATTTTAATGTATTTTTAATCTTTTGTTGGAAGCCGCCCAACAAAATTATTTTGGTGGGGTACAAATAATTTGCTGCTGCTGTTGATGTTGTTTGGGCAAGACTGAAAAATGTCCTAGAAAGAAAGTCCTCATGATCCCCCATTGAAGCAGGGCCAGTCAAGAAATTAAATGTGAACAAGAACTGGGGAACATACAAGGAACTCCTTGATCTTAGAGAGGGTACTATCAGGCTTTAAAAAGAGAGAAGGTTAAAATGGATATATTGAATAGTATGGGTGAAATACGCTGCATTCAAGGGTAAATAACACTTTATCAATTTATGTAAGAATGTATGAGAGTATATTATATTGCATTTTAAAATATCGTTTTCTTTCTTTTTTATACGAATCATTGTTCTTTCCCCCTCACTCCCACCTTTTTTTCTTGGTATCACTTTATTTCTTTATAATTGGAATTCTTTCATCAATTTTTATTATTATTATTGAAAAAGGGTAAATATGGAAACCATGGAAAAGGAGGATGGGAAGAAAATGCATAAAGTAATTTGAAGTTTATGTTAACATTTGTTAAGTTTTTTTGTAAAAAAATAAATAATATTTTTTTAAAAAAAGAAAAGAAAAAGAGTTGCTTGGTTGAGAACTCTTCCTTGAGACTCCTCCCCAGCACATTGTGTCTGACCTAGTCCTGGGGTCCCCACCTTCTTTTTCTTCTTTGGCGATCACTCATAGCCAGGTAAGATTCTTCCATGAATACGGTCTTAACAGTGAGTCTGTAAGTGACTATGGAGGTCAATTCTGGATTCACATGTCCTTCCACAGATGTTTCTCCCTTTCGTCCTGAGTTTGAGCATCTTCAAAGTCTATGACACCTTTGGTAAAGGCTGTTCCACAATTGGAGCACTGGCAGGCCAGTGTTTCCCAGTTGTTGGTGTTTATATGACTTTCTTTAGATTTGCCTTGAGAGAGTCTTTAAACCTCTTTTGTTGAGCACCAGTATAACGCTTTCTATTTTTAAATTTGGAATAGAGTAGTTGCTTTGGAAGACAATAATCAGGCATCCACACAACATGACCATTCCAACGAAATTGATGTTGAAGAATCATTGCTTCGGCACTGGTGATCTTTGCTTCTTCCAGTACATTGGCATTAATTCGCCTGTCTTCCCAAGTGAGATGTACATTTTTTCAGAGACTCCATTGATAGAATCTTTCAAGGAGTTGGAGATGGCATTTATAAGTGGTCCATGTTTCACAAGCATACAGTAGGGTTGGTAGTACAACAGCTTTATAAACAAGCATTTTTGTTTCCCTGCAAATGTCCCGGTCCTCAAACTCTCTGCACTTCAATCAGGAGAAGTTGGAAGCTTTCCAAGTTGGTTGCCATCACTGCCTTCTGTGGTAGTGAGTTCCGCAGTTTTAACTATGTGCTGCATGAATAAGGGTTCTGGTGTTATGAGAGAAATGTTTTGTTATTTGTTTGTTTATTTATTTATTTATTTTATTTATATTCCACCCTATCCCCAGATGTTTCAGGGCAGCTCACAGAACAAAACTAGAACACAAAATCGCAAAATATATAATTATCCATCTGCAAGGATCTTATGATGAGCAATTGTAACAAGTATGGCTATGGATCTTTGCCAAGGGTTTCATAAGAAACACCCTTTCTTTTTTTTTAAAGCAGGCAAATTGACCCTGCCACTGAATAGAAGATTAATATGTAAGGCAAAACATCCCATGAACCAGCACAAAAGAGGCAGTTTTATTGATTTTAGAAAGATTGGAGGTGGTGGTGGGAGAGGGGAGGGAGACATGAGACTTTTGCAACTGCTGAGCTATAAAAAGCAGCTCAGCCAGCAAAAGGAGCCGGAAATCATGTTGATGAGTGCCTGAGATCCTGATGAGGTTGCTAAAACCCAGCTCTGGAGCTTGCATTTCTGCAGCTGAGCAGCTGAAAGCAGATGCATAAAGCATCAGTTTATAAAACACACCCTGTTCATCTGAAATGTGGACATTGAAAGAGCACCTTTGACTGAAGAAAATATCCTTTATAAAAATTTATCTCTTTAGTCTCACTGAAGAGGATGTCCCTATTTTCACTGGAGAAATGTTGGAGGGCATGCAATAAATTAGATGGGCCGCGGCATCTGACTTGGTATAAGGCAGCCTCCTAGGGGACCCAGGTGGTGCTTGGTCTAAACCACTGAGCCTCTTGGGCTTGCTGATCGGAAGGTCGGCTGTTCGAATCCCCACAATGGGGGTGAGCTCCCATTGCTCTGTCCTAGCTCCTGCCAACCTAGCAGTTTGAAAGCACGCCAGTGCAAGTAAATAAATAGGTACCACTCTGGTGGGAAGGTAAACTGTGTTTCCGTGCACTCTGGCACTCGTAACGGTCCTCCGTGCGCCAGTAGCGGTTTAAACCTGCTGGCCACATGACCCGGAAAGCTGTCTGTGGACAAACGCTGGCTCCTTTGGCCTGAAAGCGAGATGAGCACCACAACCCCATAGCTGCCTTTGATTGGACTTAGCCATCCAGGGGTCTTTTACCTTTTACCTTAAGGCAGCCTCCTGTGTTACTATGTAATGTACATTTAAAGCATATGGATTCTCTTAAAGAACTTGTTTGTTAGGGGTGCTGGGAATGGTAGCTCTGTGATGGGTAAACCAGTTTAAAGGATTATTGGGTTGGGGGGAGCTATGTGATTTAAATCTATGGTGTAATGCCCTCAGCAGTGAATTTTATATTTAGAAATAGGGAAGACACCTAGTGTTACATGGGAAAAGTGTTGAGGTGTGAGGGATAATCAACCTGTAGCCCTCCAGATGTTGCATGTAGTCCTTGGGGATTATGGGAGTTGGGACCCCAGCGACAGCAGCTGGAAAGCCACAGGTTGACTACCCCTTTGGGGGGATTCGCTCCAAATTTATTTTATTTATCTGGAGTGTTTATAACCTGATGCCCATTGAATATTTCGAATCCAAGTTGGGATCGACAAAATTGACATATACAGGTGAGAGAGATAATACCCATATAAAAATTTATTAGCCCTTTCACAAAAACAAATCAGCACTTTCCTCACAAAGCAAAGGACAGCAATAAAAAAAGTCACAGCTACCTCTTTATTGAAAAGGAAAAATATTTTTTATATAACAGCAAACAAAATAGTGTTTCTTTCATTTTCTGTACAGGCTGCATACACGCCTCCCATTTAAATCACCTTTATTGGGAACAGTAGTTTGCTAAGGGTGCTATTGGAATTGTAGGTCTGTGAGGGCAAACTACAGTTCCCAGAACACTTTGCGGGGTGAGCGTTAAGCGTGTGCTTTAAATGCACGGTGAGCGTCCGTACGCAGTCCTTTGAGCGCCTGCCTCCCGCTCTGTCCCGCCTCCTCGAACGTCGTCCTGCGGCGAAAGTGGGAGGGGCGCGACGCGACGCGTGACGGAAGTACCGGCTCCATTTTTTTCATATCCGCCCTTTTTCAGTCACGCGAGGGGTGGGGCCTCTTCTTTAGCCACGCCTCCGAAGTGGTCACGCCCTCCAACTTTATATCGTCTCCTTCGCTACACACACTTACACACAAAGAAACAAACAAACAAACAGCACTTCTCTCTGCGCACGCGTCCCGAGTCCCTTTCTGCCACGTCACTTCCGCCAGCCGGTGGTGACACTGTTTCCGGGTCCGGCTGAGTGGTTGAGGCGTCAGTTCTGTCAGGAACCAGCCGGTGAGTTAAGAGAAAGGGTTTTATGTTCCGCCTTTTCTTTTCCTTGGCGGTTAGAGGGTGCGTGAAATGTCAGTGTATTGCGGTCGTTGGGGGTGGGTTTCTGTTTTGCTTTCTGGAGGGTGGTAGTAGTGCTGGAAAGAAAGGTGAGACGGTAAATACGGTAAATAGGGAAGGTTTGGCGCGGCTGTTAAGAGCCTCCGTCTTCCCCGTTCATTTACCATATTTATTGCCTATAAAAGGACCAAGCAAAAGATGCGATAAAGTGTTCGGGTTCCCCAACGCTGTTCTTCAGGCGGCATGTAAAAGGAAAAGGGTTCGAGGAGGGAAGAGGGGAAGATTCAGGCATCGTTATTCATTATTTATTTATGAATTATTCTTACACTTACGTCCCACTTTTTCTCCAAGGAGGTCAAGGTGGTGTGCACACTTCTCCTTCGCGTTTTATCCTCACAGCATTTCAGGCTGAGAGATAGTGATTGACCCAGGGTAACCCAGTGAGCTTTAATGGCTTTAACAGAGATTTGAACCTGGGTCTTGCCACTTTTCATTGGCTTTCACAGCAATGAGGGGAGGGAAATACCTAATTTTCTTTTTCCCTCTTTCCAAGCCTTGCCCCACCAAAGCCTGATTTTGTACAATAAGTCTGAAGAAGACTTCTACATAACTCAAAACCACACCACTGTTTTGCAGCATTTTAGTTGACCCAAATAAAGGTATACTCCAGTGACTTTTTGTTTCCCTTTTTTATGTTGTGACTTTTGTATCATTATTGTTAGTGTTAACCTTGGGGCTTAATTTACAAACAGGGTATTGGTAACGTGTGTGTGTGTGTGTGTGTGTAATTTCCCCTGAAAAGAATAAATCCAGATTTAATTATGGGGTGAGTGATGGGATACACACTAGCATTTTGATGCTAGCATCATTGTTTGGGCACTGCAGAAAAAGGAAAACACCTGGCATGCCTCAGAAGCTCTGAATCAGTAATAAAACTATATTTGGAATCACCTACTTGATATTTTTTTATTGTGCTTTATTCAAGAGCAGGGACATCAAGTCTTTCCATGTCTCCATATTTTGCTCACACAACAAAGCTGGTCCAAAGGTTATCCACTGAGGTTTGTGACCAAGTGGGAATTTCAGACAAGATCTTTCCTGGCTGAAACATCCATACCATAATGCCCTTTGCAATCCTAAATGTACTTCTAGCACAAGAAGAGCCTTTTAGGGTTAGACCCCAAAAGACCCATCTAGTCCAGCATTCTGTTTTCATAGTGGCCAGCCAGATGCCCATTATGGGAAACTTGCTAGCAAGACCTGAGAGTACTTGCTAGTGAGTAAGCCCCCTGGAATACAGGTGGGGCAGGATTGCAATGTGGATCTGGTTGCATTGAACATGGGTATTATAGTAGCAATGTAAACAATGAGGGGTTTGCTATTCAAAGGCAAAACGCTTAAAGATAATGTTATGCAAATTTTGGAAGGCAAGAATCAAGTTTATTTAAGATGCTTAAAGCAGCTTCAAATGTCTGTATTGACTCGTGCTCACTGCTTCGTGAGATGGTTGGTTTTATTTTTAAGCTTTCTCTTCTTGCTGTCTTCTACCCAAAGGGTCCCAAAATAACTAATGGAGTTTAAGGACAGTGAATAAGGCAAAGAAGCAGCCTTTGCCAATCTGGTGCCCTCCAGATGTTTTGGACTGCTATTCCCATACAGCATGGCTGTGCTGGTGGGGTCTGAAGGAGTTGTAGTCCAGCACATGTGGACAGCACCAGGTTGGCAAAACAGTAGTTGCGATAAAGTATGGAGTAGAGCAGTGCACCAGTACCAAACCAGGTTTTTAAAAGCCAGTTTAAAGCTTTGTTTTAAAGAAACCTAAAAGTCTCCACCTGTCACTGAAAGGACGTTGAATTGCCACAGCTGAAAAGGCCTTTTTGGGTCACAGCCCAGCTCACTTCTAACAAGTGGAATCCAAAGAAAGTCTTCTCAGTATTACCTTAGTGTCTGGACAGGTCCACGTATAGGAGAAAATGCCGTATTTTTCGCACCATAGGGCACACCGGACCATAGGCCGCACCCAGTTTTTAGGGGGGGGGGGATCAAGAAAAAAAATATTTTCCCCCCCAGCCCCAAAGAGCAGCATACAGGCTGCGCACAACCTCTCCCTGCCGGAGGGGTTGCGCGCAGCTATGGAGCAAGCCAATGCAGCGAGCGGGATGGATCCCACTCGCTGTTTTGGCTTCCCCTTTAGCCCCGTGCAGCCTCTCCTTGCCAGGAGACGCTGCGCAGGGCTAAAGAATCCATAGCCCCATGCAGTCTCTCCTTGCCGGAGGGGTTGCGCACAGCTATGGAGCAAGCCAAGGCAGCGAGCGGGATGGATCCCGCTCGCTGTTTTGGCTTCCCCTTTAGCCCCGTGCAGCCTCTCCTTGCCGGAGGGGTTGCGCGCAGCTATGGAGCAAGCCAAGGCAGGGGGCGGGATGGATCCCGCTCGCTGTTTTGGCTTCCCCTTTAGCCCCGTGCAGCCTCTCCTTGCCGGAGGGGTTGCGCGCAGCTACGGAGCAAGCCAAGGCAGGGGGCGGGATGGATCCCGCTCGCTGTTTTGGCTTCCCCTTTAGCCTCGTGCATCCTCTCCCTCCCGGGAGAGGCTGCGTGGGGCTAAAGAATCCATAGCCCCGTGCAGCCTCTCCTTGGCGGGAGACGCTGTGCAGGGCTTTCCTGGCTTGTCTGGGAGGTGGCGGGAGTCCCTCACCTTTCGCAAAACCGGCAGAAGCCGCGCACACATTAAAAGGGTTGCACGGCTTCTTCTGGCTTTCCTGGGAGGTGGGGGGATTCCCTCACCTCTCGCAAAAGCCCGCAGAAGCCGCACAACCCCTTTAAAGAGATCGCAGCTTCTCCTGGATTTTCTGGGAGGTGGGAGAAGCAACTGATGTGGCCGGTCAGTCCCTTCTCCCTCCTGGGGAAAAGCCCGCAAGAGCGCACGGAGCTTGTGTGCGGCTCTTGGGGGCTTTTCCCGACTGCCTCCCCCCTGCATTCGCTCCATAGGACGCACACACATTTTCCCTTGCTTTTTAGGAGAGAAAAAGTGCGTCCTATGGTGCGAAAAATACGGTACTCATTAAGGTAGCTGTGTTAGAATTTTAAACAAACACCAGCACATTGAGTTGTGTCTGAAAGATTGTCAAAAGATGTCTCATATGCCCAGTCCCAGACAGCAGTCTTTTCTGTAGGAAGAATATAAGACAGAAGCACAGCTCATCGTAGCTGCTCCTAAGGGGGTTTGCCTCTACTGCAATAAGCAACTGATAAGGGGTAAATACAGTAATAATTACTGTAGTGCTTAGCACTAGGATCAGTGATAAGAGATCCCTTATCTCCTGTCTTAGCACTTAGTGCTTACACTGGAGATAACAGATCTGTGTGCCTGATATATAGCGTGAGCATCGCTTGTCTTAAAATGATCCCACAGGCCAAATTTGACTTTCCCCACCCCTTCAGTAACAGGTGATGGTGGGGAGTGCATTGACATTACTGTAGTCTAATGTGAGTTGGTGGGAAACTGAATATGGCAAGAAATTCAAAGAGCATCATACCGGGGGCCAAATATGATCTCTCGGAGCCAGAATGTATAAATAAAGAGTGCCTCTGGCTATGTTCTCAACTATATGTAAATAACAGGCATGTAAGTTAAAAATGCTTTTCAAACATAAACTTAGAAATTGCATTAGAAAAGCTAAAAAGTCTAGGCATAATTTATTAACATTGCCTGCCATTAGGCATTTGCTGCCACCATCCCACCTGCTTCTAGAACTAGAGAAGAGTGCTTCCTGGTTGGTGATAGTGATTTCTGGGCACACAAGCTGTGGCACCTCTTGCTAAGTGTTGGTTCAGAGTGGATCCTGTAAGTCATCCTTTTGGTTCAAGTTTGAGGGTGTCATCATGCGATTTGGTAGTGAGAGGCAGAGTTAAATATGTGGGGAAGCTTAAGTTACTACCACAAATCAGCCTGCAATGTTCATGAAGTACTTTCAAGGTCAGCATGTTGGACAGGTGGTGTCAAGTGTCCTATAGCTCCTGCAGGGCTGTCAGGAAATCCAGTGAATAATTCATGGTTGCTCGGGGAGATGGTGTTAGGTAGACAGAGAGGCCGAGCCAGGAGATGGTAATTCCCCTTCATGTGGCTTCAGTGAGACCTCTTCTTGAGTTCTTTTATCTTGCATTGGGGGCCCTGCTTTGATGTTGCAACCTGTGTTCTGCCTCTTTCATATATGTCACTGGTAGCGTCCCTGTGACTTCCAACATACTTGAAGCCAACAAAATCAGAAGAGCCAAGTATTGGTATGGGCCGGAATTTCTAATGATGTTTTTAGTGTTGTGTCTCATTCTGTCTTGATAGCTTGAGCCCATCAATCAAGGGCACATCTTGTGGTTTAAATTTTACAATTTTAATGCCTTATGGAGTTTATTTTTATTGGGATACTTGTAAATATTGTAAAACATGATTCAGAAGTACATAATCTTTTGTATTGGTTTTAAGAAAAAGATGAAGGAACTGAAGACTGTTAAAAGGTCTGAAACCTGAGTACAAATGTGGTTCCCAGTGACAGTAGCTTCAAAAAACATTAGTTACGATTTTGTTTTTAGATTTGACTAGTATTGTATCTGTTCCAGTACTTTGGCTTGCATTGAGGTTGGGGTGGGTGGACAGAAGAGAGTTGGAGAGCAATGTAGGTTTAGAATTCAAGGAGTTCAAAATTGTTCCAAACATAGATTTTGATCTTGAACTAATTCTTGCAGATTGCCTAATCTGTGTCTACTGAACTGTATTGTCAGATTTGGTCATTACAAATACACCCCCTTAATTTTGAAATAGCACTGGGCAATGAGCCCCTTGAGGGAGAGGAACTGATTGGATGGAAGATAAATCAGGCACAGACTGCTGTGTGCTTGTGCCTTGACTGTCTGAACTGTGGTGATCCTGCCTTTGAGGGCCTGTCTGGCTGTTGAAGATGTTTGCAAAACTAAAGAAGAAGATTGCGGAAGAGGCAGCTACTTCTCCGCGGCCAGGAGGGGTGGCCAGAATGCCCAGATCGGTCAGCAAGGAGTCCATCACATCTGTAGGAGCAGATTCCGGGGATGACTTTGTAAGTGCCAAATGCTATGTTTTGCTATCTAGTTTTTTAAGACAACCATGTGTTGATTTGCTCAATTTTATGTTGAAGTCTACAGAATACAAAAGCAAACCTAAAAATGTTATGAATCTTTCTTTGGTGTGGTTTGGTCTTATTGAATGTCATAGTACCAATTCCTTTTGTCCAGGAGAAGAAATGGAGGAGGTGCACCAGGTGGTAGCACTGATAGTGTGGGCTGAATCCAGCACCTCTTTACCACACCAAATTTTCAATAAAGCAGTATGTTCACCTGTCAGTCACCTGATGTAACTCTAACAAGTGAGTGATGTTGACTGGTGAGCAGTGCGGGGTTCACGTCTGTGTTGGCAAGGGTATCAAGCAGCCAGTATGACAGCTGCTATGCAACTTAGCATAAAAAGGCAAAATTCACTAGCACCTCATGAAGGTGGAGGAAGACCAATGCTGAGTTGAGAGGAATGAGCCTATCCAGCTAGTGTAACATTATCTAATCATAGGAGAACAACTGAGAGCACCATTTTTGCTAGTGGAAGGGACAAAACACTGCCTATGCTTTAAAAATTGTAGCATGATGTGAAAACTGCAGCAAAGTGCCATTCTCCTCTCATCTCTCCCCCTGCTTCCCGTGGGCAGGCTCTTTTTTGTTGCTGTTACTGAAATGGACAAGTGTGTTGGACTGTTCATTTATGAATTTTAAAAATGGAGTATTCCTACTATATATCTTTTAATCCACTAAGCCCTCAGATGGAAGCAGCTCCAGGGAGGACCTCTCGTCTCAGCTCTTCCGGAGGAATGAACAAATCCGGAAGCTGGAAGTCAAGCTGTCTGGTAGGTGCCATGTTGGGGGTGAGGGGTTAGCCTAAGAACACAGGTGCTCCCTGTTGTATAGACAACATTCAGACGTCATACCTGTTCAAAGTACAGGGTGAGCCAAAAGTAGCCCTCTAGGCCTTCTAGACTCTGTCTAGGCCATGCCTCTCAATGGCCTGCTCCACACTGTCCTCTAGCATGGCCCAAATGTGTCCTTGGATGTGATCATGTCTCTTGCTTGTGTAAATAGAGGGTGGAAAGGGATTTATGTATTTGCAGAGACCCTCTGATATCTATGTGGCCAAAAAGTAACCTGCTATACAAAAGAGTCACATCCATTGCTTTACCCCACTTTTGCTTCTAGCCCTGCCCACCACTGGCATGTCTCCCCACCCCCCACAAAGGTTGTCTACAAAGGAATGCAGCCCTCAAGCTCAAAAATGTCCCTTATCCATTGCTAGAATGGGCAGCACTCCCACCCTGTCACTTCTGTAGTCCACTGCTGTAAGACTCCATTAATCCTTCCACTGTCTGCACTTGGATAGGCAGTCAAAAATGACCATTGCTCTTCTAACATATGATGATAAAACTGCTTCCATTCTTTGAGCCAGCGGGGATGGTGTATGTGTGATTTTATAGAGCATCAAGGTCTGGGTTTACACATACTCTGTGCAACTATACTATGGGCTACCGAGAAAGGAATGGCCTGCTGGAGCCACTCTGCTGGTCTTGGTAACTTGCCCTGCCCTTTCAGCAATGTTTGATTCTCTGTTCCTAGCAAAATTCCTTCTGTCTGTACCTCTTCTTCATACTTCATGTGCAGTAGCAGTATTTTGTTTTGCCTGGTGTTGAGGTGTGGCCGTTTGCCTCACCTTCCTTAACAGAAATGATTTTCAAGCAAAGGAAATCATTGTTCCTCTTCACTCACCAGGTTTTTTTCCTCCCCTCCTCCCGGTTTTTTCCCTCCTGTCTGCCCATCTCTGGTTGGTGCTGCTGCCTCCTTCCCCCAAGATTACGCCGAGCAGGTCCGAAACTTGCAGAAGATTAAGGAGAAGCTTGAGAACGCATTAGAGACCCATCAGGATTGTACGTACCCATCTTCTTTCCATTTCCCTTTTAAAAAGGGGTTAGAAGCCTCAGGAAGTAAAACTGTTTTTTGAACTTGAGCCAGCCAAGAAAATTATTATTTGTGCTTGCTTGCTTGCAAATGAGGATGAAGGCACAGTTTGTAGGCCAGCATGGACTTTAGTCTGGCTGTTCGAAACAGGTTTATCACTAGCAAAATCCTGAGGGGAGGAGGCAGCGTGTGAGCCTGAATCTCATTCTTGAAATGGTAAGCTGTGGTTTGGCATACACTTGAGCAGGCCCCTTATTTACTTCCTCATTTGTGGGAAAGCAGATGAGGGGTGAGATTTGGGCCTAGGAGAGAGTCAGAACTTAATGTTGCTCAGTATAGTGCTGCCTGAAGTGTAGCTGGGACATTGAAAGAAGAGAAAGTGAAATGAGCAGAGAACTGTGAATGGTTCTTTATTCTGAGAAGTATAATACATACAAAACATAGGCATCTCTCATACAAAGTTCTCAGCTGCTATCTGCAGCTTCTGAAGGACCTGTGCAAGGTTCAGAGGTTTTTGAATATGCAGGGGGAGCATCCGCCCCAAACCCCAGCTTGGGTCCTGTCGAAGAGTTACCTCATTCTGTGGAGTAATGTTCTGCTAATGGGACAGTGCCAAGGGTCAGTGCCGGAACACATGCTTTCCATATGGAAGGTCCTGGTGTGATTTCCCCCCACCCCTGCCCCCCAAATTTCCAGTTAAAACAATTTCAGGCACTGTCCCACTAACCTCAGTCTACCCATAGCCAATATCTGCCTGCCTGTTTTCTGACTCACAACAGTCCAGGGGATGGCACTGCCTGTCAGCTTGCTGCTCCTTAATCTCAGTGTTGCCCTTGTAGAACTCTGCAGGGAGGGGAAAGAGGACAAAACTAGAATTGGTTAGCTCCACTTGTCACTGGCTGTGCCTCCACCTACCATTGGACTCCCTGCCTTCTGCCCTACCAACCCCATTGGGCACCAGCCACTACTGATTTCAGGTAGCAGTCATTAGCAATTAACACTTTGCTGAGGGACTTGGGGACCTACTGCCAGTCAGAGCAGGCAGCATTGGAGTAGCCTTGGCTCACTGTTAGGCAGTAACTTGCACTCCTAAGATGGAATGATTCTGGGCCTTGGACACAGCAGCACCCAGGTGTTTCTCCGGCTCATGTGTTGTCACCCGCAGCCTTTGTGAAGAAGCTCCAAGAGCAGAATGAGGCTCATCAAGCCAGCACGGCCAAGATGGCAGAAGGCACGGTCTTGGCTCTGGAGAAGAAGGACCAGGTCAGTCAGGCTCATGAAGCCTTTGTTGCCATGCTTCCAGAAGTTCTGAGATGGGTGAGGAGAGGGACAAGCCTTCCTGGACAACCCCACTCTGCCAGGTCCTCACTTTTTTCAGGCTTAGCATGGTCATTGCAGGGAATGAAGAGGTTTGTAGACCAAACAAACATTGAGGGGGCACTTTCCCCTCCCATTCCTACTCTCCCAGAAATAGTCTCTCAAGATGGTTATTATTTGTTAAATTTATTAGTAACTTTTTTTGCCCTGGCAACTGAGAGCCACTTACAATTACAGTGGTACCTCGGTTTTTGAGTGTCTCAGAAGCTGAACGTTTTGGTTTTCGAAAGCCGAAAACCTGGAAGGAATTGCTTCCATTTTCAAACGCGCCTTGGAAGTCAAATGTATTCTGCTGCATGTTTTTTCAGTTTTCTCCATTGAACTTGCAGCCAGCCCTTTGCTGGCTTTTGAACATTGCGGAACTCGAACGGTCTTCCGGACTGTTTTTGTTTGGTGCCTAAAGATATGTAACGATGGTACCAGGTGAGCCTCCCTGTGGGGAGAGCTTTCCACAAGTGAGGAGCCATCACTGAAGATTGATTTGATTGTATTTCTGTGCTGCTTTTCATTGAAATGAATCCCAAAGTGACTTACAAACAATAAATAACAGTAACATATTAAAACACAGTAAAACATTACAAACACAGCATAAATCATATAAAATAACAAATAGTCATGCTCCTTCTCTCTGAGACTGTCCCTTTAAGGAAGGGAGCCTCTCTGTGATGCAATAACAGCACCAGTTGCTGTTGCTCCTTTGAACTGTGCAGGAACTTTTCTGCTCCCTGGTTTGTTGCCAGCTTCTCCCTCATTATAGCCCCTCTGGCATGCAAATGTTGACCTGTCCTTTTCTTCCTTCCCAGGAATGGAGGGAGAAGCTGTCACACCTTGAAAAGGCAAGTAGCTTACTTAGAGCTGGGCCCTAAAATGTGCAAACAGACAGGATCTCATTTTTGGAGGCTGTAATCTTCTCTTCCTTCCCTTCCCAAGTAGACTTCAAATTTAGGTTCCAGCTGTGCTGCAGACATCATAAGCAGCTTGTCTCGGTGCCTCATGTCCCTCAGTCTTCCATGACAGTCTAGACTGTTGAATCCTACAGACATTTCTTGATAGCAAAAGCATTATGTGGTCTTGCAGGGTTACCAGCAGAATGATGTAAATTCTCTCTCCATAAGGCAGGAAGGTGGGAAACTGCTCCCCCCCCTCCGCAGGATGTTTGGCTTCCAACTCCTCTCAGCCTCAACCAGCTTGTCTGGTGACAGGGGGTGATAGGAGTTGTAGTTTGCCAACATCTGGAAGGCCATGGGTTTCCCTCTGCTGGGCTAGGGAAATATTATTGTGATCCTTGAAAGAGAAGCAGAAAACCATTCCCTAGAACACTTGAATAAGAGAAGCTTGTAAAAGGCTTCCAGATTTCCCCCTATATTCTTGAGGCCTAGAATCTTGAACAAAAAAGACTTCTAGTTACTTGAACACCTATACTACTTATGGAGAACAAGCAGTAGAATAATTACCGGATTAGAAGAATATTCTGAATACTTAGGTACAATTCTCAAACTTTAAAATGCTCCTGCTGAATGAAAGACAGAGACTACTCTGCTTGTAGCACCCCTCGACAATGGAGAGTGTGGCAATGGCCAGATGCCTTGAAAACAAGGTCAGCCTGCGACACCCCAACTTACACCTGGTAGTACCTCTCAGTTTATCCTTACCCCTGAGCAAGAGAACTCCCAAAGCTGCTGCTTCATTTTCTGCTGCAAGGGATGTGGCTTTAAGGGTCTCTCGTTCCCAAGGGTTGCATCCAACTAAGTTCTAATCAGAGTAAACCCATGGAAAATAATGGACTAGCACTGGATGCAGCCTCCAGTTGAGTGGAGGGGTGTTCTGTTTGCCATCCTTGAGGGGACCCCTGGAAAACTAACCAAGCCAAACCTTTTGTCGCCTGGAACTGGTATGTGTGCAGTACAACTGATCTGAGTGCTGGATGAGAAACAGAGGAAGCTCCATCAGACTGGGTGTCTGTTCCTAAAGCCTCACCTGAGAAACTAGGGTGGTGCTAGTGGGTCCCAGAAAAGCTCTTCATTGTGAGATTTCTGGGGCAATTTGTGGGTTGTTTGGGTCCTGGGTGAGAACCAGGAGGATGAGAGCTTTTTTCTATAAATATTAGTAATTTGTATACATGGTTTTATTGTATATTTTGTAGCATTTGTTGTTGCTCTTTCAGTTTTATTTACACAGAATAGAGATAATATCTATGACAGACCTTAGCTAGATTGCGTAAGAACATCAAGACCCACCACAAAATCCTTGTTGTGAGTACTTTTTGATATATAGGGCCTTTGCAGATCGGCCTTCCTCCCACCAAGCAGAACACTGGACGATCTCCCCCTTTTCAGATCTTAATTGGCTTTTACACTGAAGCTGGGAAATCCCCCTAATCTTCTTTTCTATGTGTTGGCTGCTCAACAGGAGAAGAAGCTCCTTTCGGCACAGCTGCAAGAGATGAAAGAGCAGAGCTTGAACCTTTTCCAGAAAAGGGATGAGATTGATGAGTTGGAGGGCTTCCAGCAGCAGGAGCTGGCTAAAGTCAAGCACATGGTGAGTGATCCCAAGGGAGGCCCATTTGGGGTAGGGCAGCTAGACCCAGCCTAGACCTCTGGGACATAATCCAGGAAGCCCTTGCCTTTATATTCCACTGACCGCCCCCACTCCCCAGCTGGTCTTCCTCTTTTTCTCTCTTATCTACCCTTGGGCTTATTGGACTCTGCCTTCACCCTTTAGTTTATTTACTACATTTATGTTCTACCTCTTTTTCACCGTGGGAATCAAAGGGGAGTACATGGGCAATCTCAAAGTAGGAATATCAGAAGCTTGTCCTGTTTAGCTCAGTATTGTCTACACTTAACATCAGCAGCTCTCCTGGGTTTTAGTCAGGAGACATTATCAGACTGTCCTGGAGATGTCAAGGATTGAACATGGGACCTTCTGCATGCAAAACAAATGCTTTTCCACTGATCTGTAGTCCTTCCCTTAAGACACAGGGGCATTGGAAGCCATCCTACAACTCCCACCAGCCCCAGCAAGCACAGCTCAGAGGTCAGGCATGGTGGGAATTACAGTGCACCTACATCTGGATGGCATTAAACTGGCCACTCCTGCCATATTCCAAGGTAGCACTGTACTGAGAAGTTCCCTCTGCCTCTGAGAGCTAGCTGATTGATATGTGGTTTTGTTGTTTGTTTTCTTTAAAACATGCAGCTTTTGAAGAAGGAAGAGTCACTGGCCCAGATGGAGCAGGAATTGGGGTCCTCCACACAAGAGCTGCAGCGCACTCAAGAGGAGCTGCAGACCTTTCGCACTTTGTCCTCCCGCCAGGCAGCAGAGTTACAGCAACTACGAAAGCAGCATGCAGAGCTGGAAGCAGAGAGGTTGGGAAAAGGATGTTCTGTTTAGACCCTCTGGGTGTCTTGTCCTGGACAGGCTTTGTGTGCCTGTAAATTCTTATTTATTTAAAAGCATCTCCTCTTGGCTGCACGAGTTTGGCAATGTGCCCTTTTAGAGAAAACACAAAAACTCAGGGCAGCCAGGGGATAGTAGGTGAAAGACCCATTTGAGAAAATATGGGTAGCGTTTATTGAGCCATCATGGTGTTATAGTTAGAGTGTTGGACTACAGCCTGGAAAACCAGGGATCAAATCCCCATTTGGCCCTGAAGTTCAGTGGGCCAGCCAGTCACTCTCAGCCTCACCTACGTCACAGGGTTGTGAGGATAGAGTGGGAAGAAGAAGCATGTGCGCCACCTTAAGCTTCTTTTAGGAAAGGCAGAATCTTTATGTGATAATTTTAAGATATGCCAGCGTAAAGGATAATGTTTTCTCCTTGTCCTTCATATATTCTAGACCAGTGCTACTCAAAAGTGGTGGTCCAAGGACTGGTGCTGGTCCACGATCCATTGGCTGCTGGCCAGTGGCAGCCCCATCACAGCCCAGGTTGGATGGGATGCTTCCGGGACCAAATATGGCACCAGAATCTGGGATGTTGGGAGGGAAAAAATAGCTGGTCCACCACATCAGAATACTACTCTAGACTATGGACCTTTTGAGTTACCTCTTTACCTTGAAACCCTGTAGAAGAAATATAAACATAAGCTGATGAGTTTGCATTGTTACTGAGCTGTCTTAAGCCTGTTATGTTAATGGCTCACTCTTTGCATCGGTATTGTTTGTTTCATTTTTTAATCTGTATCTTGAAAACAGTTTAATGAACAATTTTTAAAAACCATTTCTAAAGTGCTTAATGTTTTAAAGATTTCTAAGCGGTGTACAATAGAAAACCAAACAATATCATCAAAACGATGGGGCTGATGGAAGTTGGCAGGCCCAGGTTTCTCATGCCTACTCTAAGGGGCAGACCTAAAACCACTGCCATCTCCATAAGACAGGTCATGGGGGCACCATTTCAGAGCAAATGAAATAAAGCTTCCTGTGGTTGGATATGAAACCATTATCTCAGCTTAGACCTAACACACAGAATTGAACTTCTTGCTCAGGGAACCTATGGCCGTCCAGATATTCTTGGACTTCCCAAATCTTTTGTTCCTGACCACTAGCCCACTTGGCTGGGCTGATAGAAGTTGGAGTCATAACAATATATGGAGGGCACCATGTTGGCTATCCCTGATCTCTGGCCTTCAAGTTAAATTTCTCTTCCTCCTTTCATTTCCTCCCCTCACAGGGATGAGCTCATCGATGCAGAGGAGAATGCAGAAAGCAAGATCACAACCTTAGAGCAGCGGAGCCAGGAGCTCCAAGCGTACATTCAGCAACTGTCAGTAGATCTACAAAATGTAAGTGGGAGATTCTCTTCTCTTACTCACATACATCAGATGCCTCTCTTGCAAGCAGAGAGTGTGCTTAAAAGCCTTCCTTTTCCCTTCGAATGAATTGAAAGATAGTAGAGAAATTAAATAATATTTTTTATTATTTAATTTACATTATCATTAGTTCCGGTAGTAGTACTGTTGTTATTATTATATCATTTCTATACCACTTTATATTTTTAAGGGGGGGAAATCTCAAAGCAGTTTACAACATGCATTGGAACTACATTAAAACAAACAATTAAAAACATAGCAATTAAAACAGTGAAAAGACGGTGAAAACAATAAAATCACAAGTCCAGTTCAGGAGAAGTCTTGCCCAAGCAGGTGTGTCTTCAGGAGCCAGCAGAATGCCAATGCTGATGGGAGCATCTCCTATTTCAGCAGCAGGGAGGGCACCTACTAAAAACATTTTTGTTTCAGCAAACCTACACTGATACATAGAATATTGACATGTGTTTTAATATGTTTTTTAGCTTATTGTTAATTTTAATTATCTTTAAAATGTTTTTAAACACTGTTCTTAACTTCATTATTGATATCTTATTGTTTAATTCTCTTTGTATACCACTTGGAGGGTTGTTTTCTTTAAGCAATCAAGTGGTTTATAACTTTTATGGGGGGAATTCAGTAGGTGTCCAACTAAACTCTACTTAGAGTAGGCCTATTGAAACTAATGACTCTAAGTTAGCCATGTCCTTTAATTTCAGTTGGCCCACCCTTGACTGGGACTAAAGTTGTGTACAACCCATTGAAAATGGTTTTTATTTCAATAACTTTTTTCTTTGTTCTTGGGTTTCTTTGCTTTTTCTTTGCATGGCTGCTCTAATTGTTTTTTCCTCCACATTGTCATTGTTAATCTTCTTGAGCCCCATTTGGTGGAAAAGTGGGAAAACCCAATAACTAATAAAGCATATATTTTAGGCTCAAGTATCTGCCACCAGTTGTGAGAAGCGATTGGAAGCACTGCAGCGAGAACACAACTCTCTGAAACAGGAGTATGAACAGAATAAGCAAAAGGTATGGCCTGGATGTTATCAGATTGAGAAATAGGGTAAGCAGACCCCCAGGGTTTGGGCATTTCTGCAATGAAGAAGAGAATGCTATGTGATGATACAGATATTTCAGCAACCAGAAAAACTGGAATTGATGTGCAGACAACCTGGTGCCCATGGGTGCACGAATCAGTACCTCCTATGGCTCCTGTGAAAGATCTTAGTAAATATGCCAATCAGAAATCCCCATTGCACAAAAGTGAGAGACTGGTTCTTCTCCCTGCTCAGTGCCTGATTGCAAATGCTCAGCCTCTCCTACATTGATGGGTATGCCCGCTTCAATGTGCCCATGTTTATTTAGAATTCATTGCAGAGCAAACGTATGTCTCTCGACAGATGATTGTTGAGGTGGAGGAGAAAAGCCAACTTGTGAGCCACTTGCAGGAGAAAGTGACCATCCTGGAGAAGCACTTTGAAGGGAATCTCTCTGGTGACGAGCATGTCCAGGAGCTGCTCAGGGAGGTAAATGTGGGGCGTTTAGAAGGGGTTGCAAGAGTGCTGTACTGAGGCCATCAAATCTTTTCATGCAGTCCATTGTTTCATCATCCATGAAGATGTTCTTTAGGGCTGGGTACCGGCCTTGTGGAAGCTGCTGAGCTTTCACACTTCCAGTAAAATGCTGTTTGTAGAGACAAATGGAACTGGCCACACATGTTGGCAGTGTGGAGTGCTCCTTTGTAGTGTCTCAGCCAGCCGTGCCCTCCTCTACAGTACTCCCTTCCACCCACTGCTGTCAACCAGTATCCTACGCTCACTGAGCTTGCTCAGTATTCACTGGACTGTTTTGAGGGGTTTGTTTTTCTCCCCCTTAGTGTTCCCCCTGCTAAAGATTTTGTTGATGTTCCCCCGAGCCTACTGATACAACTCCCCTTTCACTGAGCAAGCAACAACACTCACCACCTGAAAATCAGTAATGGAAGAATGGATCTTTTAGATCCTTCCTGCTGCATCATTGGCTAATGATGCTTTCTGGTCAGAGCCTGGCTTTAAGGATTTTGATAGCATGGGCTCAGTTCATTCTGGATGTAGAGCATGGTCTTCTGAAAGGGCGGGGCTGCCCATTCTGATGGGTCTTAAAACATCAATCAGATATGAATTCAGCTTAGCAATGTCATTGTCCTCACTTGGTTTAGGTTTGGCATGGCCCTAACTTTTCCCTTGAGTGAGTAGTGAGTATTTACATGCCACCCAGGAATACTAAATACTGTGAGAAGTTTGGCTGGCATTAGACCAGATTTTTGTTTTATGTCCAAGAGTGGAGAACCTTCGGCTTTCCAGGCATTTTCTGAACTACAACTCCCATCATCCACAGCCACCGGCTGGGGTTGATGGGCATTATAGTTGATCTCTCTGGAGGGCCCAAGGTTCTCTACCACTGTTTTATTTGTTTGCAGTCTTTGCACCTGCCCTTTAGAAAAGTCAGCACTAAGACAGGCTCTGCCCTCAAGGCTCACAATCAAAAAAAGAGACTGCACATGAGAAAAAATGAATGGGAAGGTGGAGGAAGCAAACAAGCTCAAGCACAAGTTATTCAGGTTGCAGTTCTTCAACTTACAGCCAGTGTCAATGGAGGTTCTGTTTGTCTTGCCCTTCGTAAAGAGTAGACCCTTCCTTGAAGCTTTCCCCACCCACGTCACTCAGAACCAGGGGCAGATCTGGTGACAGCATCAAGGCCAGGAAGACAGGACAGTTCCTGCTGCACAGTTCTTCCCTCACATAGCTGCCTACTTGACTTCTAGGAGCACAAGAACCTGCCTCTTTTTGAGTGAGACTGTTGGTCCATCTGGCTCAGTGCTGTCTACACTGACTGGCAGGGGCTTTCCAGGATTTCCAGCAGGAGTATTTCCCAGCCCTAGCTGGAGATACAATTTGGGATTGAACCTAGGACGTTCTGCAAGGCAGATTCTCTGCCACTAAGCTATGGCCCTTTCCCTACTTTTCTGCAGCATTTTCCAATTCTATTACAGTTTTGGCTGCAGACTTTTAATGATGCCATGTAGAAAACTCTTGCTTAATGATTCTCTGTTTCGTTTGCGTGGTTGCTCTGTACTTTTATTAATTTATATGCATTTTTGTGTGTTCTGTTTTCCATTGTATTTTGTTGACTGCTTGGAGGGCCACCAAGTTGTGAGACATCAACACATAAAAGCCATAGTAACAATAATATTAGTAGTCATTGCATTTTCTCCCCTTTCTAGAAAAGTGCTCTGGAACAGAGACTGGAGGAGGCCAGGCAGCAGCTTTTAGCTGCACGGACAAGCCATGCAGAGAGTTTAAGTCTTCTGGAGACTCAGGTACACAAGGCAGGATTGCTTTCTGAAGCCTGGGATGGTGCTTAGTGGTTGGTGAATTACAGCCTTCTCATACTTTCTGGGGTGGGGGATTCCTCTTGGCTTGGTCAAGCCAGGTACTCAGTTTGGAGGGGCTCTCTTCTCATGGTTTTCAGGACCATTGCTCTGCCCTGGAACATGTTATGTAGTAGGAATAGAGTTTCTCTGAGCATGTGCTGAGCGCTTTTCCTTGGCTGCTGAGTATCTGCAACCAACCTTTTATATATTTGGAGGAGATGGTTTTCAGGGCAAGCGGCAGCCTTTCCAGGCCATAGCACCTGTTTAATAAAAATAATAATAAATATTTCTGATCTAAGACTTGGTTTCAGGAGGAAGGTGTGAGTGAAGCACACGTTCAGGAAAGGCACGAAGTGTTGTGTGCCCTGGGCTGTACCACTTTGGACTGCTTGTGGTGGCAGGAATCACATCTTTTGAGCAATCCCTCACATAATCACCCCTAAAGAACAGGCTGTAGCTCAACAGGAGTGCATCTACATTGAATTTAGAATTTAGTTCAGTCCCCAGTATCTCCAGGTAAGGCTGGGAAAGCCCCAGTCCTGAAATCCTTGAGACAGAGGCGTAGCAAGGTCAGATGGTACCCAATGTGGAATTTTTTTGTCACACCCTCTCCCCACATTGACAGCTCGAGGTAGACTTGGGAGTCTTGGGAGTCAGTGATGATACCTGGGGCAGTCCACCCCCTTGCCCCTGCCCCCCTGCCTAGCCCTGCCTACACCCCTGACTGTAAGGCTCATTGGACGCAGTTGGACTTACTTCTGAGTGAACATATAGGATGGCGCTTGCAAGCTGACCCAAGGGACGTGTTCCTGTAGATCACTCACATCAAGTAAAATGGATGTCTAAGGAACTTACTCCTGAGTAAGGAGTCAACCTTGAAAGCAGCCCAGCTGCCATCCCCAAATCATCCCCCACCCCCGGCATTCCCCACAAAATTCAGAAATTGAGGGCTTCCACTGAATTGGGTTGGGCCAATTCTGGACCTGAGAGGGTGCAGCCCCAAGTGTGCTTACTCGGAAGTAAGCCCTATCCAGCTCGGCTAGCAAGCGTCCTCGCAGTGGGATCCTATGCATGTTTCCTCCCTCACTGAGCATGGCGAGGGTTACTCCCTAGCAAGGCTGCTTGCAGCCACATTCCATATCTTAAGTACGCTTGAAACCCTCATGCTAAAACAAGAAATCAGGACTTCGAACCAGATGTGATAACTCAAAAGTTATTATTATTATTGGCCTGAACGCAATGGGATTTCCTTCCTTGGAAAGAGGCTTGGGATTGTGGTTGTGGTCATTTGAATGGGACTTGCCCCTAAGAAGGGTTTGAGTATGGGAGAGGGCGGGTTACTCGTGCGTAAAGCCCTTAGTATGAATACTTATGGCCTGAGCCCAAGCGTGTTTATTCTGAAGTAAACCCTGCGTGGATTGGGACTGTCTCCCACATAAATTGGCTGGAAATGGAAGCCATAGGCTGCAATCTGCTCAGATCAATGGTGGGAGGAGAACCGAGGCTCATTCGGCACCAGCAAGTTGGGGACAGGAGACTGTAGGGAAGCTGTTGTAGATATTATCATTATTATTATTTATAGAAAGTAGTGCTTCTTTGCTGCTCTTTTCGCGCTGCCTGCTCACTCCTGTTTGGAGCAGCCGCCTTCTGCCCAAGCTGCTGCGGAGGTAAATGGAATGAGCTGGTTGGTGCCAGGAATGTGTGCCCCTTCCTCCGGGTGGGGCTGCCTGGAACCGCACCAGCTGAAAGTAATTGCTGGCCAGTTGGCACCTTGAGTAGCAGACAGAGAAGGCAGCAGTGGTGGCAGCTCTCAATGGCAAGAAATACCTTCCCGTCCCAAGGATTATCTACGACTAGGGACGGACGGATACTCAGTTTCTTAAAGTGAGCGCTTTCCTTTTTTAACGAAACAGACCAGGAGACCCCAGTGAGACGGAGCTGCGTGCTGCCTTCACCCCAGTTCATCCCGCCATCTCACCCCACCCCTCACTCCGTGCAGCTTCCTGGCGCCATTCATAACTTCATGCTGAGGACTCCCACGTGCGGGAGAAAACTACTTATCCAATAGCAAGCCAGCCCACCCCTGCCGCTGCATTCCATTTTGAGCCCTTTTGCTCGTGGCTTACCAGATGTGGGGGTGCCTCCCCCCCGTCTTCTCGTCCTGCAGTCAGTCACTGGAGGAAGCAAAGGGAGTGTTCCCCCTCTCTCTCACGCGCCTCCTCTCGCTCCTTCCCTTCTGGGAGATGCTGTAGCTTCACGCTCATTCACCCAGCTGCGCCAAGAGGAGCCTTTCTGGCGCCATTTCCCATGCGTGCGCATCTACTCGCAAGGTCCTGGTGCCAAACGGGGGGTGACATTCAGCACCCTCCGCCTGCCCATGACTCCCAAGCCTACAGCGAGTGGCAAAGCAAAGCAGCAGCAAAGCACCCCCGCTTTGCCGCTAGCTTTAGGCTTAGGAGTCATGGGGGGGGGGCGCTGAATGTTGCCCCCCTTCAGGATGGTACCCGGGGCGGTCCACCTGCCCCCACGCCCCTTTGCAACACCATTGCCTTGAGAACTGCTACAGTCAGTGCAGATAATGCTGCAGTTGGTAGACTTAGCTTGTTATTTAATTCAGCCATTTATACAGAAGTGTGAGCACTAGAACCTTCTTTATTTTCAAGGGAAAGGCCTTAGCTTTGTGGTAGAGTACCTGCCTTGCATGCTGAAGGTCGCAGGTGGTTCAATCCCCATCATCCTCCAGGTAGGGCAGGAAGAAACACTCTTCCTGAAACCCTGGAGAGCCAATCAGGGTAGATGGTACTTAACTAGATGGACCAATGGTCTAACTCTGTATAGGGCACTTCCCATCTCTCTTCTTCTTTTTCTCCTTCTTCTTCTTCTCTTCCTCCTTCTTCTTCATATACCGCCCTATACCTGCAGGTCTTAGGGCAGTTTACAAAATAAAATTAGAATATAAAACCACAAAATATATAATCAAAATAAAAACAACAACAATCCAATAACACCCCCAACACTTTTTAAAAGGGCCTATGATGTCAATCAAATCAACCAAAGGCCTGGTTAAAAAGGAACGTTGTTGCCTGGTGCCTAAAAGTGTATAATGAAGGCATCGGGCGTTTTATTTATTTTTATATCTATCTCTATATCTCTACGTAATTTTAAACTGGTTGTGGTTTTATGGGGGGTGAGGAGAGGGGGCTGTTTAGGTCATAATAAACATTACTTCACTTGCTTCAAAATGTGGCCCCTCTGGATTTGGGGGGCCCCTCCTGCTTGTGCTGCTGAGTGAGGGCTTAGACCTCTACCCCAAAGTCCCACTGTAGCAGCACTGCTGGCCCTATATTCTGTCGTGATCCGTGGTGGAGGGAGGGAGACCCGCAACATTCAAGCGTGGGCTCCTTCATGGTACAGCCAGTGAAAGCTGCACCCTGCAGTTCTCCTGGCTTTGGGTCATTGGTCCTGTCTGTTGCCTCCTAGATTGACAAACTGAACTGCCAGTTGGCTGAAAGGCAGGTGTGCCTAAGCATAAGAGAGGAGCTTGTGCAGAGCCTCCAGGAAAGTAGTTCACCACAGGTAGGGGCCATCACGTCAGCTGGTCTATATCTCTTTCCTCTTCCCCAAATTGGGAGGTAGGCTGGCTGGGGTGGTGTGTGCATAGAATCATAGAATTGTAGAGTCAGAAGGGATCCAGATGGTCATCTACTCCAACCTCTTGCAAAGCAAGTATCTCAACCAAAGCATCCATGACAGATGACTGTCCATCCTTTGCTTTAAAACCTCCAAGGAAGAAGAATCCACCACTTTCCAAAGGAGTTCGTTCTACTGCTGAACAGCTCCTACTGTCAGAAAGTTCTTCCTGATGTTTAGTTGGAAGCTCCTTTATTGAATCCATTGGTTCAGATCCTACATTCCAGAGCAGGAGAAAACAAGTTTACTCTGTCTTCCATGTGACAGCCCTTTAGATATTTGAAGATGTCTATCATATCACCTCTCAGGTCTCCTCTTCCAGGCTAAATATACCCAACTTCCTCAACCATTCCTCATAAGGCTTGGTTTCCAAACCTTTGATCATCTTGGTCACCCTCCTCTACACACGTTCCAGTTTGTCAATATCCTTCTTAAATTATGGTACACAGAAACTGGACACAGCACTTCAGGTGTGGTCTGACCCAGACAAAATAGAGCGGTACTATGACTTCCCTTGACCTAGACACTATACTTTTGTTGATGCAGCCTAGAATAGCATTAGCTTTTTTCCCCTGCTGCATCTCACTGTTGAATCAAGTTGAGCTTGTGCTCCGATAAGACCCTTAGGGCTTTTCACACATACTTCTAGTAAGCCAGGTGTCTCCCTTATTTTTTTATTTAAAGATTTTCTTGCTTTATAAAAGTACATGCATTCTCTCTTTTTTCAGGTTGTACAAGTCTTACAAATCAGTTACATTTGTTGTGAGACATTTGTGTTGAGTACAGTATAAGGTTGGGGAAGAAGAGGGGAGAGAGGAGGGCTGGGGTGGTGATGCTTATATTTTGTATAGTGTATGTGTGGGGTTTTGTTTCAGTGTCAACTGGGTAGGTTCTCTTTCTATTTGTTTATTACATTTCCTTGGTAGTGAGTGGTATTGGGGAGCAGGGTGTGGTTGGTTGTCTGTGGTTATCTGCAGTGGGGTTTGTTTGCATTTATGGGGATGGGAGGGTTTGTTGGGTCAGATAAGCCAGATTGATTCATATGCTATCAGTGGATTTTTATCGTTGTCTCATTGGGCTGTGTATGTGATAAAGGGGAGCCATACTGGGGTGAAGGTGTCCTCTTCTATTTGTTCCCGTGTCGGTTTCAGTTTATTGGATAGCGTTTCCCATACAATTTGATACTATTGGCCCATGTTTACTCCTGACAGGTCCCTCCAGTGTCTGGCTATGAGGCTTCTGGCTGCTGAGAGTAGGTGGTTTATAAGTTCTGCATAATGTGAGTGGACATTATGATCTTGGAAGATGTTCAGTAGGGCCAGTTCTTGGGTGAGTTCTAATACCTGTTTAGTTATTTTGCATATCTCTTGTAGGACTGCTGTCCAGAAGGGTTGGATTTTAGGGCATTCCCACCACATGTGGAGGTATGTGCCTGTGGAGGTGCAGCTTCTTCAGCATCTTGGTGAGGTTCCTGGGTGTATCAGCACTAGTTTCCATGGTGTTAAGTACCACCTGTAGGTGAGTTTCAGAGTGAGTTCCCTTCTTTTGGCTGATATGGACTTAAAGGGAGGTTTAGACCACATTCTAGTCTATTGGGTGAGGTTAATTTCATAGTCTATGTTGAGCTCCCATTGTTCTTTGATTGCGTCAAGAGGGGTTGTGGGATTTTGGACCAGTATTTTGTATATTGTGGATACCATCCCTTTGCCATGTCCCTCTGCTATTGGGAGAAGGTTTTCGAAGGTGGTCAAGGGCCTAGTGGCTGCTTATTTAACTGCTGGGTTGTTTAAGAGGGCATGTATTTGGTGATGTGTTAGCCAAGGTATTTGGGTGTCTCCTAGTTTGTCTTGTATTTCTTGTGTTGGTATGGGTTTGTTGTTTTTGTAGAAGTCTTTTAAACAGTGTAGACCTTTGGCTTGCCAAGTTTTTATCTGGATGTTTTGTGCTGCATGTTGGAATAGTAGGTTAGTGCGGATGGGGATAATCTGCCTAGTTTGTTTTAGAGAAATGGGTATGCTGTTGCAAGGATGTTTTTGATTGAGTCTCTCTCCAAGTGAACCCATTTTTTTTGTCTTCTAGAATATGCAGGATTATGTGGCATACATGGTTGGCGATGTACCGTATTTTTCGCTCCATAGGACGCACTTTTTCCCCTCCAAAAATGAAGGGGAAATGTGTGTGCGTCCTATGGGGCGAATGCAGGCTTTCGCTGAAGCCTGGAGAGCGAGAGGGGTCGGTGCGCACCAATGCCTCTCGCTCTCCAGGCTTCAGGAAGCTATCCGCAAGCCTTGCAAGCCCGGTGGGAGTTCCCGCAGGCTCACAAGGCTTGCAGGCAGCAGCCTGCAGCCCCGGCGAGTGTCCGCAAGCCTTGCGTGCCCGGCAGGAGGTCCCGCCGAGCGCGCGAGGCTTGGGGCGGCAGTTTGTCGCCCGAGCACGGGAGCCCTCTGGAGGGCTCCCCGTGCTCGGGCGAGTGTCTGCAAGCCTTGCGCGCCCGGCAGGAGGTCCCGCCGGCGCGCGAGGCTTGGGGCGGCAGCTTGTCGCCCGAAGCACGGGGAGCCCTCTGGAGGGCTCCCCGTGCTTCGGGCGAGTGTCTGCAAGCCTTGCGCGCCCGGCAGGAGGTCCCGCCGAGCGCGCGAGCCTTGGGGCGGCAGCTAGTCGCCCGAGCACGGGGAGCCCTCTGGAGGGCTCCCCGTGCTTCGGGCGAGTGTCTGCAAGCCTTGCGCGCCCGGCAGGAGGTCCCGCCGAGCGCGCAGGGCTTGGGGCGGCAGCCTGTCGCCCGAGCACGGGGAGCCCTCCGGAGGGCTCCCTGTGCTTCGGGCGAGTGTCTGCAAGCCTTGCGCGCCCGGCAGGAGGTCCCGCCGAGCGCGCGAGGCTTGGGGCGGCAGCCTGCAGCCCGAAGCACGCGGAGCCCTCCGGAGGGTGCCCCATGCTTCTTGCAGGTGTGCACAAGGCTTGGGGCGGCAGCCGCGGCGGGGGGGGGAATAATTTTTTTTATTCATTTCCCCCCCAAAAAAACGAGGTGCGTCCTATGGGCCGGTGCGCCCTATAGAACGAAAAATACAGTAATTTGATTCTGTATTGGGGATTCCCCATCCTCCTCTTGAGGAGGGCAGGTGCAGGTATTTGGGGCTTATTCTTGGCTATTTGTGTGAGAAAATAAACAAGTGTAGTTTTTTCTGCCACTTCTGAAGCTGGGTTGGGGGAATCTAGATTGGGAGGGTTTGGAATAAATAGGTTAGTTTTGGGAAGGTGATCATTTTGATCAGGGGTAGGCAACCTAAGACCCGGGGGCCGGATGCTGCCCAATCGCCTTCTCAATCCGGCCCATGGACGGTCCAGGAATCAGCGTATTTTTACATGAGTAAAATGCGTCCTTTTATTTAAAATTCATCTCTGGGTTATTTGTGGGTCCTGCCTGGTGTTTTTACATGAATAGATGGTGTGCTTTTATTTAAAATGCATCTCTGGGTTATTTGTGGGGCATAGGAATTCGTTTTGTTTTGTTTTTCAAAATATAGTCCGGCCCACCACATGAAAAAGGTTGCTGACCCCTGATTTTGATCATTGCTATTTTGTCTGAGAGGGTGAAACTGGTGTTGTTCCATTTCCTCAATTCTCTGTTGATTTGTCGCCACAGCTGCTTGTAATTGTAGAGGTATAGTTTGTTGAGGTCTTTGGTTATTTGAACCCCTAGGTACCTGAATTTGATGCAGCAGAATTTTATCTTTGTAATGTTGGTGAATTCCTTTTGGGTATGCAGGTGGGAGGTGGTAGTGTTGAAGCACATAGCCTCAGATTTTGCAAAGTTTACTTGTAGGGCCAACACCATTGTGTTGAGTTCTTTGTTTAGGATGGTTGCTTTGTTTATGGGGTCTGGTGTTATGACCATCAGGTCGTCTGCTAAGAGCCTTAGTTTGTAGTTTTTACCTTTTATTTCCATACCCTTGGTATCTGGGGCTGCTCGCAGTAGGATTGCTAGGGTTTCCAGGACCAGGATGAATAGGAAGGGAGACAGTGGGTGTCCTTCTTTAGTGCCTCTTCAGATTGCTATAGTATTGGAGTCCATATTGTTAATTCTGCATTTTGCTGAGGTTTGGGAGTACATTTGTTTGAGGGTTTGTAGGAAGTTGGTGCCAAATTTCATGTTAGTTAATACTGCTAATAGCTATTTCCATTCTAAGCAATCAAAGGCTTTAAGGATGTCTAGGGACATGTCTAGGGATGTCAGTAGGAGTTTGATCGTTTTGCTGTGTTCTATCAGATTCAGTAGTTCAGTAGTTTCCTAATGGGGTTTGTTATGTTACGACTAGGGGCAAAACCTGCTTGGTCCAGGATGATAAGTTTGCATAAGAAGATTTTTAGGCTTTTAGCCAGGATTGATGTGAATATCTTGTAGTCTTGGTTTATCAATGAGATTGGGTGGTATGATTCTATTTTGAGGCTATCTTTGAGTGGTTTTGGGATAGAGACTATTTTCGAAGAGGTCCAGGTTTTGGGGATGGGGGCTCCTTTTATGATTTCGCTAAATGTTGGTGGCTGTGTGTTGTGTTGTGTCAGTTGTTACAATGAGGCGAAAGGGGAAGCCCCATTGGTACTTGATTCCTACTTGTTTGGATACATAGTTGTAGGTTTTTTCTTCGGTTTAGGGTCTCTTGCGATATATCCTGAAAGGCCAGGATGGGATCTTCTCCATATCAGAGATTGGTTGTGTTTCTGAGGTTGTTCCATATTTCTTCTTCCTTTTTGTAGCAGGTAAAGCCCACAATGATGTCTCATGGAGGGGTGTTGGCTTTTGGCATGGGTCTTAGAGCGCTATGTGCCCTTTCCAGATCATCTACTTTGAGATTCAGGTTTGGGATTGTGGTTTTTAGCCAGCATACAATGAGATTGGCCGGGTTTTTGTCCTTCATTTTCTCTGGGAAATTGCAGAAGTGGCTATTGCAGTGTCTACTGCAATCTTTAAGGGCTGCTAGTTTAATTGTCGCTTCCATGCTTTCTCTTTCTTGGCGGCAATCCGTATCAGCTAATTTATTTTTCAGACATGTGTTTTCCTTTCAGAATTGCTCTACAGTACTTGTTTGAGTTGCATCTGGTTTTCCTTTTTTAGAATGGAGATGGTGCCAGTGGGGGTCTCCACTTTAGAGGTCAGGTCGCTGATTATCATCTTCAGGGGAGTAACTGTGTTCTTCAACAGTTCTGCTAGATTCAGTTCCATTTCCCTCAGGTCCCTTTTGTGGTTGGGCAGTTGTCATCATGGGGGGGATGTTGCGACTTCCTTTTCATTCAGCATCTCCCTGGTTAGTGCCATCTTGATTGTCTTGGTGGCCTTCGTCTGGGATGTGCGCTGTGTTCTGTTGAAGTGGGGGGATGTTGTGGTTCAGTGTTTTGGTGGTAGTGGTTGTTGGCTGTTGTGGAATTATGGAGTTGTACAGGCGTTGTGATTGGTGGCTTTCTTCCCTGGTTGTTGCGTTGTTCACCCTGGTCTCCCCCTCCCCCCGATTGTGGCGGTAGCGGTGGCGCAGGGACCAGCCAGGCAGCATAGTTTGTGCTGGTGGCCCTCAAGAGCTCCGTGCGGCCTTGGCACTTGCCATCTTATCTCGACAGAAGTCCCAGGTGTCTCCCGTCTTATACTTGTGCATCTGGTTATTCCCGCCTAAGTGCAGAAGCTTCCACTTGCGCTTATCGAAATTCATTTTGTTAGTTTGGTCCCAGTTCCCCAATCTGTTAAAGTCACTTTGAATCCTGTCTTCTGTGGCATTAGCTACCCCTCACAGTTTAGTGTGACATGCAGATTTGATGAGCATCCCCTCAATTCCTTCATCCAAGTCATTTATAAAGACACTGAACAACAACAATAGGTCCAGAACAGAACACTGCAGCACCCCACTTGTCACTTTTTTCCAGGGTGTTGAAGAACCATTAGGGAACACTCATTGGGTTCAGTAATTTGTTTATGCGTTTGAGGTGTCAGAAACCCAAGGAAAGAATTATTTATTTTATTTATTTACTGCCTTAATATCCCACCTTTTCTCCAAGGAGCTCAAGGTGGCGTACATGATTCTCCCCCTCCTTGTTTCATAAGAACCCTGTGTGGTAGATTATTTTGAGAGGCAGTGACTGGCCCAATATGACCTAGCAAGCTTCATGGCCAAGTGAGGATTTGAACCCTAGTCTCACAGGTCCAAGACCAACACTCTACCTGCTACACCACATTGGCTTTCAAAGAAGGTTCTCTGTGGTTTTTTTATAGGTGAAAGATCTAGAACAGGCACTACAGCTTGCTAACGAGACAGCTGCAAAAAGCAAAGAAGAGATGGAAGAGAGAGAGCTGCAGATCCAAAAGCTGGTGAGTTTAGGGTGGCCTAGCTTTTGGCATGCTTTTCAGGATGTGAGGGGGAAAGAAAATACTTACAATAGCCCACTGTTCCTACTTGACTTGAGAGCTTCAGTAGAGACACGTGAGCAAGGCATGCCTGGAGTCACTATAAGGCATCCTTAGGCGACTCCAAGATCTTGTTCCCCCTATATGCCCACCCACCCACTCTTATCTTTGGAACTGGAACTGTTAGCGGCATCACATGATCTGCATTTGAAGGAAAACAATCTTGTAGTGTGGCAGCGCCCACACTTTTGAACTCCCTGCCCACTGATGTCAGGTGCCTTCATTCAAATCTTTTTGATACCTGCCAAAAACCGTTTTGTCAAGGCAAACCTATCCTAGACATGTAGTATACTGATATGTGTTTTAATCTGCTTTTTAGCTTATTGCTGATTTTGATTGTCTTTTGAAGGTTTTAATTCCCCCAGCCTGATGATTTCATTGTTTTATTCTTATTGTAAATTGGTTTGAGCGTTGCTTTTTTACAGTCAAATGGTATAAATTTTGTGAAATAATAAATAAACTACCAGGACCCCCATCAGATGTCTGCCCTAGATTCCCCATTTAGATTATTTTCACCAGCACTTCCATATTCCACCATGCCCAGAGTGATGCATTGCGGGAAATGAAAAAGGCACCTCCTGGATTGCAATGCTGCTGCTGCTACTACTGCTGCCTCCCAGTTTGTAAATGCTCCAGGCCCACTCATGTAAGAAGAGGCCCATCAGAGGGTTCGGGTTTTTTGCTTTGTTTTTGCCATTCCTGCATCCTGTTTGAGTTGCAGAGAAAGGCATTATAGGTTTTTCAGTTTGCTTGTTTTTCCTAAGGTCCTAGCCCTGAAGAATACAGGGGAGAATCCGGAAGTGTTTTGCAGGCTTTTCTCATCCCAAGTTTTCTAGGAGAATGGTTTTCTATTTATTTCTCAAGCCTCACAATAACATTCCCCTCACGCAGGGAACCTGTGCCCTCCATATTTTAAATCACAAATCCCATCATTCCTGACTATTGGCTGTGCCGGCCCATGACTGAGTGTTAGGAGTCTGACAACATCTGGAGAACCACAGGCTTCACACCCCTTCCCTCCATTCCTCACTCTCTGCCTTATTGGTTCTGACCAAAACAATTTACAGATCTAAAAACAGTCCTGGAAATAATTTCAGAATCAAAAATGTGAATGGGAATAAGCCAATTGAATTAACATATATAGATATATGTTAAGACATATTCATATAATTTTATTTCTTCACACTTTGCTCTGCTTAACCTGTTCTGAGCACATGCAGAGTTGATGGAGTTTCAATACTAGATTCTTCCCCCACCCACCCCACCCCACTCTCTCACTCTGTCCTTTCTTAGCAGCAAACAGATCTGCAGCTGGAGAGAATCCAAGCACAGGAAGGCCTCTGTGCTGTGCAGCACCAGTGCACAGAGCAAGTTGGGAGGCTGCTGGAACAGATGGCAACCCTGGAAGCTGACCAGAAGACAGAAAGGATGGCTGCACATCAGACGATGGTGAGTCCTGCTCTCCTTTTCAGAGCAACTGTCCATCTTCTCTAGCCACTTCTGTTCTTTTCTTTAATAAGATTTTATTAAAGCTTTTCATAATACAATACAATAAAAAAACAGAAAGAGAAAGAAAGATGCAAATCCATCTTTCAAAGGTAGATCTTAACCCTTGTCTCACACAAAAAGGGGCGGACCCTCACCTAGGAGCTTCCTTTTCTTCTCCCAACCTCCCTCCCTGGGAGATGTTCCTTTCCTTTCCTCACACACTGGGTCCATCAGCTTCATGTGTGTACAGTAGAGGACATTAAAAAAAAAACAACAACAACCCAGAAGCAAGAGGAAAGGAAAGAAACAGAAACAGGAATATAAAAATAACAAAAGAATGAAGAAAGTTTTTTTTTTAAAGGAAAGAAAGAGAAATAAAAAGGGCTTCCAATTCTCCATCTGTCCCTCTCTCTCTCTCTCTCTCTCTCTCTCTATATATATATATATATCAAAATATTCCAAGTATTCATTCTAGGTTGGTACCCAGCTGTTTCTCCTCCTGCTAGGCGATATTTTCCGAGTCTGGATCAACAGTAGTCTTCCTCCAGTCCAGCATAACTTTACCTCCAGTGTTGACAAAGAATAAATCTTTGATCTTTATTCCTACATGAGTCCAATGTTTTGTTCTGTTTTTCATTTAGAGCCAACTGGAAAAAGAAAATGAAGAACTGAAAGGCAGATGCAAAGACTTGGAAAGCTCCTTAAGGAAGCAAGAATCTGAATTGGAAAGGCTAAAGGTATCTGTGCTTTTAACAGTCACATCCATCCAGCATGTTGGAAACTGGTATTCTGCCTTTTTTGGGTTAAGCAAAAGCTATGCTGCTAGTGCAGCAGAGAAGAGAGGGACCCCGAACCTAAACGTGCTAGCTTTGACAGCCAGTTCAGTGCAACTTGCAGGTGTTTTAATGGGTTTTGTTTTGCAAGTGTTGCTAGCAGATTGTTGCAAAGGCTGCCTCTGTGGGCCGGCATCCTTATAAACCTGGGGTGGGGAGCTGTAGAGCATGAGTCTGAAAGCTGAATGCAGCCCTCAAGTCTGCTCTGTCTGGCCCTCAGGGCTGACCCCGGGCCTCACTCCTCACTGTCCCACTTTGCCCCCTTTCAAATATTACTGCTGTGTAAGTGAGGGGGTTTTGTTTGTTGATATAGCAACTCAGAAGCAAAGGGTTAACTTCCCTCTCCCCAGCAGCAATGCCTATCGATACCAGTTCCTTGGAAAAACTAAAATACTTTTTTCAAGCATTTGAAGGGATGAAGGGGGAGAATGAGATGTGTGTGTGTTTTAAGTGTGGCTACACCTACTGGTGATTTTGGTCCTGCCCACCATTGGCATGCAGCCCTCAGAGGGTGGGCAAAAGGTAATGTGACCTTGAAGGTCAGAATAGTAGTCCACCTTGAACTGAGATTTCTTCTTTCTGTTTCTATCGTCTTCCTTTGATTAAAATGGACTTTGATTGCATCCAGTTACTTAGAGCAGGCCCATTGAAATTGATGGACATGACTTAACTGGGGTCTATTCTAGACCCCGCGGGTGGCGCTGTAGTCTAAACCACTGAGCCTCTTGGGCTTGCCGATCGGAAGGTCTTACCGTTCGAATCTGTGTGACGGAGCTCCTGTTGCTCTTTCCCTGTTTCTGCCAACCTAGCATACCAGTGCAGGTAGATAAATAGGTACCGCTGTGGTGGGAAGGTAAACAGTGTTTCCATGCACTCTGGCAATCGTCATGGTGTTCTGTGCACCAGTAGCGGTAAAGTCATACTGACCACATGACCCAGAAAGCTGTCAGGCTTCCTCGGCCTGAAAGGCAAAATGAGCACCACACCCCATAGTCACCTTTGACTGGACTTAACTGTCAAGGGGTCATTTACCTTTACCTTTTTTTGAGTATAACTTGGCTGGATACAACTCTTTGCCTTCCCTTCGTTTGGGATTTGGTAGTTTGCCAAGGTAAAGTGGTTGGGAAGATGGCCTTTTCCACACTACAGTGCATGGGTTTAGGGAGTTTACTCTCATTCTGAGTCCTCCATTCTCTAACCCCAGGATTCTTACTGCTTTGCAGGCAGAATTGAGGAGTAGCGCTGAAACCACCCAAGCCCTGGAGGAGACGCGAGGGCAAAGGGAGCATCAACTGCAGCAGGAGGTGGGCTCACCCCTTTGGCACCCACTGTGGGTGTAGCTGGCTTTGTCTTCAGGATTGGCAACGGCAGGAGGCTGCACCTGAGCCATTCATTGTGTTGGTATTGACAGGTCAAATCAGAGCCAATGCAAATAAATTAGTTCTGGCCCACCACGAATGACTGCAAATCAGGCAGTGATAGGGGACCATTTTGGAGATGGGCAGGTGGTCTCCATAATAGCTGAGAATATAAAACGGATGCCTCTGTCTTGACTTTACTGCCTGGGTAAAAACTGTCTGTCATAACTTAACTGTTCATGGTAACCAGTCATTTCAGCGGCTAGGAAAAATCCCCTTCTGATAGAGTCCTCCCCCACTTCCTTGTGCTCCCTGCTGTTTATGAAGTGGGAATTGTGTTTGGGCAGAGCTTTTATCCAAAGCAGTGGCTTTGGGGACCAGGGCTTGTTCTGCTATGAAGCCAGAACTTTTCACCATAGAAATCTGTCACACTTCTTCACAGAGGCTCTGGAGCGTTTTTAGCCTTTAATCCTTCTTCACTTGTTACATATTCCTCTAGCTCCAGCAGGGTGCTGTAGAAATTAAGTCTGGAAATGGTGGATTCTTAACCCGCAAATTTAGGAAGATACAGAAGAGGTTTGGAGGTCCAGCAAAGTTAATCAGGATTAATCAAGACAAAGAGGATTTTGAGGAGAAACAGTTTAGAGAGGGGGAAAGGTGTTCCAGATATTTGGGGATGGAGGACAGTGTAAGGGGAAGAGAGACTTGAGTGAGCTTGTGAGAGGAGTGGGGGGAAACAGAAGAACAACCTGTTGGATCAGGCCAGTGGCCCTTCTGGTCCAGCATCCTCTTCCCTTAGTGGCCAACAGATGCCTATGGGAAATCCACAAGCAGGACCCGAGCACAAGAGACCTCCCCCCTACCCTGGCTTCCAGCAACTGGTATTCAGGGGCATTCCTCCCTCTGGCTGTAGAGTCAGAGCACAGCCGTTAGGGCCAGTAGTTAGCCCTCTCCACAGGTGTCCTGTGTTGCTTGCATCTCACCCTTGAAAGTGTGAACAGCCATTTGTCAAAAAGCATCATGTGTTGAGGTGAGGTCAGGGGAGGAGGGAAAGTTAGCTGTTTTAGATCTGAAAGCAAAGACAGGAAATAGCCACGAAAGCTCATTGTGCAAATGTTTCAGCCAGCCTGGTGCCCTCCAGATGTTTTGGACCACAACTTCCATCAGCTCAGCCAGCACATTGGCATTGAAGTCCAGAACATCTGGAGGGCCCCAGGTTGGCAAGGGCTGACATTTGTCCAGTGTCGTAATAGGTAGCATATGTTTTCTGGACACTTCTACTTGTACATGCTGTTACACCAGATTTTGCACAAAAAGGACACCATCTTTGGCTGCCATCCTCCTTTTCTGATATATAGCACTCCAGCTTCTAGTGTAAAATAGCCCTCGAGTGGGTCCAGTCTTACAGTGATGTTGGATTATGATAAACATTCATTTTGGAATGTCTGAAAAGCAAGGGCTGGAAGCTACATCATACCTGTCCATGGCCTTTCTTTTCCCCCCTGGTGGCTTAGCTTGTGGATCTGACTGTGCTGTTGAATGAGAAGGACCTGCTGATTGCAGAGAAAGCAGAGGCACTTCTGAAAGGAGAGGAAGAGCTGAAGCACTTAAGGCAAGGTAAGACCCAGCAAAGCTTAATTTACTAGTAGCAAGGAGGGTGATGTGGCTCTCCAAGTTCTGTTGGACTCCCAACTGTCGTCAGCAGCTGCCAGTAGCTTAGGATGAATTGTAGTTCAGTGGCATCTGGAGCACCACAGGTTAGAACAGTGGTCCAAAGTGGATGGAATGACTGGATCAAGTTCATCAGTTTTGTTGAATTAATTAAACTAAATAGGTTTACTTGCATTTTAAATAAATGTGCAATTAATTGTTACTGTTTTGAATTTTATTATGTTATGTTGGAATGGCAGACTAGGACCTGGGAGGCTCAGGATCAACTCCCCATTTGGCAACGAATCTTTTGCTGGGTAATGTTGGGCTAGTCGTTTCCTCTCTCAGCCTAGGCTACCTTGCAGGGCTGTTGTGAGGATAAAATTGGGGGAACTGACTGAATGCTTCTTGGACTGAATGCTTCTTGATTAATGACTGCATGCCACCCTCTCTTCCCTGCCTCTAAACTGGTTTCCTTTTCCTTCTAGACCACGATGCACTTCTGCTGCAGATGGACCAGTTGAAGTCCAACCTTGAGTTGTGCCAGCACCAGGCCATGGAGACAGAAGCTGCAGCAGAGAAACGGATGAGTGCTTTGCAAGAGCAGCTACAGTTCCAGCAGGAGCGCCTCTTAGCCAGCGAGAAGCAAGTAAGCAGCTTCCCCCTCCTTGGGCAGGGCGAGCCCTTAGCCTTTCTAAAAGCAACACTGTGGCTTCTCCTCTGGAATGTTCCTCTCTTCAGTGCTAGAACACTGCAGCAGTGGGGAACCTCCAGCCCATGCACCTCCCCATTTAGTCCATTGGGCAATTTCTGCCAAACCATAATGTCCTTAGGGGGGAAACGGGGCACACACCCCCCCACCAGTCATGGTCTGCTGTCATCCACCTCCTACCTATCTCCTTACAACTGGGGACAGGAAGGGTGAGAACAACTCAGTGTTGGCTCCTTAGTTTTTTTGTTCCCCTGGCAGAACTCAACAAGGGTAAAGGTGGACCCAAAACTAGAATGCATTGACTGTGGCTCCACCTACTGTGACAGATTTTTAAATCCCAACAATTTTGTTTTCTTTCTTTTTTAAAAACTGACAAGTTTCCAGCCTTATGGATGCAAAGATGCACTTGAGTTTGTGGGCAATGCCTGATGAAATCTCAGAAGCCAGAAGGGTTGCTGTGTAAGATTTCCATGCCCTTTATAATTCCTTAACACTTCCCATGATTGTGGAAGCAAAACACATATATGAAAACTAAACACAATGTATGCAGGTTTTCAGAATTTGGGTTACCTCATCACAGATGCGCTGCTTCTACCTTAAGCTTTCTTTGATCTGTTTTGGAGGTGCCAGCACAGCCTTTTGACCCATATTAGCTGGTGTGCTTGTAGCTTGGTGCAGCCATTATTCCTGTGGTTGTGGTGCTTGCTTATCTCTTCTCACCCACCCTGCCCCTTCATATGTGGCCAGGAGAAACCTACTTGTCCCAAATCTTTTCAGGATGTACATAAGCTCTGTTTTTGTTGCCTCTCTGATTTTGCTAAATCCAGCCCGTTTTTACCTCCTGCTAGGCTGCTACATTAGAACTGACTTCTGCAGCCCTGAAAAAGCATCTGTGTCCCTCTGAAGATGGGGAAACAGAGCCAAACGGGGAGGTGGCTGCCACTGATATTGTCCAGCTCCAGAAGGAAAACAGAGACTTGGAGCAGCAAATCGCAGAAAAGAACAAGGTGTGGGTTCAACTGTTCATCAGCCTTTCTCCTACTTTCCCCCTCCTTCCAATTGTTTCTGATATGCAGTGGTACCTTGGTTGTTGAACAGCTTGGCTCCTGAACAAATTGTCACCTGAACGCCACAAACTCGGAAGTAAGTGTTCCGGTTTATGAACCTTTTTGGAAGCCGAACATCTAATGTGGCTTCCACAGCTTCCAGTTGAGTGCAGGAAGCTCCTGCAGCCAATCGGAAGCCGTGCCTTGGTTTTTGAACAGTTCTGGGAGTCTGAGTCAAACAATACCACCACCACCACCACCCAGTTTAAAAGGCCATAGGTTGTTTAAACAGCCAAAAGCTTGGGAGAAGAAGGATGTTTTTGCCTGGCACCTAAAGATATGTAATGAAGGTGCCAGGCAAGCCTCCCTGGGGAGAGCATCCCAAAAGTGGGGAGCCACTGTGGGAAAAGGCTTGATAGTTGAGGTGAAGTGGCTTTTATTGATGGCCAGACTTGTGAACTGACGTTCTCTCCCTACCCTTCCTCCTCTGGTAGACAATAAAGCAGCTGCAGCAGAGGATGGCAGAGCTGAAGAAAACCTTGCAGAAAGAATTGGTGAGTTCAGCTTGTGCTGAATGGCAGTCTCTGTCATTATCATAGGGACTAGTTTGGTGTATGTCACTGTGTGTGCGTGTGCATGCCATTTTAGCATGCAAAGGGAAAAAAGTGCAGAATTTGGTGGCAGAAGCAGAATTCAGTTTCTTGAGGATGTCAGCTCTTGAATTTTATTGTAAAGACAAGTTTCTAGCAATTATGGGGATGAATATATGCATGGGTAATACTACTGATGTTTTGGAAGGCTGAGTGGTGACTTGAATTTTCTCAAGTGTTGTTTGGGACTAGCTAGCATAACTGGAACAAATGATCCAAATTAGTGAGCGCTTGCTGTGAATGAGCTGCCCAGTTTGCATAATTTATGTAGGTTGCTATAGTCGCCTTTGGGGGGGGGGGCAGAATTTGATAGTGTGGCATATATGCAGACCCAGCAGGGTCCGTTTGTTTCTTGCTCTGCAAAATGGCTTAGGAGGATGTGAGGCCTGGCTTCAGGAGTGTTGGATGTGGTGGCTTTGCCTGTCCCTTAAAGCTAGCACTGGTTTTTACCCTTTTCAGAAAATGCGACCCGATGGTGAGGTCCCTGAGGTCCCCACTGCTGCCTTGACTGTAACAAACAACTCCGATCTGAATGACTCCCGAGAGATAAACTTTGAATACCTTAAACACGTGGTGCTAAAATTTATGTCCTGCCGGGAATCAGAGGTAAGAAAAACATGTTTTACTGACGATGCCTTTTTAACTTGTCCTCATCCTCCTGCCTCGCCCTCCAGTTTCCTCCTCCTTTATTTTGCTTTTGGCTGTGAATCAACGTGCCTCAGGTGATAAGTTCCATGTGACATACCATAAGTTCAAATTCAGAATATTTTTTACTTTTTGCCTGCCACCTTGATGAAGCATACGTACAAAATTAACCACAGTAAGCTAGTACCTCAGGGATCCCAGCTTGAAACACAGAAGTCTAATCCACTACTTTCTACTATATATTTTGGAATGTGGTTTGTCCATTTGTTCTCTATGCATTCAACCACCTCTCAAGATACTGTATTTTTCCGTGTATAAGACACCCCCATGTTTAGTTTTGGGAGGGGGGTCACTTCCAACAATCGCTCACCTGCCTGCCTGCCACTGCTAATTGCTTGCCACAGCCACTGCCAATCGCACATCTCACCGCAGCCAATTGTCTGCCTGCTCGCCGCCACCAACAGCCCACCCACCCACTTGCTGCAGCCACCAATCACCTGCCCGCCTCGCCACAGCTGCCAATCGCCTGCCAAATTGCTGTAGCCACAGCCAATCGCCAGCAGGCCTTGCTGCAGCCACCAATCACCTGCCGCCAACCTCCTGCTTGCTGCTGCCATTAATCGCACATCCCCCTTTTGCATTCATTATCCATGTATAATACAATACCCAATTTTTGCCTTTTCTATCTCCAAACGCAGTACAAGGGTTACTGAGGTGGAGGCAGCAGTCCTTGTCAGTGTTTGGATGCCAATTGCCATTTCGAATCAAGATGAAGGGTTGAAACATTGCTTTGGTGTGACTCTGTCCATTCTTTGGCATAGATTCAGCTGCCTAACTCAGGCAGTGGACTTTGTCACCATTAAGATGCCATTTTGACTCAAGATGGCAGATCAGATTAAACCTTAATAAGCATTAGCTTCCACCCCCCCACACACAAATTGGTTTGGGACCAGGTCATTGTTCTCCAGGTCAGGTCTGAGCCCTGGGTTGCTGTGTGGGTATGTTTTTGTGTGTGCACATAGCCCCCAAACTCACAAATTACACTTTGTTTAAAAATCACATTATTTGTTGGTTTCTTCAAACTGCCGAGCAGCACCAGGCATTTCCCACTAGCAGACACCAAGAGCGACAAGCATTTTTCTCTAGCTAGTTGGCTGTACCTCTGTGATCAAATCTGTAAGGGTTATACATAACAGTCAATTGTAACTCACCAGCTATTGCATTTCAGGCATTCCACCTGATAAAAGCCATGTCTGTGTTGCTAAACTTCTCTCAAGAGGAAGAAAACATGCTCAAGGAAACCTTGGAGTATAAGGTAAGACTTTGCTTGAACTCTTACAAGTTCACTTGGGCATCTTCCGTCACTTGATGACCCCTATATCAAGGGATAGCTTGCATGTGTGAAGCAGGTATTGTGGGTCTATGTGCCAGAAATGGAGCTTTTGTTCCAGTCCTTCCATCACATGTGCTTTGGGAATCTTCCTTTTCAATTTGGGTCTCAGCCACATTGCCATTAGCATTACAGGGTGCATGCATCAAGTGTATTTATTTATGCTCAGTATATATTTAAGTATATTTAAGCTTAGGCCTTTTTCTAATGTGCTTGCGAATTGCTGCTTCTACATGGCAGTGGGTCACCTAGTCCTAGGCCATATCAAGGGAATGCAGCTCTTCTTTGCACTTCTATCAACTCCAGAGTTGTCTTCTTTCCACGTATATATACATGCTGTTCAGAAGTCCATGTCCTGGTGGCTCCTCTGTTCTTACTGGCTGCTGATGGATTCTTGCATCTGTCCTCAAAGACCTGTGCTTAATTAAGCTTGTCTGTCTTGCATTATACTGAGATTGCATCCCTATCACCTTTCTGCATTAGCTTCACACCCCAGCCTGGCCTAGTGATGGCTTTTCAACCTATATATCTTTGTGGAAGCTTTCAGGGTACTGACTTCTTGCTCCCCATTTTTGTTCTGCTGGGACTTTGCAGCTGCACACAGCTTTATTCAGATTTTCCACCTTCCTTTGCCCCTAATGTTTGGCTGCTCAGTTAATGGTGTGCCTCTTTTTTTGTCTTATTGTTTTCCTTCTGCCAGATGTCGTGGTTTGGGTCAAAACCATCTCCCAGGGGCAGCATCCGACCCTCCATCTCAAGTCCAAGGACTCCGTGGTCGTGAGTGCCCCCCCCCTCGACCCAAGGATGTGCTGCCTGTCTCCAGCTGCTTTTTTTTTCTATGAAAAGGATCCTGTACCCACCAACTGAGGTGGTGTCTTTATTGCTGTCACCACAGTATTTTTGTACAAGAATTTTGAAAAATTGTTTACAAAGCTGTACTGTAAAAGGAGTGTCCTTTGCTGCAGCCTGACACCCCCTCTCCCTATTCCATCATTTAGTGATAACAAATGGCCCTGGCTTCTGAGGCCTTGTGGAACCCAAGTGGTTGTGATTCTGGTGGCAGGAATTAGCAGCATGGGGCAGCTTCTGTCACAAACAGAAATCCCGAGTGTTGTATGTTGAGGAACAAGTGCATGTGTCTGTGCTGCACTTACATCATTCCAGACAGTGTAGTAAACCTTGTCGGGGTGGAGAGCAATTCTGCTTTCTCAGACTGATAACACCTCCCTTTCGTGTCAGCACTGCTTCACCAAGGCTGACTGAAACTGCTGGTGCATTCACACCTATGCTGCAAACAGCCCCATCTGCTTCAGCCAGGGCAAGATTTATTTTTCTTAAAGAAAAATGCTTAAGTGGTCTTCACAAAGCTTCATGTACTTGCCTTACCTTTCTAGACGAACATAGCAAGTTGCAGAGCGGAAGGAGGGTGGCGGCCTCTCATTTTAAAAGTGAAAACAGTAAGGTGATGGGGTTTCTTTGAGAGAACATGTTGTGTTTCACCTCTAGCTGAATTTGCTTGCAGGGAAGGGGGCAGCTGAGAGCTGCAGGTGCATCAGCCTCTGACAACATATCCTAGCTCCATTTCAGCCGCAACGCTAGCAATCCATGTTGCTTTACTTAACAGACGGGGAGCTCCTCACATAATCACAGTTCATTTTTTTACACTACTTGAAAGTAACAGTCAGTTTGGCTCATTAGAAAGAAGAAACAAAGTACATGACCTTGCTTAAGAATTCTTTTCTCTTTAGTTATAAACCAAACAAAAAAGCCCCCCACCCCTATATTTTTATTAACCAGTCTATGTAAAGATACTGTCTATTCTGTACAGAACATCAACCATGTTAAGAGAGCAGGTTGCAATTTTAATATTGCCACTGCATATTGCTAAGCTACAGTATATTTTTGTTTACAAAGTGCTTATTAAGAAGAAAAAATCAGCCGTGGTGGGGTTGGTTTTTCTTACCAAGAGCACAGCGTAAAATTTCTACTGGTTGATACTTTGTTGTATTTTCCCAGTCACCTTTTTAAAGGCATTGTATGGAAACCCTCTTGGGCAGGACTCTATAGTAGCCTTAGTGTTGAATTCTTGTAAGGTATCAGAGCACGAATGAGGTGTGTATATTCATTCAACGGTAGCAACCAATGCACTTTTTCTCCTTGTACAAAGAAAACACAAACCACCTTTGGAGTGTATGTAGAAAAAAGCCTTTATGGACACTTGGGAAGTCCATTCATTCTGTGTACATATGGACTGTATTATGTAATGGCTTGTAGAGTCCTAATTTGTGGTGCAATACATTTTTGATTAAAACTTGAGGCTACTTAATTATCTTCATGCTTCGTGGTATATACTTAACTGGTAGCACTGGAGGTTCCAAGCCTTGCTTACGGTTGCTTAGTGGAAAAGTTTTTTACTGGGCATGTAGAATTAGTTCTCTCTTCTCTTTTTAAACACAGAGGAGGCAGACTCTGTCTTCCTGAGAATGTGAACAGCCCTTCTGTCTCCCCATTCAGGGTTAAAAACGCCACATCACCCTTCCTGCTGTGACTGCAAAGTGCCTATTTCAACTGCAGTGCTTTACTTAATACCCCTATAGTCCACTTGCAAGTCTATTGTGCATGTTCCTGAAAAGAATGGACTCCATTCTCAGCTTCACAGTCGATACAGCACTTCACCTTCTCAATTTCAAATTAAGAAGGTACTATACTGTGTTTTCTCTGGGCTGTAATACTTTACAATACAGTAACAGGGCAAGCTTAAAGCAGGATTGTAAAATCAAGCTGTCTTTCAGAAGTACTCTTGTCTTTAACCAACCTCTAATGGCTACATACTACCCTGCAAGAACAAAGGGTCCTACTTGTGGGCTTCCTAAAGGCATCTTAGCAGCTGCTATTATGGAAACTAGCCTTTGATCTGTGCTAGGAAGACTTGTACAATGTGTTACTTTGACAAAAGACTCATCTGTCTACCACCACCTTTTGGGGGGAGATGGGCAACTAGTTAGCAGTTTGAGATTAGTGTCTGAATGTGGAAAATCTGGATTTTCAAACATATAAAGCAGACTACTGCTGCCTTCCACCATATCAAAATCAATTTCAGCTTCCTCAAACCCAAATGGTACATGATTTAAATATAAAAGCTAAGTTTCCCAGGCAGGAATGTATGGACAACTAAGTGACATCCATGGAAAAAAATGAAAGCTCTACCACATAGTAGCAGTAGGTTATTTTTATTTAAAAAAAAAACCTGGCAGAGAGAATGTGTGTGGGTGTGCATAATGTATGTGTTTGGATGTATAGGCAGAAGAGGGTGCAGCCCACTCCCATTAAAATCCATTGCTAATTATTCTAACCATCCAAGAACTTTATTTTGAAAGAGCAGCAGGCACTTTACATGAAACCAACTTCATACTCAGCCCACTTAGTCTCAACTATGTACAAAAAGCTCTCTTGCATAATAAAACCCTTTTCCAACCCCCAAAACAAGGTATTCTCATTTTGCATCTGACATAACAGCTCCCCACCCCGCCCCATCCCAAAATCCCAAATAATTGTTAAATTTAAATTAATGTCTCACTCACCCACACACACTTGGCTAGAGCAGTAGCTGTTCTGGAAGCAGGTGCTTGCACACAAACGGGCTGCCCCCACTTCCCTTCACAACACAGACTCCCCTCCCAGCTCCTGCCTTGATAGTCAGAAAACAAGAATACATAAAACTGCCCCACCACCACCACCTCTGTTAAAGGACACTGTTCCAAGAGAGGAAGGAGGGACACCCCCGCCTGCCACATACACACACAGTATTTCAGTAGATTGTGGTTCCTAGAAGAGTGGACCAAAGTATCGGTGTAGCCAGTACTTCTTCCTGACTCCAACAGAGTTCTTGGTGTCAATTCCAGAGAACATAAAGTCTTTTAAACAGTTTTTCGTGCAGTCAGGACTCTGACTATGGAGCCTAGGCCACCTACTGCTAATGCCTGCGATAGAAAGAGAAAGAAAAGTTAGTTTATGGGCCAATTCAAGTCCACCCCAGCAAATGAGGCAGTGAGTGATAAGCATTTGTGCTCACCCAATCTGCAGAACCTCTACAAAAGGTCCACCACCTCTTCATGTAAGACCAGTTAATTTTATGGGCTGAGTAACCAGGCTGTATCAATCTCTCCTGCTATTTCTTTTTTCTTTTCTTTTTTGAGGTGGGGCGAGGGAGAAAAGAACCCATCAGTTTTCTGCTGACTTTACTGTTGCTTTTTTATGTGGAGTTCACTGATTCCCCCCTATTGTTAGCCCTTTGGCTCTATGAATCCCTTTACCCCAGCCAAGCCAGGCAATAAGATAGGGAGAATGCTGTGCTTGAATAGCTGAGGATGGGAGCTTCTGCTAGTCTTCATTCTGAGTCTTCTGTGCACATGGGATGGGGAAACCATAAGCAAGGCTAGCCTCCATAACCCTACAGTTGTAATGGCTTTGGGCAGGTGCAGCTTCTGACCCTCAGGTGACTGAATTTGCTCTTGGAAGCTGTGAGAAACCGCAGCACAAGGCAGGCTTCTTTTCTTTGCACTTACATCCCTGTGGAGTGGTGCAAACAATGGAGTCCAAGCCAGGCACTGTACCAAACCTCTCTTGGAAACACCTTGCTGCTCTGAGCCTAGCAGGCCACACAGAAACTCGTCTTTCTAAGCTATCTGATTTCACAAACTCCACACTCCCCATCCCCGCCACATCAGCCCACTTTGGGCATAAGCTGTCGTTTCCATTGGAAACAAAAGCAAGCAGAAACAGGTTTTATGTTGTCATGAGAACACAAAAGTCGTCCGTCCCCAACCCGCCCACTGGTACATCTGCACCTCTTGAGAGGCAAGTATTGAGTATCGCTGCACTGCCAACCCTGGAAAAGTCACTAACAGAAAGGCTGGTACAACATTTATGTCTTTCTTGCCATCAACTCTAATTTTGTATGTTGCATTTTCATCCCTCCATAGATTACACTTCTCAAGAGCCCCTCCCCTGCCTCGCCCCAATCCTCATCCTCTTGCAGGCAAGAGTGTTTTGTACAGGTGGGCAGTGTCAGGTCACTGGCCCTTCAAAAATAGACCTGACCTGCTGAACCACATGGATTAGGACCTCCAAGCTGGGGGAGAAATCACCTACCTTTTCATGCCACTGGAGTAGTATTGCACTGCTATTTTCTGTTGGCTTTTCAAATCCTTTATAAATGTACTTCATTAACAAGTCAATGCCGTTGCTGTCTAAGGAGTTCACAGCCTGCTCAATCTCGCTGCCTCTAAAGGAGGTCAGAACCTTCAGCACCACTTCCTGGGCCCGCTCCTGGAGAGACAGGCAACAAGAGAAGAATAAGACGGCAAATACAACCCAACTGACACCAGCTGTTTCCCAGGAAATCACTTAACAGCAAAGACAGGATCCAGAAACAAGTCTTTTCATATTACCAAAAACACACTAGATCAGTCTTTCCCAAAGGGGTCACTATTGACCTTATGGGGTCAATAGGGCAGTGAATGAAGATCTAGAGATAAAAAAAAAAGGCGGAGGGGTGGAAAAGAAGTTTAGGAGGTAGAGCTTGGAAGATTTAATTAGGAACTATGAACCTCAGAAATAAAGCACAAGGGCATGTACAGAGTGCATCTCCCTTGTCATTGAGGAACCCCTGTGTTTTATAAGATTGTTCAACAGTACTGTATCACAGTACTATCTTTTACATTTTATGATACCTAGTAATGGTGATTAATGACTAATAAATGTTGATTAAAGGAGGAATGCTCAGAACCTACTCTGTCAGAAAATATACCCTTAGCTTGGTGAGCTTTTGGTTGACTGCTGTTATATCAGTGGTAGCCACTGCTATTTTTGTAGCAAAAAAGGGGCTGGAACTCACCATGAACATATAATGGCAATAGTACCCACCTGAGAGGTGCCAGAACTGAGTTCTGGTGAGGTCTGGCTGAAAAAAAAGCCCTGGTAGTTGCAGGACATTGGGAAGAACCATGCCCCCAATATGTTGGAGCTGTGGCATCAGGAAGTGGTGGAAGATGGCATTTATGAAGATATACGGAGTAGCTTCATTACTTACACTACCACAACTAAGCATAACTGTAACAGAATCTCTGGAAAGATGTTCTTGAAGGATTTAAGATGACTCTTGTTCTTCCTCTTCAAGGCAATGTGGAATTTGTTTATGTAATACATTTTTGATGGCTTGTGGTTTTTTTTTAAAAGAGCAATGCAAAAAATGGGGTGCCCCCAGCCAAGCACTGGTGAGCAGTTAGAGAGACAGGCACTTACATTCTAGTGTTTGTAACCAGAAGGTCTCCAGATTCTAAGGATTTCTGATTATCACAACAATGACTTTCTCCAGGATTCAACTTACCTTTGCTGCATGGTTCTTTGTGTTGACAGGAGAATTCTGTAAAGCCGCATGGAAAGCTCTGAGCATATCACCTGTGCAGCCACATAAGTCAAGGAACTAAAGCAACTAAGCTGACCCACACAACACACACAAAACCAGCACCCTGTACCAGGCCTGGAAATTTAACCAAGGTCTCTCAGCACTCGCTGCACAGTGACACATTAGCTAGACCCAAGGACATCAATTTGGGCACTGACCAACCCTGAGGAAACCCAACCATTGCCAGGCAGCCTACAATTCCCTCTAGTAGAGGAAATGCTGACGACCTGGCTTCTGCCACTACAATCCCTAATTCACCAGTTACAGAAACGGGCATCTGTTGAGTGTGTGTGAGGCAGGCAAAGATGCCCCACAAGGCACTTCATTTATCAAGCAAATAAAGGAAAAACATTGAAGCTGGAACCAGTCTTCCAAAATTAGAACTTGCTCCCCTCTCCCATGCGATGAACATTATTTAGTGCCTTTCATTTTTTGTTGCCCTGAAATTACTCCACAAGGAGTCCATTAGAATCTCCATCACACAAAGCGTCACTGATTGCAAGGAAGGCCTCCTCCCGTGCCAAGGTCAATCTCCTCTACACTTATTAAAAGAAACTGTTCACATTATAGTTGACAGGAAACCCTTTATCATCCAAAGCAGAAGCGACAGAGCCATCAGATCAAGGAAACCTGATGTCTCAGACATCCTTGGAACTTATACTCTCCCATTATGACAACAAATCAGATTTTGTTAATCTTTCTCCTTAAAGCTTCTTTAAAATGATAATAATATTGTGTTCTACTTATGCGGCTGCCAGGATACCAAGGAATCAGAAAAGACACCAAGGGAACAGTAGACAAAAAGGCTGCATTTATTATTAAATCTCCACAAACACACTAAAGATTAAAAGCGCCCCTTATTTTTTATGGTTGTCTTTACTTAGCTGAAATGAGTAAGACTGAACTCACAGCAGCAGCGAGCTGGTATTACCAGTGGCTGCAAGGAATTTAAACCCATACAAAGTTCAAACCTTTCACTAAAATGAATTAGGGCTGCTAAACTTGCAAAGACCCATCTACACACACAAACACACGTTTCCACCACATACACACACACACAAAAAAGAAAACTAAACAGCCTGCAACCAGTCTCATAGATGGCACACATATAAGAGGACTTCCAGCCGTGAAACCAGTGAGCAAGTAGCAGCCTACACAGCAACTAAGGCTATTTTTTTTGCCTTTCAGGGAAGCAGTCTCAAATGTCCATTCAGCTGAATGGTGGTGGGAGATGGACTAGGGCACACACTCACTTTCCTCAAATATACCCAGCACCCCACATGAACATCACAACTCCAAATTTAAAAGTAGCTACAAGAAACTGAAGACTGCTCAACCTTCTTAGTTGGTCTTAGGCGTCTAACTAGAACATTTGCAGCTAAACAGTAGCAAGAAGGTAAGTGATTTCCTCAATATGCATGAGGCAGTTGCTAAGGGGAGTCCCACTGCCTACCTATGCAATCTTCTCAACTACCTGATACCTGTTTCTTCTCAACACTCTTTTAACCAACACAGGATCTTTCAAATTTTCTTGCACTGTTGTCTCTCACAAAACAAGTAAAGCTACCATAGAAACATTTTGAGCAAGGTGCTAAAGGTCAGGTTTCAGAACACCAGTTTGGAAGATTAAACTCGAGGTTTTAAAATAGCAAATACACAACTCTACTCCTCAGCACCACAGTTCTAATTCACTGTCACATCCCAGTACACAGACCAGTTTTGCTGGGAGACCAGGAATTCCTTCAATCTAATCACCAAAGTTATACACTGCAAATGAATTTGCAGGCAAGGGTGGAAGCGAAAACCTCTGGTTACTGTAAGTGGTAAAGAATTTTTTGTACAGACTAAATGAGACAAGACATCCAAATATGCTAGCAGCACAGAAAAAGCCTGTGTGACCTATGCATGTTACAGAATTCAAATTTAAAAGGCACTGACCTCTTAATAAAAGGAACAATCTGGGTTATGTCCCTTGGTGGTTGGCAGTAGAGTTATTCTGATCATCTTTATACCAGTTTAACTCTATTCATTCATTGAAAAGTTGCAGAAAACAGCAGGGAGTGGAATATTCTTTTCCTTCATATGAACTCTCAATGGTTTGATTTAATTCACCAGTAATGGTGATTTCACAACTTGGCAAATCCTGGAAGAACAGAACCCAAAATGTCTTGTTTCATTCACTAAGGGATGAAGAATAGACCCTAAAGCACCCACAACACTCACCTAGTGTTAGAAACTCAGATATATAAACTAGGCACCAAATGGCTCCTTAAACCAAGGTTTCCATCTCCAAAACGGAATGTCTAGTTGCAAGTTTGGGGCAAGATATCTCAAAAGTCTTATTTTTCAGTTTTGGACTGACTATGATTGATTATCAGTTAAATATCTGGCTAGTTTAGAGGACAACCTTGAGCTAGGTTAAAAGCTTTGAGAACTAAAAGAAGAAAAGTCACTTGATCCAGGGACAGTCCACATATGTATTGGCCTATTCCTATCTCTTTTCTTTTCTGCGCAGAAAAAGCATTTTGGTTCCTGAAATTCATTCTGATTGTGCAGATAAAATATAACTGATAGAATTCTACAGGATGTGGTATTGGAGTGTGAAAACAGTCAAGAGCCAATGATCCCCAGGCACGCACCTCCAGATGGTGAAGATGTCAGGTAGCAAGTGGCCAACAGGCAGGTGCAAAATGCAGCTGGCTAATTTCAAACAGTACAACACTACCCTCACTGGCAGCAAACCCATGTTTTTCAAACTTCACACCTCTACAGGGAATACCGTATTTTTCGCCCTATAGGACGCACCGTCCCATAAGGCGCACCTAGTTATTTGGGGGGGAAATAAAGGGGGGGAAATTATTTCCCCCGACCCCAGCCCCCAGAACAGGCAACTCTCCGCGCTGAGCAGTCCCACTGGGGTTTCGGGTAGCTCTCCGCAAGGCACGGGAGCCCAGCGCCGGGCTCCTGTGCCTTGCGGAGAGCTGCGCCAAGCCTGGGCGCGCTGAGCTCAGCGCGCACAGGCTTCGGCGTGCAGGCAACTCTCTGCAAGCCGCGGGAGCCCAGCGCCGGGCTCCCGCGCCTTGCGGAGAGCTACCCGAAACCCCAGTGGGACTACTCAGCGCGCCGGGGCTTCGGGATAAGAGGCAGCTCTGCGCAAGCCGGGGGAGCCCTCCCGCGGCTTGCGCACAGCTACCCGAAGCCCCGGCGTGACTGCTCAGCGCGCCAGGGCTTCGGGGTGCAGGCAGCTCTGCGCAAGCCGGGGGAGCCCGGGAGGAACTCCCGCGGGCTCCCAAGGCTTGCGGATAGCTTCCTGAAGCCTGGAGAGGGAGAGGGGTCAGTGCACACCGACCCCTCTCGCTCTCCAGGCTTCACCGAAAGCCTGCATTCGCCCCATAGGATGCACACACATTTCCCCTTCATTTTTGGAGGGGAAAAAGTGTGTCTTATAGGGCGAAAAATATGGTACCTTCTATGCAGATCTGTCTGCAAAAGAACCCCATTCGTATCTGGTGCAGAATACATTTGCATTGCAGATAATCCTAAAGGTTACTGCACTGTAACCATGCACTGCATCACTGTAGCCCCACAAAAACCTAAGGCTGTACATTGCAGGGGAAGATAGTTTGTTAGTTAACCAATCTTTCAGGAAGCACCCCCCCCCCCAAATTACTAATCTTGTGGAGGGGCTCCTGGAATCCCAGAAATAAGAGTTTGTAAACCACAGCTTTAAACAACAAAATGAGAAGGAGCGAAAAAACAATCATGTTGATTTGTAATTCTTGTTATCTACAAGGATGCAGTTAACTTTGGATTTCAGACTCTGGCATAACTAACAGCTACCTAAAAATTAAAAAGACACCTATCCAAAGCAGGAACCCAAGCTCTGGAAATTCCTTTCATACCGAGTTCACAGGACTTCCTTCAGCCAAGCAGAAATATGCTTCTACCAACTGCACAGCCTACTCTCAGCAAAGAATAACAATATTTAAGCGCAGAGACTAGTGTGTTCCATTTAACCAAGAGAACAACTTATGGAAATCCAATGGCAAAGGAGATGAAAGGTAGAGAAAGCCAAGAGGTGCCACACCTGGGAGAGTCATCATTAGAAGCATGAACAATACAACAGTACAAGCATCTCATCTTGAGAATCTCAAAGCATTTAACACTTTTGTTCATAATTCTGCCATTGTGAGTCACATCCCCTTCATCTCATAAAGCTTATACTTCTGAATCTATGGGGTTATTCTTGCTGGAAAGATACACATGCCAACTACTGAGAGCGAGAAAGCAAGCAAGCAGCTAGGACAAACCCAGCAGCAAATATACTGCTTGAACCCACGAAAGAGCTGATAATACTATTGATTCTGTAACATGCTGGCCTTTCCTGTCTTTTGTAGTGCGTCAGCTGTCACTGGCCTCCTTGGAATATTACAGACGGTACAAGGTCACACTTTAAATACATTATTTCAGTCTCTCAGCAAGCACTGTCCAAGACAGAGCTGCATCAATTCAGCTCTGGTTACATTTCAACATCTTTTTTTGGAGCAAAAGCACACACTCACATTTTAACATCTTTCTTTCTCTCCTGGAAATGACAGAAGCAATAGCTTCCTGACCTGTTGGTCTCTGAACTGGACTTTCTGCTCCTCATTCCAGAAAGCACAGGCTCCCATTTCACCATTAGGCACAGGCAGGGCCACATTTGCCAATTCCGGCTGGCACGAACAAGCCCGCCCCTGTCACCAGCACCCTTCAGAGATCCGGTAAGGCAAGTGCCTTCTTGCCAAACCTGATTCCATGCATGACGGAAGCATGCCTCACAACCCTTACGCATGTTTTTAATTGCTTACACACTGTGGAAAGCCGCGGGGTAGGGCTAACCTCATACCATGGTGACCTGGTCTCTCTACACACTCATAACCCTTCCCAAACAGAGCCTGTTCAGATGTACACACACCCATTTTTCAGACAGTGTTTCTGCAGCTATCTGAAGCTCCTCAGGTCATTCACACAATTTTCCAGACCCAAGCTGCCTCTCCTTGTAATGACTAGACACAAATGGCTACAATCAG